GCGGATGTAGACATGATCGAATCGGGGGGAGGCGGAAAGTAAATGAAATGGTTTGCTAAAGCTGTGTGTATGTAGCTAGATATCAGGATTTGCAAATACAGTCAGAAGTGAAGGGAAAGAAAGGAGAGGGGAAGGAGAGGAAACCCGACAGGTCATTGATACGGTAAGGCGATATGCAGCGAACCGATAGAGGGGAAGTCCGGATGAACTAGCCCAATGGAGAAACCACCCCAATCAGGCTAGAGTGAATTTCCGAGCAGTTTCCCGGGGCCCCGGGAAACTCCACGGCTACTCCAGTGCTGACTCAGCAAGAATTATGTGACCTCGGGATAATTTCCTTAACAAAAACTTTTAACTAGCGCTTTCCCAAGGTTCCAAGGTTCACCTAACCCGACCGCCTCGGAAGAAGCCTCGGTTCAAGCGGAGTGGCGGTTGTAGGCGGTTATAAGGGCGGATAATTTTCAATACATATGCAGATGCAACAGCATTCCTCAGTTCTTCGTCCTTAATCATCCCTTCTCACAATCTGATTTCTCAATACTGTGACCTCACCACTCACCCCCTCATCTTAAAACAAAGTCATGATTTCCGCAGGCATGTCTGCTCGTCTCCCCAAACGGGTCTTCCCCGCATTTTGCCCCCAGCGACAGTTCAGCTCTGCACGCCCGACATGCAAGGAGATTCAGGAAGCTTACATTCTGAGTGCATCTCGAACACCAACGACAAAGGTGGGTACCTTTAGAGAAATCTCCTCTAGAAGAACAATTCGCTAACTCCCAAGGTAGTTCAATGGTTCTTTTGCATCCGTATCAGCACCTGAGCTTGGCGCTGTTGCAATAAAATCCGCCCTAGCCAAGTCCAAGGTACCTATTGAGAAGATCACGGATGTGTATATGGGAAATGTTTTGCAGGGCTCAGTAGGCCAGGCACCTGCCCGTCAGGCGTCTATATTTGCCGGTCTCCCTTCCACTGTTGAAGCCACAACAATCAACAAGGTCTGCGCTTCTGGCTTGAAGGCTGTGTCACTTGCCGCACAAAATATTCAACTTGGCTTGGCAGAGGCACAAGTGGCTGGTGGTATGGAGAACATGAGTCGCGTCCCCTATTATATGGCACGTGCCAGCCAATTGCCACCCTTTGGTGAGATCAAGCTAGAGGATGGTCTCATCAAGGATGGTTTATGGGATGTTTACAACAATTTCCACATGGGTATCTGCGCAGAACATACTGCGAAGAACCACAGCGTCTCGCGGGAGGAGCAGGATTTATATGCCATCCAGTCATACGAGCGCGCTCAGCAGGCATGGAAGGAGAACAAGTTCGCCGACGAGATTGCCGCGGTTACTGTGAAGGGCAAGAAAGGAGATACCATTGTCGACCGGGATGAGGGCTTCGAAAACTTGCGTATCGACAAGTTGAAGGGCCTGAAACCCGCCTTTCTACGAGATGGGAGTGGTACTGTAACCGCTGGCAACGCATCTAGCATGAATGACGGAGCATCCGCTCTGATCTTGGGCAACAGGGATATTGCTCGCAAGTATGGCGGTGGCAGCCGTGTCTTGGCCCGTATTGTTTCTTCGGCCGATGCTGCCGTTGACCCTGTAGACTTCCCAGTGGCCCCTTCCAAAGCAGTTCCCCTGGCGCTGGAGCGTGCTGGAATCACCAAGGACCAAGTGGCGGTATGGGAATTCAACGAGGCTTTTGCGGCTGTCATCAAAGCCAATGAAAAGGTCAGTGCCGTATTTGTCTAACTTCCATACCAGATCTAATTTCTAGCTCCTATAGATTCTCGGTTTGCAGAACGCCAAAGTCAACATGCTTGGAGGCGCCATCTCTCTCGGCCACCCTCTTGGCAGCTCAGGCTCACGTATCCTCGTCACCTTGCTCCACCAATTGCAGCCCGGCGAGTATGGAGTGGCTGCGATCTGCAACGGCGGCGGTGCTGCAACTGCGATGGTTGTGCAGAGATTGGATCGGGTGGATTGATTTCACCAACAATGCAATGTCTTCGGTGGCAAGTTATGACTGATGCCCTCAAACGAACAATGCAGACTTGGATATCATCCCGTGTAGCAGAGACGTGCACTTTTCTTGGATTTGGAATAGCGGATTGGCCGAAAATTGTATTTACTCACCTTTTATGTATAAACTCATCGCCTGTTTCTTTGCGGACCTTTTTATATGGATACATTAGTACTATGTATCATTCTCGAGCTATTTTTTCTTCATCCCTTTCCTTAGATCTCTTATATATATCCATAAAGCCATTAATCTATCTTTCGCTCCCGTTTTGCAACTTTGAAGTGATCTTTGGAGGATTCTTAGGGTCTTTTGTGGTTGGTGCCTGATTCCTCAGGAATCAACCCAGCAGAATGCAACCCAAACAAAAGCAGACTCTGGCTTTTCTTCTTCATATCCTCATGCTCTACCTCGCGAACACTTTATATACCAATAATGCTGACACGGCAAGGATCCGACATCTGACACTATGCTGAACCCTGTGACCCTGTCATTATCTCCGTCTTGCCATGACGCCATTTCTTGGTCCCCGGACGGTGAGCTTGCTATCGCTGCGGGTGAATACTTTCAAATCCTGGTATTTATCTAGTTATCCGATGAGCTTCAATATAATTGACATTTTGATAGACACCAAAAACTAGCAGAGATGAGGACTCTGCCCCCAACTCAACCCAAGATTGGCTCATAACTCGTGTTAGAGCCAACTTGTTTACGAACTCTGAATGGCCGAACTACCTTCCGGGAAATCGAGATGATTTCTCGGTCGCTGCAGACCTTTCAGAAAGCAATGTGGTCGGTCTCGCTTGGTCCCCAGCAGGACTAGGCAAATATCGACGTAGTGTCCTAGCCGTGCTGACGTCTAATCTGGTATTGTCCCTCTGGGAGCCCATTGGCCTTAAGAAGCAATGGACCAGGGTTGCCATCACCAATCATGTATTTTGGTCACAGCTGCAGCCATCACAGGACCCAAGTAGCCATGCCTTTCGGAAGGTTAACATTCGATCTTTCACTTGGTGCGAGTCTTTGAAGCCATCAACGCCTACCGCGGGCGCTTCCTTTTTACATTCGCACGAAAGCCGCTGGGGAATTCCACTGCTAATGGTTGTGAACGATTTCAATGAAGTCATGCTAGTGCAGGTTCGCAGATCAGACCCAACGAATAGCCCTTCCAAGCCCTATGATCTTCAGATTCTGGCGTTTCACTCTCTAAAGAACCCGGAAACCAAGGACAGTCCGTTCTGCTCTGGATCGCTCTTCGAGAAGGCAATGAAAGAGAGACAACGTACTACTGTGCTTTCCTGTGGTCCGTGGCAGATTTCACCCGCGACGAGCCTGGGGAACTTTGGCTGCGCAGTCACCATGATAGCTGCGGTATGCGGAACGCAGCTTCGGCTAATGAAACTCAAAGTGACTCTCGGGAGCGAGCTCGGGGAGACTTCACAACAGTACACGTTAAGCGCCGATTTGACAGAGCATCCCCTGGATCAATTGAATGAGAAATGGGCATATCACAACATCGCTGGCCCTATTAGATGGCTCCATACCGTACGTTCGATTTCTTACATCCATGCTAAAATGCGCCATTTCTCTAATAAAAGCCTAACAGAGATCATCCACAACCATTGTCCTGGCAGTGGGCGCCATGGCAGCATTCATCGCCATATCTATGCCCTACGATACGTACACAGGTAGCGTTAGCAATTCTGATGCCTTCGTATTTCATGACTATCCAATCTACGAGCCACAAACCGAGGACAACAAGGGCCATCAAGCAAGGCACCTGGAGCCAATTTCGGGTATGTTATTTAAAGACCTATGAGGCCCTTTCAGCACTTCTGACCAGCTATAGCAATGCTCACTTCCGTGAATGAACAAAGCGACACATGCAAGCTCTACTTAGGTACACTCGGTGGAATTGGCTTAGTCACAGAACTTCGCCAACTACAAAGCAACAGCGCTCTGCAACAACCAAAATGGAAACGCATGATTGAAGAGTTTCAGGATGACTATGACTTAGAGCACGACTTGGGAGGAATGTCAGTTTCCAGGATTTGGGGACTCGCAGCCTATCGCAACATGACTGCGGCTATCTTCACTTCACATCCCACGGACATGATCGAGTATCGCATCACCTCTGACGACAGGTCTATGGTTGTCTTTTCAGAAGAGAGTGGACCCACGATCAATACCCAAGCCCTATTTGCGGCGCAAATCCCCGATGATCATAACCAGACAGGAGAAGTGATACGTTTCGTGCTACCTGGTGAGGACGGCAATATTGAACCCGACATGGAGAGTCAACGCCTGCTTTATGCCGTAGCTTGTCGTTCCATTGTGGGTGAAGAGGACAAGTCGCTTCGGCTTCATACTCGGCGGTCTCTAGAGCGTCTAGCAGTAGTAACAGGCGCGGACCTGAGCGATGAGATTTCCAAATGCAACAGCAACCCCGTCCCGGTATCTGCGAAGACTATGGATCAGGTCACTGGCCCAGGCGGCCACATTTATGAGAAGTGCGAAGTTTGTAATGCGGGAATTGGGTGGCCCTCAGCCCAGTTGGCTCAGTGCGCCAATGGCCATCTTTGGGGTAAGTCACCTCATGGTTTGAATTTGATAGTAACGTGCTGACAGTTTTCATTCATATAGAACGATGTGGATTGTCCTTCCTTGCCATTCAAGGACCTGGGATATCCAAGTATTGTTTTGTCTGTCGCAAAGAAGCTCTCGATGAAGAACTCGTGGCATGCATGTGTGGAGGAAAGCAAGGTCGAACATTCGATGCTCTCTTTGAGACGTTTGATATCTGCTTACACTGCGCAGCCAAATTCCAGGCCAGTTACTAGGTGTCCTCAGATAGAATCTGCAATAATAACAGTGTCTCCTTGATGGCTAGCGGCTGCAAAAAAAGACAAGATATGTGATGTGATATTGCCACACAATGCTTCCAACGGATAATCATATTCATATCATTTACAGAGAGCTATCTATGTGAGCCCAAAAAGGGACCCCGCAATAGGATCCCATTCGTCGTCCCATCGGCGAGAGCTTTCTTTTTGGGCACCTAGACGAAGACTTTCCAATTTGTCGTTCTCACCGAACAGGTCGACCAAGTGCTCAGCTAGCTCCTCTGAGCTTCCAAAGCCTAACCCATTCACGCCCTCAGTGACCAGCTCGGGCCATGCTTCGAAACGATCCCACCCAACAACAGGAAGACCAGCCCCGAACATATCTACAACCTTCATGGGCAGATCTACCCCACTGCTGCTGGTATGCAGACTAACTCCTAGAGATGCGGATGCCAATAGCCGAGCATATTCTGGTACACTCAGCCACGCAGTTCGAATTGTGACTTTTTGTAACTTGCTGGACTTTTCAAGGGCCGCAATCTGTTCCAAATACATCTCCTTTTGTGGGCCCTTTCCTGTTATGATAGCCAAAATCTCGGGGAGGTGAGGCTGCACTGTGATGGCCAGTTCCGAATACCGGAGGAGGGCATCGATGAGGACCGAGAAATCTTCATCCGCAGTCCATGACGTTGAACTGACTAGAACACGGAGAGACCCTGCTTTCAAATATGAGTGAAATTCTTTCGTTTCCGGTAGAGTCGTGAGGAAATCCATTCGTGCATTGGGATCGAGGATAGGATTGAAGTGACTGGCAGGGCGGTCGTGCAGTGGCAGGACAGGAGCTGGAAGGTTGAAATCCTTCTTGAGAACGGATGCCATGGCATTGGTGACGCAAAAGTGGGCCGAAGCAGACTTGCAAAATACCTTCTCATACCATATCGACATTTTCACCAATGGATGGGTTGGGCCGAGTTTTAACGCAAGTATGGAATATCCAAAATTATGCCAATCAATGACGAGCCTTGTTTGCCGCAGGAAACACACAAGGGAGGCTATAGCCAGTGTAGGAATGGAAGGCGGGTTCTTTTATTCAAGAGGGAGTCAGTACTTCAAATGAAGATTGAGGAACCTCCCTTTCAGACATACCTGAACCAAAAGCCATTGGGACGGTTTTGTGGTGTATGCGAGACACTTCCAGAGACAGGCGATCTGGAATAGTACCTTCAAGGGCCCGTAAATTGTAAACAGCAGCTTGTTACTGGTCTGTAGGAGAGCGGGATGCGGGCGAAGCGGAACAATCGAAATGTTGGGGTTAGATATGATATCAGGATGAGGATCAGATTCTGTTTCATAAACGGTGGTTAGCGATCCTATCTTACGTTCTGTATCAAGGGGTTTGTACTAACCATTATACCCAATAATTACCACCTCCCCGCCATGCTTCGCAATGCTCAATGCATGATACTGCATGCGCGGGCTTCGGCCAATGTCACCAAGAACAAGTATTTGAACACATGTCTTGCGCCTTTTTGCGTCATCGGATCTTGGAGACCCTGCTTGTTCTGGTTGATATTGCGAAGGAAGTAACAGAATCAACACAGTGAGGGCGCTAGACAGGCCGAACACTATGCTGATGAAGGTCTCGATCATGATGGCAATGGCACTTCAAGTATTTCGCTCATAGTATTGATCAGCCCTCAATGACATCAATGATCCTTAGAGAGCCAACCAGCAGAGGGAATATCCACAGTTCGATGCTTAGGAAGTGCTCGCGGCTCCGGTGTCCCGAGGTCAATCATCCATTCCGATACGTAATCTGATAAGGATTCACGTGATTCCCCTTATGAGAACCTTTGGGGAGACGGGCCTTTCCTTAGAGATAGTGGCAATTTGTTTGGGCCTGTACGTGGCGCTCACTTTCCCCAATTATATTACTTTCCTTTTATTACCCTCCGGTCCTATTCCGCAATGCTGGATCTGCTGACAACCTGCCCGCTAATCTGAGCTCTCGCCCGCTCCACCCTCGATATCTTGGCAGTGCCCCATCTCCTATCCTTTTCGTTGGACCTTCCAGCTGCTGCGCACCGTCAGCATCTGAAGATCATGTCGACGGGGGCACCGTCTCTGGGCGTGGATTTCACACCACCCAATGGACACAGTCATAATCATAGTCATGGTCGCAGTCGTGGCCATCGATCCAACCGCTGGGCGCAACCTCCGCCTTCCCTCTCACAGCCAGCTGATGCCACCTTTCCTGAACAACCGGAGTCAATCAATGCTATGAATTCGACTTATTCATATGGGGATACACATCAAATATCAGCCCACAGTCACCATGCGCATTCGCATTCGCACTCGCACTCCAGTGGACACCACAATCATAACCATAGTGTGTCATCTCTTCACCACGATGTGCTAGATGACCACCATTTGAAAGATCCCAATGGCGGTTATGGAATATTATCTACGGATACCACTATACAGGCAGACTATAGTCCAGGGAATATGTACGTGGGGTTAGAATGTTATTGACGAGTAAAAGCTGACCCTAATTGCAGCAACGAGATTCTGACTAGTGCACTCATCGTGCTGCCGTGGGTTACGCTTTCTTGGTACCAGAGACAAAATGCCCAAAGCCAAAATCTATCTAGCGAAGGTATACCTGGTACAACTGCGAGCATTACTACCGGGCAAGTTAGTCAGAAGACCTGCCTTTTGACAGCGCTCACCCTCACCCTCTTCGGCTGTGGTCAAATACTACGTATCAACTACCAAAAGGCTGGCTCGTCCACGCTCTTGTCCGTTAATTTCCCCAAACTAAATGTGAAGAACGTCCAAACTTCACTTTTACAAATTGTCTCAGTGGCACTGCCAATATTTGCAGCGCTCAAGGTCGGAAGTTTTTTGGTTGCATTTGCGCTGCTTCTTGCGACGGCATCGAGGGTCCCAGCAATCATCAATAGAGCTTCGCACACTCAAGAGAAATACGGTCGAAAGATCCTATCCATTACCCTGTTAGTGGTGGTTATTATATCGAGTTTCCTTGGGCTGAACCATCCTTGGGACGTATCTCCAGTCATTGGATATGCCGCCCTATTAGGATCTGTGTTTATTGCGCCTCCCCCATTCCCCTCTCTCCGTCATCATAGACCTATTCCTGAGCCTGGTCTTGTTGCTGCACAGAGCAAGACTTCACGTCTGAGTCACTCCTCCGCTGTGGTCACGACTGATGCACCACTGGCCGTTATATCTGGGTCCTCCCTTGCACTCCTGAGCATACTTCTCAACCGAGGACTTGTTTTCAGCATCTGGGAACTGGTATATCTCCTTATTCCGACGGGTATATTTGCTACTTCTCTTATGATTTTCCTGCCCTCCAGCCCCCGCTCTCCCAAAAAGGCCGGACTCGCCATTTGCGCCGGAGCTGCAGCTTTTCTTTGTTCCCCACATGTCCAGGATGACTTGCTCATGGTTTATGCCACACGTGGTGTCTTGGCTACGGCTTCTTTCTTTGCCTCTCGAAGGGATGACATTCATTTGCATCTGGATACGCATGCGCATAGCCACACGCACATTCATTCACATTCACACACAACATCAGAATCCTCCCGAGTATCAAAGTGGCTTCTTCATAAAAGCGAACCATACCCGTTGCTGCACAGCATTCTCAAAGAGAAGGATTCCCGTAGCATCTTCTACTTCATGTGGTGAGTTATGAAATCCAATAATTGTCTGTCCTGAATTACTGCTAACATTTTCAGCCTGAATTTCACTTTTATGCTTGTTCAATTATCATATGGGTTCCTAACTGGATCATTGGGACTGCTTAGTGACAGTATTCACATGTTTTTCGATTGTCTTGCGCTTGTTGTTGGTTTATGTGCCGCTGTCATGAGCAAATGGCCCCCGAACGCTCGATTCCCATACGGCTATGGTAAAGTTGATACTTTGTCAGGATTTGCCAACGGGATTTTCCTCATGTGAGTGTTGCCAAAGCGGTGCGTAGAGGCAAATTCTAACAACATACAGGATCATCAGCGTTGAGATCATTTACGAAGCGGTGGAACGGCTCTCATCGGGGAGTGAGGTGCATCGTCTAGGCGAGTTACTGATCGTCAGCATTGCTGGCCTTGCAGTCAACTTGGTCGGAATCTTTAGCTTCGAGCACGGTCATGCTCACGGGCATGATCATGGCCACGACCATTCTCATGGCAATGAGAACATGCACGGCATCTTCTTGCACATTCTTGCCGATACGCTTGGTTCGGTGGCAGTCGTCATTTCAACCATTCTCGTGCATTACTCCGGTTGGGCCGGCTACGACCCGTTGGCATCATGCTTCATCGCCATATTGATCTTCGCCTCCGCTGTTCCTCTAGTTAGCAGCACGGCTAAGACGCTGCTACTCACTATGCCAGCCGACACCGAATATACTCTTAGGGAAACACTAGCGGGAGTTAGCACTTTGAGAGGCGTGGTTAGTTATACAGTGCCCAAATTCTGGCTTGATGATACAGGACCGGTATCTTCCGGGCATAGCCATTCCCATGACCATTCCGAGCATGGGGACTGTGAGAATCACCATGATCATAGCCACAGCCAACACCATGGTCATGAGCAGCACCACGATCATGACCACGATCATGCCCATGACCATGACCATGACCACGATCACGATCACGAACATGCGCATGAGAAGAAGCCCCAGAATATTTTCGGTGTGATCCACGTCGTCGCTTCCCGGGGTGCAGATTTAGAAGACGTACGTCAACGGACCGTCGACTTCCTTCGAGAGAAAAACATGGATACTCTTGTCCAGGTTGAGCGTGACGGAGATGCGCGCTGCTGGTGTAACGGTGGGAGTAAGGGCTTTTGATTGGTGACAACGTTTCAACCATCATCAACTGTTCTCAAAGGGAAGCCAGGGTTTACGGTACATTTAATATCGCTTTGCCCCGGCCGATGTCTATATATCTCTTGTACAGATAGGATTGGATCGGTTCGCCGAAAGATTACACCGATCAACAGCACATAGTTTTCTCCGCAGCATCGGAAGTGCAAGGCATATACTTCAATGATTCAATAACGAACCCCAGTTCTTCATCGCATCACATGTAGGCGAAACCTATCCCGGAATCCTTCAAGGGTGAAACTTGTACGACCCGTCTATCAGTTATAGACTGTCCTGAATGGATATCCTTGATCTGAGCCCTACATTTCTCAGACAAATGGAGTGCAGCTCCGTCGGTGCCCCTGAGGCCAGATCTCCGTGAATTGCGACACGATGCTCCTTCGGGTCACACAATTACATTGAACCTCGGCAGCACATGGCGCGAAAGTCCAGATCTACGTATTGTGTTATTCTGACAAGAGCGAACCTCCGTTTCATCTCCTCGAGGTTGCCAGCCTTGTCAACTAAATCGGCACCACCGGCCAACCTGCCGGGCCGCGGCTCCAGAAAAATAACCTGTAGCATCTGAACCGTACAAATGGAAGAGTGACATCGAGTCTTGTGCTACCAACCACTCGACTTCTAGGTTTGGACAGAGGATGTTACGACATTCTATATACCTTCCGACACCATCGCAACCCCAGCCGATCCTTTCTGTCATTCTTCTACAGAGCCTTCTACAGAGATATCAACTACACTCTACATTTGACTCTTTCGTCCAGTATATTCAATGTCATCAGCTTCAGCTTCGACCGCAAAATCACCGTATGCCGACGAAGTCGTGCGAGGAGGATATGCAAAAATATTTGAGGGCCATACAGTCTTCCTCACCGGAGGTACTGGCTGCCTAGGGGGTTGTCTCCTCTACAAGCTAGCTCTGCAACTGCCAACTCGCAAGATTTTCGTTCTGGTAAGGGGGAACTCCCAGCGGGCTATTGGAAAACTGAGGGAATCGATACCAAATCATGCACAGGCTATTTTAGCCACGAACAAAGTCGAGTTTGTGATTGGAGATATGAAGACGGTGAACTTTGGGATTGAAGCTACTATCCTTCAGCAACTTCAAGATCAAGTGACCCTGGTCATTCATACAGCAGCCAAGATCAAACTTGAAGGTCCCATTCGTGATGCACTGGAGAACAATTGTCTCCCTGCGCTGGAAATGGCACGGATTGCCTCTAGATTCCGGCGACTGAAACTCCTCATCCAGATCTCTACGTCATACGTCAATAGTCATCGTCCGGATGGCACGGTTTTAGAGCGGATATATCAATTGGGAGGCAAAGAAGATGCAGAGGAAGAACTGGCATCCATATTGACGCTGGGCACATCACCTCACGCGGGCAAATTCTCATCTACCTACACCCAAGCCAAGCATCTCATGGAACGTCTACTACTCAGCCGCTTCCCTCTTCTTCCAATTCTACTGCTACGGCCAACAATCTTCGGTCCTGCGCTCAGATACCCTTACTCGCTATATGGACCGGAGGACTCCACGCCTCTCAACAAGTTTACTAGGCTTTGGTTCTCTGATCGAGGCGCCACGCAAGTTTGGCATGCCACGGAAGGCTATAAAACAGGCGCCAATATCCTAGACGAGATTCCCGTGGACCTCGTAGCAAACGCATGTCTATTGCACGCAGCAGCACGGACTACGGGCATTGTCCAGATTGGTTCCCAGCTCTATCATCCGATTACCTTCGATGAGATCTTCCGAATGGGCCTGGAAAATGCCACGCCTGCAGCCCAGCGAGAGTTTCCGAAGATCATATTTACCGAAGATCGCAGCACACCGCAATGCTTTCTTGCGGAATTGATTCAAGTAGGAACTCGCAACTGGTTATTCGATTGCGGGCGGTCCTACTGGCTCAAACAGGTGAGCGGGCCATTGAGCATGCAGGTTTGCAAGCATGAGGCAGATGCTCTGAATTTGACACGGACTCACGATGTCCTCGGGGCTCTAAAGGAGAAAGCTCGGATCTGAACTGAGCTGCAGGGAAATTGGAGGCTGCAAATCGGCTATAAGATACTTTGTAGCCCCCGTAATCTTCGAGCTATATGAGACAAATATGACCTTCGTATACTCCACGCTACGTCTATCATAATACTTCCTCGATTGATATTTATCTAGGTCATTTTAGAGAAAGGCTTCCTCAATTAAAGGTAGCTTCGGTTTAAATAAGCCGAGTTCATTATCCACTGTAGTGGGGGATTCCAGTATAGGATAACCCAGCGGCCATATGATCTAAAAGCATCCCTGAAAGATAGCAACGCAGACACCTTCCACTTCTCTTCTTGGTAGTCACCCCACGGTGTTCTCCTCTCTAGCACCCTAATATTCCCACTGACGACTCTGCTCTCACGCCTGTTTCGTAGGCAGGGTCCCCTCTTCACAACCCAGTAAACTTGCTGTTTCGGATGACTAGAAATACGTTGATTGAGTGGGCCAGCCAACCTGTTAAGGATCATAGTACACAGCAATAGAACAGAAGCTATTAATATTTATCTATCGGGTTTCTTCACATTGGGTTTCCTCGTGTGAATTACAAAAAGCGGGTATAGTATATCAAAGTCCCATTTTTTTCCGGGCCCAAGCCATAGCATTAGCCCATTCCATATCCCCGGGATGCAGTGCATCCAATAATTCGGAGACCAATGCCCGGCCCGAGTCTCGAGCCCACCAATGCTGGCCATCAAGCTCCCCGAGCAACACACCCCAGTGCATGAGAATCAACAGAGATAGAGGCTGTCGGCGTCGCACATTGTCCACGAATTCCTTGTCGCTCATAGCGAGCCAAGCCAGAACATTGGCAGCATCAACAGAATTGCCAACTCTGGCTGAGAAATGCCGCAGATAGACAATAGCATCTTTGTTGACCTGATGCTGATCGGGGTCGATACTAGCGAGGGCCTCATCGTTCAAAGAACCGAGTCGCTCCAGGGCATCCCGCATATCGCTATCTATACTGGCTACCCCACTATTCCAATAGTTTCTTCGACGGGTAAACAGCTCTAATTTAATCCAAGATTCACCAATCCGGTGGATTTTTCTCACGCCTTGCAAGAGTTCAAATACAACGACAATATTCTCCGTTATGCTTGAACTTTCCCCGCGGGCAGCAGTCACTCTTGGTAGAGCGATGCCTATAACGGTGGTGATAATGGACTGCGCCAGCGCAGCCTCGCAGTTCATTGGGTTGATACTGTCAACAGCTGCGCGATATGGCGCAAATGTGAGATTGTGATATTGGAGGGCGATATCAATGTACACCAGCGATGCCGGTGGCTCGATTGTGGCGGCAATATGAAGAGCCCCCAGAGCCAGAATGCCGTTCATTAAAAAATCATACTGAAGAGCCAGGCGAGGAATGGCAATCTGCCAGACGTAATGCTCCGAGCTGGAAGAGCAAAGACTCTTATAGGTTTCTGTGGAAAACTTATGCATAAGCTCCAGATCTCGCACCGCTGAAATGGTTGAAGAAACGGGAGCTGTCAGCCTAGGGATCCTCGGCCGCAGGGGAGTGTCTATAATAGCCAACGGGGCCGGGGTCTGGCTTGCTCGTGAATCGGGCCGAGCCGGCGCTCTTAAATATGTGCATGGGAGTTCCCGTGAGATACAATTGGAGCACGGTGGCCCCTTTTCGTCACACTGCATTCGTTAGTCTCGTCATTTGATGGAGCCCGGGACAATCTATGGGGCCATCCCAAGTTTCCGGAACTCACCTTGACGCGACGTCTCTTGCACTGATCGCAGCCTTGGCGAGATTTAGTGTGCGCTCGGCGAGGAGGCATCTCGGAAACCACGGTACCTGAGGGTCCATGTAACCGGTTCGCTCGGATCCTTCGAGACGTGGAAGAGTCCAAGCGCGGGAGAGAAGATGATGATGTGGAGGAGTCACGTGGACCGAGACTATAAAAAGACTTCCCTGCCTTGTTTTCTCTCTTCTGTATGGTTTAATCTTTTTTACAGTTTCTACCTTCTACTTCTTCGTCCGGGTGTCAGATTATGCTTATTTGATAATACTTTTCAAAACGCCGTGGTCGCTTCGTCCTCTATTTCAGCATTAGCCTTACACAGTCACATGTCCCAATATAGCCCTAGGACGGACTTGAAAGTATGAACTCAATACCGACTGACATTATCTAGATTCTACAGATTCTACAGATTCTAGAAAGAAATGTCCATCTCGGACCAAAATCTCTCGGACCAAAAGCAACAAATCCCCGAAAGGATCAAAGCGCCTTATAGAAAACAAGTGGATCCGACGTAAGCGACGTGGAGAGAACGAGAACGAGAACGAGAACGAACGAGAACGAGGGCAAGAAACAGCCAATAGCGATGCATTTGGAGCCGGTTTCATCGTGTTGAACCAATTTAGGGCTCCACCTGCTGGAGGTGTTGTTGCTGCGGCCCCTTGATATTGAGTTGACCTGCCTGAAGGCTGATAAATTTATGATTTGATATCCAACCCCTCCAGGGATTTTCTCCATTGAGAGACTCGAGGCCCTTTTCCTTGTTATCCCACCTTCTAGGACTTACTCTCACTCAGCTCTCTTTTACTCTCCTTCCTTTACTCTATATTTCTTTCCTTTTGATTACACATCTCACTCAACATGGCGGGCTATGACACTTGTTTCGAAGTAAGCCCACAATGTCCTGTTGAACTCACGACATACGGTTACTACCCCAATCTCGGCGGAAACATCTTCTTCACGGTCGTTTTTGGCCTACTCGGAATATGCCAAACCGGTCTCAGCATCTACTACCGAACATGGACATTCTTGATAGCTCTGCTCATTGGAACATTTATGGAAATGGCTGGGTACATTGGCAGGGTTCAAATGCATTATAATCCATGGTCGGCACCTGCATTCAAACTCCAGATCGTGTGTCTGGTGCTCGCGCCGACCTTCGTCGCAGCGGGTGTCTACCTAACGCTGAAGCATATCATTCTGACCTTGGGACCTGAACACTCGATCTTGAAGCCGCGCCTTTTCACCTGGATCTTCATCGGATGCGATATTGGCTCTCTTCTTTTACAAGCTGCAGGAGGTGGTGTCGCCGCAGCTGCTGGTAACGATGACTTCCAAATGCTCAAGGCAGGCGACAACATTATCATCGCTGGTATCGCCTTCCAGGTCGGGACCATGGTTGTATGTGGATTCTTTGCTACTGTCTTCTTCTGGAGGGTCTTCAAACACGGTGATGGGTTTGCGGGCGAGAAGAACCTCGATGCACCGATTATTTCCAAGTGGCTGCCGTTCGTCGTGGGCGCCGAGGTCTTTGCCTATGTCACAGTCTTGATTCGGTGCATTTATCGGTAAGAGCCAATATGCGTACAAACAAGACACTTTACTGACCCCGATATCTAGTATCCCGGAGATGGCTGGTGGCTGGGGAAACCCGCTGATGCAGAAGGAGAATGAGTTCCTTCTCTTGGACGGAATGTAAGTGGTCTCTTGGTTCTTTTGAAAGCTGGGGAAATCATAGCTGACGTGTCATTAGGATGATTACTCTCGCCTGTCTGGCCTTCACCGTCTTCCATCCTGGAAAGTTCCTCCCATCATTGCGCTTCACGTCCAAGACCCGCACATAATAGCATTCTTTTATATTTCTTTTGAGGGTGCTCTCGGCGTTTTTTAGATACTTTCTTTCCAGCATGTGCCTATGTCAGAGATGATATACTCTACTTAATCAGGGTGTAATGAAAACATAAGAATCAGTTGTCGCTCTACATTTGTGCTAGATTTACGTCAGATTCGGAAATTATTTCGGAAATAGATTCGATCCAAACCAGACAAGTACGCTAAATAAAGCTCCAGCCTCACGAAATCGCAAAGAAATGCACCACAAAGTGACCAGCGATCGAGAGCATGGCAAATTATTGCTCGCTCTATGCAATAAAGAAGAGAAAAGAAGAGAACACCGCTCGCCGCGGTACATTGAAGAAGAAGAACCCCGGCAACTCCATGTTAAATCAGACATAACCCGCCATCTTAAATTGCCGTGTATAATTAAATCGTGTCTAGTCGTCCAACGTCAGACGGACGCACCGTCGGACACGCTTCTTAAACTCCGCAGGGTCCTCACGCCATAGCCGAGCAGCCTCCACATTCGCCGGGCTCTCGTCGTTTGGGCTGGAAAGCATAGAGATGACGGACAAAAGGATCGTCTCGGGTGTTTGCACGGGAGACCAGCGTTCCGCAGCCGACTCATAGCCGTATTTGTCCTCCTCGGGCGGGTGGAGAATGGAAATGCAGACGTCGCCACTCTCATAAACTATTAAATCGGAGTAAATTGTGAGTAAGTTGTCTGTGATAAATAATTCAACCGGAACCACATACTATTCGGATGGAAGATAGGAGATTCGAACTTCATCTTTGGCGGCCGGTGAGGGTATTCTGTTGGGAAAGAGAGACGAGCCCTGAAAAAACCACCTAGGCAAGCAAACTTGTGAGTATTCTTCAATGCATTTGTAGCAACATATCCCTAGACGGCATTATGTTTGCCACAGCACCAGTCGAGGAATTGACGTCAAATCCATAGAGAAATGAGGCCATCACATACCTCCATACAGCTTCACATCGTCTGATATCATGAGCATAACTTCCCATTCGAAAACGTTATTATCGACCAAGCCACAACTGATGCCGGGAATATCCTTATCGGACTGCATCTGCTGCAGTTGGCGGGACAGCATGCGCCCGGCGGGAGAAGTCGCCATGCTGATAGTCGAGGAAGATAAAGCAGAAGAGTGGAAGGGTGAAATTGGGTCGATATCTGAAATCGGGTTCAATGTCAAAAGAAAGACAAAGAGTAGGAGATGAGGAGACGGTGAGGGGCGCAAAAAGAAATGTAGGCGGTAAGGCTAAAGCGGGGTTTGATAGCCTAGATGGGGAGGCGGTAGACACCATGGGCACGTAATTAGTTGCTACTTTGTATGTCTAGGTAGCCCTGGAGGTATAGACTCGATGAGGACCTTAGGGTTGTCGTTATGTTTAAATCTCGTAGTGCATGAGGAAGGTGAAAGACTATTGTATGAGGCAAACATTTCAATCTCTCCCAATGATATAGATGTAGCAAACGCAACAATTACACACACATCCCAGCATTTCATCATGTACCAAACATCGGATCTCAATGGCTTTTTACTTTCAGCTCATTTAGAGTCCAGGGGCACCCATATCGATCGGTTTGGCAGTCTTGGAAATCCAAAAGATCTGACCACCAAGTACCAGAAGAGCGAAAAAACCAAGTGCCACCTCCATGGCAAATGTCTTGCCAATAACCTTGGCGAAGCGGATACGGGCAGCCCAGTCAAAGGTAGTCCATGCATCCATGAGGCCGATCTTGCCGCTGCCACCGGTGATGGCCGGACGGACTTTGCCCCCGAAAGAGCGATCAAATGGCACAATAGTCTCATCCTCCTCGGGAAGCATGGAGGCAGCCACACGGACAAAGATGACACGAGCGGGCATAGATATCAAGAATGCCAAAAGAGCAGGAACCACACTGACGCCCATGAAGCGGTAGATGGCCACAATAGGCGGGACTTCCTGATAACCGGAAACATCGAGCCAGCCAGCAAGATTGGCAATGGCCATGGGGATGAAGAAAGCAGCAGCGGTGAGGACATCCTGGAGAGCAGCGGCTGGGGCAATCTTGATCCAGGTCTTGTAGCTGGGGATACGCTGGTAGAAGCGCTTTGGAGAGGGCTCAGAGATAACAATGTGCACCCAGGCCATCTGCCAAGTAGCCAGTACCACGCTCAGGACGGATTGAACGACAAACTGGCCCAAATATGAATTGGTAGGCACAGGGACAAAACCTGACAGGAACCCACGGGCCATAGTGTAGGCCACAAACATGCTCATTCCACGGAAGCGAGACCAGAAGCCAGCGCGGGAGCGGAGGTGCTTCACAGTGGTGCGCAGCTTGCTGGTGATAGGCTTGAGGGGAGTAGGAGCGAGCAGCTCCGGATCATTCTCGTCGGTTGGCTTGGTGGGATCGGGACTGGGAATAATGCGTACGTAGATATCGGGGTTGGTATCTTCCACTACAGCCAGAGTGGAGACCACCATTCCATAGGTATACTCGATCTGTCGAGTGTTAGTTCCACAAGGTGATATCTGGAAAGATTTTTTTACTTACAGACCAGAAAACAAGCCCAATCAAAATAGCAGTGATAGCAAACAGAGCCACCAAGCCTCCATTCGGCTCCTGCTTCTCAGGCTTAGACTGCATGTGAGTGACAGCAAGCTCGGTGCCCCGACGCATCAGGACGTTAGTGACGGACATGATGAAGCCGACACTGGTGAATATATATATAATATATTCGATGGAAAAGAGATGGAAACACGAGGTTGGAAGTGCAAAGATGAGAGGGGAAGACGGGGGCTTTTATCTGATACAAAGCCAGGCAGCAGACCACTAGCGCCGGAGTCGTCGGTACCCTTAGAGTACTTAGAGTTCTGACGGACTCCACCTATAATTTTAGGTACCTGGCGTGTACCCTGATCAGCCTCACGAGGAACTCGGACACTTTCTTGGACATTTCCATTTCCCTCGAACAACTTTTGTTCTCTCTATGGGATGGCCATGTATCTACTATTTTGTACTACTTCTTACTGCCTTGGACTATTTGCTTCAAAATTCACCCAATCATCCGATGATATAAATAGAAACCCCTGGGATCATCGGCGTCCAATTCCTCCGTGCCGACCAAACATTGCCAGGTTGCCTCCGATCACCATTGGCCCCCGACATGTTAGCGCTAAATCCAGGGTGCCTAGGCGAAGCCGGCTCGGCCAATTCTCCCCATCGAGAGTGAAAAAAATAAATGAAAATACCGCTTGAGCCTCAATTGTCTCAGGCAAAGTGTATATGGCTAGAATTTGCCAGCTTGTATACATTCTAGATCCAATGTGGCATGCCCAACTCCCAGAAATCACCAGAAAGTGACTTTCTATAAATATCGGATATCAACCAAAGATCTAAAACGAACCCCAACATGACCAGAAAGATGCGAACCAATCAAAGCCAACTCATGGTCGCAGACAACCATCCGTGGATGGGAGACAAAACGCTGAAAAAAGAGATCAATCATGGTATGTACACAACAAGAATTCTCCAACTTTAGTCAAATAACTTCTTCATGCCCTTGTGTGCCAGCTCAACGCCGAGGAAAGTGGCGGCATTGGCAGGCACCGCACGGGCGAGAGCAGGTCCGAATCCAGGGAAGAAGGCCTTCAAACCGCCGCTAGCGTAAACCGAGCGGATAACACCACCCATGGTAGGCTTGCCCGGTGCGCTCTGCAGGCGGGACTTGATGGTGTCAACGGGGAAGACAGGGATCCACATAGCGATACCGGCAGCACCACCAGCGCACACAACGGCAGATAGGGAGAGCTCGCCCGTCACGTTGCCTTCGGCATCCTTGGGGGTCAAGGAGCGCTTGATGTACTCGTAGGCCGCGAAGTAGGCGGCCGAGCCGGGACCATCACGGGCCAACGTCATGGCGCTACCACGGAACACGCTGCGAACACCACCTTCCTTGTACAGCTGGCGCACGACATCCAGACCACCGGAGTACTGAGGTTTCTCGCCCGGAGCCAGTTGCTTCTGGCCCTGGATCTGGAGGAGGACCTTGACACGCTCGAAGGGTGCCGTGATCAGGGTCATGGGGATGGCGGAGAAGAAGCCTGCAGAAGAGATTTGTGCGATGGAGTACTGCGGGGTGTCGTTCTTGACTGGGACGGTAGAGAACTTGCTCACGAGAGTCTTGCCCACGTCGTAACCCTAATTTGTTGTTAGTATCGCTTCCGGACGGGCGCTCGCAGCTGCGGGCGCAGAGAAAAAGAAAAAAAGACGAACCCAAAAGCTGACGGCAACTGTGAGACAGGACTGATTAGCTCATAACTCGATCAATTTCAGATGTGAGAGCCATTATGGCGCATGCTAGAGTACTTACACATGGGAGTAACTCCAACAAGCGGCGCAGAGACACCGGCATACAATCCCTAGGAACCATTGTCAGTTCGGTCGCAAAGTATTCAATGTGCTTGTGGTGATCATACTCGAGCCAATCCTTCACGGGCTACCGTCTTCCGGACCACATCCATGGCACCTGAGTAAACTCCCTTTTCGGCCGTCTGCAGGCGCACCTTGACTAGATCAAACGGGTGTCCAACGACGACAGCGCAGAGACCACCAACGGCACCGGCTGCGAGAGAGCGCAGCTGTACAATTGTCTGGTTGACGGCCTTGGTCTCGATGTCGTTGATCTCATTCTCAAGCTGCTGCGCGGTGGGGGAGGTAGAGGAAGACATTATGGGCGAGTCGGAGCGGGGAGAGACAGGGATGGAGATAGGGATGGAGGATGAGGGGAGAAGAGGGTGAAGACAGCAGGGGCCAAGAGTAAGATGGGAAAGTAATTGATAGCGCAATAAGAAAAAATTGACCGGGGATCTTCAAATGATGGAGACGGAGACACAACCGAAGCCGACTGGCCTTCCCCGGACGAAGGTGTGCCTCGGTTCGGCAGCGGAAAAACCGACTCCCCGTGGTAGATACTAGCAAGTAAGAAGGAAGTCTACAGTACTGTTGAACTAAATATTATGGAGACATTTGGCATGTTTTGCTGGGTTTCCTATAAGAATTGAATTAGAATATACTCCTACGGCGTCAGTGGCCCCGAGTGCGCCAGTCCGGGTGAACGGGAGAGCTCAACCACTCCACGTTTTCCCCGCGGAATAAAGGATGGCTGTGTCAGGATTAGGTTTGCTCCATCTCTAGCTTTTCTCAAAGGGTATAGGTGCAGGGGAGATGTGAAGTGCCTGTATCGTTGCAAATGTGTACATGTACGGAGTAAGTACTTGGAAGTCCGAGTTCTACTCCGTAGGGTCGCAATCACATGGAAATCCACGTGCTTTATCAGGACGAGAATTAGTATTTATACATCCATACATCCATACGTCTATGCATTCAGATGCATAAGGAAAAAAAAGGATTCAAACTGAAACACCTCATATTCAGCTACTCCTTTACCCCGGAACTTGCTGTAGAATGCAAGGCTGCGGTTTGCGCCAGTGGCGAATCCTTCTATCTCAGTCTTGGTACCCACTTGGCGTTCCAAAGAAGAGGGTTTGATTTCTTCAACCCTTCCGTACGGAGTACTTAATTAGTGTCAACTCGCAAGAAGTACAGAGTATAAATGCATAATACAGTTTTCATTCATTAAGCTCGATTGACATTATATTAACAGCTCCGTAGAGCAAAGAGAGACAAACATGATGGTACCCATCAAGAACCCGTTCCATATTGTACCTATACAAGCCCGACGACGGCAACACATGAATCATAACCCATAAAGTAACATGGAGTACATGCGGACTCTACGCATTCACATGTGGGACGTTTACAGAGCGAGGATAGCGACCAGGCCGAGGACGCCCATAGCACCACTGCCGACAGTGGCCATGGGGGCAGCGGCACCGGAGCTGGATGTAGGAGCAGCAGAGCCGGAATCCGAGCCAGAGGTAGACTCAGAGCTGCCGGAATCGGAGTCGGAGGTAGACTCAGAGCTGTCGGAGCCGCCAGTGGAGGTGGAAGAGGTGCTGGTGCTAACCTTGGTCACCATGGAGCCGGAGGCGTCGGTGCTCTAGAGATATGGTCAGTGTGGTTTTCAAGAAGAAGATCAAGTGTATCTTACAGTGATGGTGGAAACGGAGCCAGTGTTGGAGGCAGAGGCCTCAGTGCCAGTCAATGTAGCGGTGGTCTTGGAGCCAGAGGCATCAGTGCTAGTCACGGTAGCGGTGGTCGCGGAGCCAGAGACGTCAGTGCCAATCACGGTGCTGGTAATCGCAGAACCAGAGGCATCAGTGCTGGTCACGACAGCGACGCCAGTGGTTGTGGAGCCAGAGGCATCAGTGCCGGTCACAGTAGCACCGGAGCCAGAGGTTTCAGTGCCAATCACAGTCTCGGTGGTCGCGGAACCTGAGGCATCAGTGCCGGTCACGACAGCGACGCCGGTGGTCGTAGAGCCAGAGGCATCAGTGCCGGTCACGGTAGCATCGGAGCCAGAGGTTCCAGTGCCAATCACGGTCTCGGTGGTCATGGAGCCAGAGGCATCAGTGCGGGTCACGACAGCGACGCCAGTGGTTGTGGAGCCAGAGGCATCAGTGCCGGTCACGGTAGCACCAGAGCCAGTAGAAGTGGAGTCACCACCAGCACCGGAGGTAGATCCAGAGGTAGAGCTAGAGTCAGAGCCGGAGGTAGAGCTGGAGTCAGAGCCGGAGGTAGAGCTAGAGTCAGAGCTGGAGCTGGAGGTGGAGTCAGATCCCGCGACACCGCCTGCGATATAATGTTAGTTTACCATATCAAGTGTTCGAACTACTAATAGTCACGTACCAGGGCACTTAGCGACGGCCATAGCGAGAACCGTCTCGGCGTCGTCGTTGGGGCAGGCCTCCTTGGTGCAGTCACGGATACCGTACTTGTAGTTATCGCTCTTGCACAGGCAAGCGAGGTCACCGGACTTGCAACCCAACTCGGAGGCCAGGTTGCTCATGTTGTTGAGACACATAGTCTAGAGTCGATAAGGATTAGCATTGAGTATGATTCAACACGGGATTAATCGAACTTACAGCACACTCCGAGGCAGCAGACTCGGCGGCGACCATGCCAAAAGCGGCCATCAAGGCCAGAGCAACGGGGGAGAAGGACTTCATGATTAAGAATTAGGGGAGGAATTGAGGATTCTCGAGGTCAATGTGTAAGGGACGAGGAATTGGCAAAAGTGGAAATTGAAAGAAATCTGCAGATGGGGACCTTTTATAAAGACAGGCCTGAGAAACAAAAACAAAGTCTGCATCAACCTCACCAGCCACCTGCCCCAGACTATAAATTGAGTCTCCATATTTGACAAAAGAGGAATAAAGTGGACGGAGCAAACGGTAAAGCCCAATCACCATAGCGGTGTGGATTGCCTGGCAAGGCCAAGTTGGGATTGTTCTGCGACCCAACGTGGCGATGAGAGAATGAATCGATTGCTTAAGCGATATGAAGTCATCACAACATCCGAATCCTGGATTTGCCCTCTGTAGTGGCCTGAAATGGGGTGATCGCCCCGGGGATAGCTCACACCTCTTCTCCATCGTCGATCTCATAGGTCCATCTAATTTGCCAGGGGCCCCGTTCGGAATTGAATTTTGGCTTTTGGCTTTTCCACGATGTTCTCCATTATTGGAGCCAGCCCTCCCATTTTGCCGATAGGGGAATCCGTTTGGCTGGCATCATTAGGGGTAACCAAGATTTTGATGGTGGTTGAGCTTCCAAGCTTTCTTTCCTCTCTGTGTTCACCGATTTGAGCAATGTTTATGGTCAAGATAGGCGAAGATCGACGGGTCCCAATCGGAGCTGAGGCCGGCACTAAACTGGATTGTCGAATAGTCAGAGACACCCCGATCGCACTATTGAAAATTTGAAAACTCAGTTGTTGGGACACCGCTATTTTGTGGCTGAACCTTGGGACACAGCCACACTATCAATATCACCATGCCATGGACTCGACGCTATTCCGGACTCTAGGCTCTACGGACTTATTACGGACTACTATTATGTATTCCCCGATCCTGAATTGTAGACGGAGGTCGGACTATAAACTACCCCCGTTCTGTATACACAGGGTTGATTCCCAAGCTTGTTTCAGCTTTCAAGGGATACCCCTGGAAAGAAACTGGCAGCTTTGAGATACGTAAGAATTGAATTGAAATCATTTGACTCGCATCGTCTCCTTCCTTTTTTTCTTCAAACTAGTAAAATATTCCGCAGATCGGAATCAAACATCCACCTTGGATGCGAGATACTACGGACTCCACATGAAGATAATGCATGGAGATTTACGGAGTATGTGCTCCGTACAGACCTTATATAGAGTACGGAATAATAAATTAAATTGATTAAGCTAGGTACATAGCACTATCCGTACAATAATAATATCAATTGCCACTTTACTTTGACACATCCCTAACCCCCAAGGTTTATACCAGGTTTGACGGCGTCCGGTGTTATGACCATGTGCTAATCTTCTATTTCCTGATTGCACTGTTGACATTTGAATATAGTCTAGGGCTACGCGCCAAGCAAGCTGATATCTAGCAAGTGCGGCTGTGCGGAGAACTCCGTACAGCATGTTCCCGCTATTGTATGAGCCCACATCGACTGAAGCTCCCATTCGTGCAGACGTCAACATCGTGGGAACCTGCATAGATTCACCTTGGCAAATTTGAGACACCGCTATCTCTGACTTTGTATGCCCCAAGGCTGCTATCGCTAACTCTCACAATGCTGAGGTTCAGTATCTCTACTCTACTCCGTACTCCGTACTCTAGCTATAGTTAGGATTGACTGGTAAAGTCCAACATTGTTAGTAATATTGACGTTACATCGAGTCCAACGCTACGGAGTACTGCCTGGCTTATCTGGACTTCCCCGCTTCGAAATCCTCCAACTTCTAACCTTCTAAACCTCCGCGACCTAGAGAGTTCCAGTTATCTTAAAACTCGGCTCGGTTCATTAAAATGGTTCTCAGAAGTTCAAATTCGCCATTGACCTCCGAGTTCGATGCCTTGGTACAGCAGCAGATGGACAAATGGAAAGTCCCCGGACTCTCCATGGCTGTCGTTCATGGCTCCAGCACCTGGTCAAAAGTATGAAGACATAGTGCACTTTATTATTGCAGACCACTAAACCACTTTTAGGCGTATGGATTCGCCGAGTTTCCTGATCGCAAGATGACCACCGATTCTCTCTTCTCTACTTGTAGCACCACTAAGGCATTCACCGCAGCGGCCATGTCTCTCGCCATCGACGATAGAAAGGATACCAAATTCCCCCTTCGCTGGGATACCCCAATTTCGTCCATACTGAGAGATGATTTTGTGCTGGAGAACGACTACAACACAATGCATACTACCATAGAAGATGCCTTATCGCACCGCTCAGGGCTTTCGACTCACGACGCCTGTTTAAATTTAGTGCATCCCCAGAGATCCCTGCGCGAAGCTGTTCGCAACTTGCGACATCTTCCTATAGCCTATGCGCCCCGCACTACCTTTTCCTACAACAATAACATGTATATGGTGGTATCCCATGCATTGGAACAAATTGAAGGCCGAACTCTCGGCGAGACTCTCAAGAAACGTATTTGGGATCCATTAGGAATGAACGACACATACTTCTCCGTCACAGATGTCTCGAAGGACCCATCTCTTCGTCCTCGACTCGTACGAGGCTACACCTGGGACCCAGACACCAACACCTACATCGCAGAACCATACATGAACGACGTCGCTGTGACTGGAGCCGGCGCCATGGTGAGCAGCGTACTCGAATACACCAAGTGGCTGCGCGCGATGATTTACCAAGAGGGTCCCATCTCCTCACAGGGCCACGCAGAACTCCTGAAGCCACGTACGGTGATCACAAATTGGGATGAGATCGTCGCACCTCCTGCGGTCCCATGCCATCTCTATGCCTTGGGATGGTTTGTGGGTAGTTACCGCGGTGAGCCGTTCTACTGGCACAGCGGGAGCTGGCCCGGATTCGGCATCATGGTGGGCTTCCTACCGAGCAAGGGCTTTGGCTTTGCTATGATGGGTAATACGACGAATGCCCGAAATGCGCAGGTGGAGATCTACATGCACCTTCTAGATCAGATTTCCGGAGGATCGCGGATCCCACACCCAGTGGCAGTGGGCCAGGCGACAGAACTGGGAAATAGGACGCTCAAAGCCAAGTCCGAGTGTGTGGACGAAGCCATCAAACGGCTTTACCCGTCTCTGCCTGATCCTGTCATTCCCCATTCTTTACGGTTGAACCAATATACGGGGACATACGAGCATCCTGCGTGCAGTTCTATCACTCTATCCGTGCGAAATGGGTGTTTGGTTGCAGATCTACTTGACCGTGCTATTCCTTCCCTTATCACTCTCGTCCATGCAAGCGGGGAGTTCTTTGTGGCGCATCACTACCAGCCTAGGACAATTGGATCTCTCTCCGGTTACTACGCTACGGAATTCATAGTGGGTTCTAATGGAATTGCTACGGCGATGGGCCTGGATGTGGAGCCAGCCTTGAATGGAGAGAAGATGTGGTTTGATCGCGAGTACTGATTTTCAGTTATATAAATCGGCGTTGTATATATTTGATATCCGTCGCCATCCGCTTGAATTGATAATTGAAAAACTCACCCCCCTCTGTCAAATTAGACCTACATACATACACATGTAGTTGCTACTCCGTATGTAAATCGAAGCTTATTACCAAACCCATGACACTGACTGGATGCCAGGATACGAAAAATACAGATGCCTAGCGGCCCGAAATAGCCATTCGGCGATGCCGAACCGGCTCGGGCTCGGTCAAGTGGAGTCTCAAAAATTTCATCTGGCAGACCAGACGAGCAAAAAGTTACTGACCGACGCAGGGATCGAACCTGCAATCTCTTGATTCGTAGTCAAGCGCCTTGCCATTGGGCCAGCCGGCCATATGATAATTTGGCTAAAATGTGCGCTATAGGGTGCGGCTCGGTCAAGGATGATTTGAAATTTGAAATTAGGTACCTTTTGTATGGTATACTCATACAAAGGGTACTTTATTATAAAGTTCAAGGGTTGTTTAAGTATATCAAACAAAAGGTACCTAATTTTGTAATTTATCGTTCAGTGAAGATGGCGCCAACACACGGTATGTGTTGGGGCGCTTGGCACGATCATCGGAGAGATTGGATATATACTCATTTCCAGGCGTGTGTAATAGAGTCATATATACACATCAGTAACGGGATATACATAAGGAACAAGAACAGTAGGGTATGTAAATGCAAGAAAACGCCGTGAAGAAGCCAAAATAAGATGCCGGTTAGACCGAGTCATTCGACTCTGACTCGGCAGTGTCCGCCACGTAAACATGCAGCAACATGGAGGCCTTTTCCGAAACCGTGCCTTCTTCTTCTGAGACAATCCGGGACCGGTAGCCTAGTACCCTCTGCCATCCAAGGCACACCCCCAATGAGGCCAGCAGCTGTCCGATGAAGAACCCAACCAAACAAGCCACCAACCCGGCGACGACACCTAGCAAAGCAGGAACGACGATGGGACGGATGATGCGCATAAAGGAGTTCTTGTGATGGCGGTAGTGAGGATGACGGTGTTCAGCGTGGCGGTGGAGGTTAGCGGGAGTGGCCCAGAACGAAAAGAAATGAGTCTCCGGTGCCGAACGGGTTTCATTCTCATTGCTGCTAACCTGGATAGCATCGGGTTGAGCGGGAGATTCCATCGGGGGTGCCGCCGTGGTTTCCGCGGTCTTGGGCTTATCGAAGACGGAGCCGAATTGTGTCCTCCAGTAATTGATCACCCAGGGCTGGCTCTTCTCGTATAGATGACCATCTTGATCGCTGCCACGGGCTGGTTCGACACGGATGCGGGTCATCTCGTACTTGTCACTTTGGTAAGCAAGGAGGTCGACGGCTACAGCGTCAGGTGACACCAGGTTGTTCTGCAGATCGAACCACTCGACTCGCACACGGATCATGTCCGCGATGGATGCCATGTCGTTGTTCTGGAGTGGCTCGACGTCGAGCGTGTAGGACAATTCCACGGTATTGTCACTGGGGTCGATTTGGTCTGCGCTGCCATAGAGGGGCGCATGGAGCTGCATTATCACTGATGGGGGATAGAGTTGGTGGTCATTGGCATATAGGCTTCCATTCTGAATGCTCAAATTTATAGACTGTATCATATTAGGATTGAATTAATTGGGTCAAAACAGAAATATTTATCACGCACGAGTCTTGATCTGACGCAATTTTCGAGGTCGTCGGTGGAGGGAGCGAAAGGGAGTCGGAGTTGATGAGAACTGGGGACGGCAGAGGCGAGGGCACTGCCCAGAGAGAGCATTACCCAAAGCAGCTGCATAATGAGCAGTGTAGGATATTGAAGTAAATAAAGTCAATGACGTGCGATAGAGGGAGGGGAGAAGAAGAGAAAGAAAGAAAAAGAGAGACAGCAAGGCTTATAATGTACGGAGTAAACCCTTCGTACTAAGGTTCGGTCCAATACACCTTATAAAGAGGAAAAGCTTAGCGTTGGTCTCAGACTATTCTTAGTGTGTGTGTCTCAACTCGGGAAATGCCAATGTCTCATCCTTCGCAAGTGTAACCCTAGCACGCTCACATTAATATGTATTACAACATCGATTTGAACAGCTCGTTCAATTCTCTGCTGCCTAGGAACTATCGTGTACTCCAATGGTATCCACCCAAGCCAATCCCACCGAACCGACACCTTGCTCGGATTTAATTTATCGTACGGGGTCCGCGGAGAGCGAACTCTGTTCGACAGATCGACGGATTCAAGACAGAATAGTTAGTTGCGGGATCCCAATGTAGTAAGTGATCGAGTGATCGAGTGCTCAAGAAATGGCCGACACAGTCAGCGTGTCTGATGTCAGATTGAAGAGGCATTCACCATTGGACCCTGTGAATCCACCTTGTTGGCCTGGGAGAAAAATGACATTGAAGACCATGAATCTTGGCGAAATAAGAAACTGCAATTAATACGAGTACAAGGAGATACCGACTTGTATGATTTCTGTGTGTTCGTTGGTTCGTTTGTCCTGACTTACCAATGGATATCCCACGTGGGTGGAGGAATCTCAGATTAATTATCTCGAATTACCTCCAACTCTCGCAATTCTACACTTCCATTTCCACCAATTGAACCGGCTTATTTACACATCCTATGTACAGCATCCATCGTGTCTATATTGCATCACACACTCAGGTCGCCTGGTAATAAGGCGCAGTCTGCCAGAACCGGCAGCGTGGGTTGTTGGTCAGGTCCCGCGTCGCCTGGATGCTATTATTGCCAATGTTCATGAGCTGTGCATACTGGCCATGCTTTCGGAACACCGGTGCCAGATGAGACTTGGGCACGCCATGCTGGACAAAGCTGGTGAAATAATCCTGCATAGCCAACGCCACGGTCGCGTTGGTGACTCCCAGGAGCGAAGAGCTGGTCTTATTGTCGTAGAACGTGTATGAGACATCCTGTCCGTGCAGCGCGGGCGGGATGCTGAACTCATACGCATAGGTCTGATTGTAGAACGCGCGGTTGATATAATCGGTATTGCACTGGAAGATGAGGTCGGAGATGACGAGCGCCGTGCGCGCGACCGAGTCGGTGTACCCATAAGACCCGTTATAGACCGGTGGGTAGAGGACATTATAGACAAAGTCGGACACGTTTTTGGGAGTGTTCGGTGACAAGGTCTTCATTTGAGTGGCCAGACCGGTGCTCTTGACGCTGTCCGGCGAAGTAAAGGCCAACCCCTCGTCTGCGTTATGGCCGACCATGATATTCAAGTTGGGGTCGAAATCGCCTCGAAGCAAAAGCTGCCCCGGCAGAGCTGGAACGAAGCTGCCGTCCACAACGGGACCGTAGGTGAACTGTCCCCACTGGGACTTGGTCGCGACCTGGTACGCATTGGCCGCGATCAATTTGGCCGAAGGCAATTTCCGGGCTTGCTCAATCGTGCTGACATTGAGAATTCCTAGGAACTGTTGCAGCGTGGCTTCTTGCTCCTCTTCGCCAATGACTGGGACCCAGCCTGGGCTCTGCATGATCGCTTGTTGGAAGGGTGCAGCGCCGCGGGTGCCTCCATACGCGGTGATCTGATGAAGGATTGATCCTGCGCCGGCAGACTCTCCCATAACTGTGACTCGGGTTGCATCTCCACCGAACAGGTGAATGTTCTTATACACCCAGTCAAGAGCAAATCGTTGATCGTGCAGCGCTGCATTGGCCGTGCCATTGGCTGTGATACTGTCGCCACCAAGCCAGCCAAATGCACCCAACTAAGAAATTAGTATTTTCACGACAGCGACGGAAAATGGGTCGTTGACTTACTCGATAATTCAAGGCAACATAAACAACCCCATCATTGTTTCCCTGCTGACTTCGCTGGATCAATCCGGTGGGGTCGGAGCTGCTCTTTTCTCCCCCCACATAGCCTCCACCATAGATCCACACCAGCACCGGCGCCAAGTTCTTTCGGAATGCTGCGGCTTCACCTTTGCTGCGTTCGAAGATCTTCTTAGGCACAATCACATCGAGGAATAAACAGTCCTCAGTAGTGCGTGGGTCTTGCTTCGCCGGTTTGTACTCGTAGGAAGAGATGTTGGTGGATAGAGGGAAGGATGTATTATAGAAGTAGCTCAAGAGGAAGGCTTCTTCGGCAGTTGTCGACCACAACGGGGCTGCCTGGGGACAGATCTTTCCCACAGAGCCATTCTGAATGTGATCTCTGTTTTGTTTGGGAAGTACAGGCGCCTGGAATCGCAACTCGCCAACCGGGGGTGCGGCATAACGGATGTTGCTGAAGTTGTAGAGGCCATGGGAGTTCTACTTATGTCAGGGGTAATCAAGATCAAGCTAAAGAAGAGTCAACTAACATTGAATGAGATTGCTTGGTGCAGCTCATATCCCAGATCAACTACAGGGAGCTTGGAGGCCAGACAAGCCGAAGCCAGCGTCAACAACAACACAGCGACCATATTGACCCCTGCAGAGCAGAACAAAAACACAGGGAAAAGAGGACCACTGGAGCTTCCAGGTTTATATTAATACTAGCCAGAAATCCCGAATTTATCCCGGTACAAAGTAATCTATGTTGTATTTCATCCCTACGTCCGAGTGGAGAACTCCGTACGGAGTATATGATTGTCCAACAGAGAACGAGATCGACCTCGTAATCGCAGCTTAGTCAGAGGGGAAATCGGTCCTTTCTATCCGATTTAATATGGGCGATGATGTCAAAGCGAGACATTGCTTCTAACACACCAATAAGAGATGAGATCACACTGCGCTAAATCCGGGCTGAGCTGCGCCATCCAGGAAATTGTTGGCACCGACTTGCGGGGTACTCCGGGAACTACAACATAAAAACGCCTCGTCAGATGGAGCACGCGATCAATTGCCTAGAACGGTGTTCATTTGTTATACGGTGAATCATCGACCTCGCGAACCTTATACTCGAACATCTGGTTAGAGGGCACTTCATGCTCGTTCTGGAGTTTCGCGGCACTCTCGGCGCCCGCGGCTGGCACACGGTATTCGAATCGTTTCCCACATGCTGGCACAGATCCGTCGGGCAGTGCATATGGAAAAGGCAGATATTCGGGTAACAGACCCAGTTGCACAAGTACTGTTGCCTGGTCCCATGAAATGTGCTCATGAAACAAGCGATCTCCGCGGATGTTGACTACAGATGTGAATGGAACGCGGACATATTTTCCCGTAGGAGGGATCCCGGGGATTCTAGGCAGATGTCAATTAATTGCTCAGCTGAGCCACAGGAACCAATCACCCACATCCAGTCCATCTGCTTCACATGAGTGAACACAAAGATAAATTCGTCCACAATTCGGTCCGTGCCTACTGTCCGACTAATAAGCTCCAAAGCTGTGTCGTCGGGGTTGTTAAAGATGAAATGATTGAGATAAAAATGGCTTAAACGAGCTCGTCCAATGCCTCCTGTCAGCGTTGGCACATGATTCACGTAAGGCTCTGAGACCATCGTCGCCATTGTCTTTTCGACCGAGCGTGCTTCGAATTCATAATAGGTGTGCTCGTCCCAGATCTTCTCGAGGTCAAAGAACGGGCCACCCGTGTGCTTTTTGACAAATCCGACAACCCGCGTATGAGCTACTCCTGCTGTCGATATGTTGAAATCCGGATGGCCTGGGATCATGAAGCTAGGAAAGCATACATCGGAGTATATGTGTATAGTCTGTCCTTCCTTCTTCTCGACTTCCATTGGACCAGATAGCTGGAAAATGGTTGACTGAAAGAAGGGAATGTGCCAAGAGTCGAAGAATACCGCGGCGATCAGAGCCGTGCCTTGAACCAGTGCACCTTGGAGACTTTCCTCGAATTGAGGAGCATAATCTTTCTTTGATCCATAAACTGGTTTGTGTCAGTGGAGGCTAGTGAAAGGGCCGGGTTGACACTTCGTACCTATCAACCCAACCTTTTCCTTCGTATCACACTCGGGCCTCTCTGCTAAGCCACACTCAGCTTCTTGAAGAAGCTCCCGCAGAGATGATATGTTAATAGCAGACTTTTCGTCCACAGTAATCTGTGCCACTGTAAAGCTTTCCTCCGCCCATTTTTTGAGGGGTTCTGGATCAAGCGTTTTGTTCTGCTGCTGGCATGTCGCGTAACAAAGAGGTCGTATGAGAACCAGTCCTGGACCCTGTCCACAGCGGGAAAGAGGAGGATGAATGGTCACATATGGACTCAAGTCCACTGGAGCGGAAGATAAACTTGACTCGGTCATTTCGCACTCAGAAGTTGGAAGTTGAGCAAATGGGGGTCTCCAAGTGGCCGGCCGATCGTTATATGTACCGGCCTGTCACCCCCACTAGTGAGGATAAGGATACAAATCAGCTATGCAAGAGATACGCTCTCGATACGCTTGATCGGTCAGATACTCATCATGTAATTTTGCAATCATCGCATTTATCTCAGAGCTACTATCCACGTGACCTGTCATGCTCGGCCCGTTCATTTCTACGCGCAAGCTGTCGCTCTCCCAAGAGCACAACCCAACAATGAACGCACTTGTTCAGTCTGCGCTGACTGATGTTGAATCTAAACTCAATGTTCTTCTGACCAGCCTTACAACCTCTCCCACTGCTGCAGGAGCCCCCGCAGCAGCTATCGCCCTGCTCGATGCGGACGATGCGCTAACCTGCACCATTGAAACGCTTCGACAGCACCAAGAAAACCACGCGAAGATCCTTCGACTGCGAAACGAGGCACAACAATTGGAGGACCGAGTCAAGGGTATCGTGGGGGATATTGAAAGCTTCGAGAAAGAGATCCGGACTGCTTGTGGAGACAACGGCGACAGCGACAGCGATTTCGATTCCGACGACGACGACGACCTTGGCGGAAAGAAATCATTACTACGGGGAATCAAGGAGATTGACTACAGGTTACTCTTGGATTTCGCACGTCGCATCAGCAAATACAACCACGAAGCAGCAGCCGATGCAGCAACAGGCGTTGTGAAACGTCAGGAACAAGGAAATACTCCCGCCGACAAAGATGTGACAATGACGGGAACAAATGGAGAACAACCAACAGAGGAGGACGCAGAGCCAGTGGCATCTGTCACTAAAAACGCAACGCAGTGGTTGGACGAGTCCGCCAATGTTACGCGCCAGGTCTACATGCTGCCCTACCCGATGGAGGAACGGATACGGATGGGATTAATGGGTCAAATCCAGCTTTCTGCTGGTGACGATCCCGAAAAGGAGGTGGAACGGTTATTGCGCGAAGCTGAAGGTCTTGGGGCTGCAGAACCCCCGGCACCTGTGGAACCCGCCGAAAGCACAAAGCAGGCGGGCGAGGCTGCGAAGGCTGCAGCTCAGGCCGGATCATCAGCTACTGGAATGCCGCGGGCGCATGCCCCAGCACCAGCACCGAAACCAAAGCCCAAGGCGATGCTGGACCTTGATCTCTACGACCCCGACGAAGATGACGATTGAGTGTTTTAAAGCGGGCGTTGCATTCGATTTTCATAATGATACCAGCTAAACAGCAAAAAGCCATTCAAACTTTTTATTTTTAATTTTTTCAGCCGTGTCTCATTCCACATTTTGTCTGCCTCGGGGCGTTTGATCCAGCTTACGAGCCGAAGACTTGGCCGTCCATCCCCCGGAATCTCTTATTGCGCAGCGAAGCGAAGCAATTAAATCATAAACTCGTGTAGTTGTTACGTGGCGGTTGTTTCCCCTTCGAGGACAGTCTGCAAGGTGCACTAGTTCATACCATAATGAGTAACTAGCACTCGTATTGAAAAGAGAGTGCCAAGAAAAGATCTTACCTAATTAGGTTAGACCACTGTGCCAACAGTAAAATCGCTTCAGTTCTCCGATTCTAAATTGATCTCACTCTACAATCTATTCCCATTTTTGATTTCCCTTGACCCAATTAGACGACAAAAGATACTCCCACAAGATATAAAAAATTAGTAGTACTAGTTTAGTTCCTACATCTACAAGGCCGAGGAAAAGAACCTGCCCTGGTCAATCGAAAGTAGTAAACCATGGAGAAAATTTGATGTTGAATATCAGATCTTTTCTTATTTTCATAGTCGTCCATGATTACTGTTGAGCAAGGCATTCAAGTTGATCGGTTATCCCGTGAAAGAAGCACACTGGCACTACTGTAATATGAATTATCTATCTCCATCTCTCTGAAGATAGGAGACTCGCAATACGAGTAAGGCTACAACGGTTTTGACGATGAATTTAACGTGATTCCCGAGTGCAAGCTACAAGTTCTCTGATATTATACTAGAGGATCATGGTCTCCTTCAATGTACGTCACACTTTGTGGCTCATATGCACTGGTCATTCAGTATTCATAAAAAATCTTCCAGATCCCAAATGAGTTTAGTAGTGTGGGTGCCATGGCTTTGGTATCTATATTAGTCCTCGGCGGTGGATAGGCAAGTTTATTCTGAACTCAAAGGGTCCTCTACTCTTTTCAAAGTATAAGACTAGAATAGTTCCTTCCAACAAGAGATTCTCTGTTCTCTTTACCAGACCAGATTTTCTAAGAACTGTTTTATTATCTCCGACAATGTCTAAATTACCTAACAATAGTCCTCCGCAATGCGAATCACACCATCAAAGCCAAGATAATATACTTATCACTGTCATTCAGAATGAAAGATGCTTCCGGGAATGGGCGCGAAAATTGCGGGATCTTGATCCTAGATTCGAGAAGTTCTTCGATAGCTCATTTCAAGGCGACTTGAGATGCCCAAAATGTTTGGAGTATGTACTTCAAGGGGGCCGACAACTTGATGAAATGACAGACTTATTCAGAGAGGCTACGAACATACTCCAGGAAAGAACATCACACGGCCAGAATGAGCTCTATGATGCCATAAAAAAGCTTTCTGATACCGAGCTTGATCGCGTCTTTGCTTCTTCAAAGTTGGGCACAACATCGCATAGGCAACCTGAGCTGACTTGGAACCACAAAAACAATATAGACGGCCATGGGAACTTCAAATACAAGTCATCGAGGGCACGGATGTTTTTCCACGCTATCCAGGGGGTATGGGAACATCTCAAGGGCCCGCTAGTCTGAGACTCTTGGGATCGACAGCTTCCTGCGAGTCGCTTTTGTTTCTCTAGGATGGTCCTGACGGGGCATTATAAAGAGGAGAAAATAGCATATTGGTGTTTGCTTCTGTGATATGTTTTATGTTTCTTTATACCAATACCAAACCTTTACACTTTGGTATATATTTCACCGTATTCTACAATAGCGAGAAAGAGGTTTGACGTTGTTCATTACCCTTGCTGAATTGCTAGTAATATAATCCATCGGATATGAAGTAGTTGCAATCTTGACTAAGTCCTTGATATCTTACTAGGCACCGTATATGCTACTTATCATGCCACAAATGTAAATGACTACAAGACTCACCTTTCATGTAAATACAGAACCTACCTTCGAGATAAGAAACGTTTACAGCGAACGGTGAGATCTACGGATTAGCACGAGAAGAAAAGCCACGCAAGCACACATAGCAAGGATGCGATATATAATGAAATAAGAATACAGAAGAAGAAAAAAAAACAAGGAGCAAAATAAGAATACAAGAAAAATTAAAGATACAAACAAAGTATACAAAAAAACTTTGTTTGTCACATATCCTGTTTTCCCTTCATCTCACCTCGCTGGGGTTCTCGGGGAGAAGCAAAACTGGTGAAACGCCCAGAGGAACGCCTTGGTGCCAGAGGGGCTCGCTCCCACCCGAATTAGCGCTTGACCCAGCGTTCAAGGCCCCGGGCAGCACGGCCAGATTGCTGGACGGTGGTAACAGTGGCCTAGGCTTCGGCGGCCAGGGGGCGAGACAGAGAAGGGCCCAACGGAGCGGGCCTGCAGAATTTGCTATCACAATAGCTTTCATGTCAGTACCAATACTATCTCCGCCCGGACTATCTCCCGCCAACGCCTGCGCTGGTGATCAGTTCGAGCTTATCGAGTGACGAAGCCTTCTCCAAAAAATCTGAGAAGGGCGATTGCAGGAGAGCCTCATGACGATCCTGAGAAGAAGGCCTATTCATGTTCGCAGTCGCGATCTTTGGTGTAAGGATGAAGTGGGAGATATTATGACATAAGAGCGCGGGCGGAGGGGATCACTAGTTAACTAGGCTAGTTAGTTGGTTACTCGAGCAGTTTCTCAAGTGGTTGCTCAAGTAGTTACTAAAGTCGTTGACGATAAAGCAGTTGATAATGATATGACAAAAGGGACTTAATTTTATCAGTGGTTTACATACAAATTATAGGTACCTACTGCCATACTACTACCATATGGCAGGAAATATGCCTAATTGTGAACGCGGTACTGAAATTACAGGCAGGGGGGAGAATAAGCCAGTAAGAGGGGGCCTTTGCGTAGCATTAAAAGTTGGAATCAGTCGCTTCGCTCTGCAACGACAATCTAGAGACCTTGGGCCGTCAAGATTACTAGTAATTAGTCGATATGCCACTGTCTATCCCGTCGGAGGATTAGACCTGTTAATTCCAGAGGACAAGTTTTGTGTCACTGGTGGCTCCACCGCAGAATATACTTTGGCAGGCAGGGTTGCCTCTTCAGTCTATAGTTTGACAAATAACCGCTTTTCAGTATCTAAGGTGGCTTCGTGAGCCATTAGAATTCAGGCTAAGGACAGAACAGGGCTAGGAATTGCTGATAATTATTGATATAAAATCAAGCATGCGAGGTAGTTCATGTGCAAGGCGATTTTGATAGTGAATAGCCACTCTATTTTCTAAAATTTACCTTTGCCTTATATACTATCAGAAAGGCATATCATCTCAATAACTCGCTCGCATGGCTCAGTGGTAGAGCGCGTCACTCGTAGATTCAATCTGGAAATGATGAGATCCCCGGTTCAATCCCGGGTGTGAGCATATTTATTTATTTTTTTCGTCTTCTTCGGACAATTTGCTTTATAAAGCCAAATGTGCAGGAGTTTTTCACTAATTAGCTCGCATGGCTTAGTGGTAAAGCGCATGACTAGTACTAAGTCTATCATGAGATCCTCGGTTCGACTCCGAGTGTGAGCATTTTTTGCCTTTATTTAATCTCCATCTTTACATCAAGGATTGCTTCATATAAGCAAAGTTTTGAAAGGTTTTCATTAATCAGCTCGCATGGCTTAGTGGTAAAGCGCATGACTAGTATGAAAAGCTATCATGAGATCCTCGGTTCGACTCCGAGTGTGAGCATTTTTTTTGCCTTTGTTTGAGCTTTTTGACTGAGTGTTTTGCGGTTTCGTGTGAGCTGCTTTCAACCTTTTTGAGTTGTGCTTTCCATTATGGTAGTAGGCTTATATAGACAAAGGTGTGTAAGTTTTCCACCAATCAGCTCGCATGGCTTAGTGGTAAAGCGCATGACTAGTATGAAAAGCTATCATGAGATCCTCGGTTCGACTCCGAGTGTGAGCATTTTTTGCTTTTTTTTTATAAACTCCCTAGTGGTTGAGAATTGCGGCCAGCGGTGGACATACCTAAAGTAGCTACAGAGTAGCGAGTGTCGATAGAATGTGCCCGTGGTGCCGTCCTGCTCTCCTCACCGCCCTTTTGTCAAATTCGCATGTACCTAAGCAAGACGGCAGGTACCTGCGCTTTGTATGTAAATCACTGACAAAAATAAGTCACTATTATCACCTCTTATTCTATCTCACCAACGTCAACTGAAAAGAGATAGGAATCAGGCAGATTTCGCAATTTGTTACTCAATTTGTTACTACATAACCAACTAATAAGGCAGAAAATAATAATACCCGATCGCGAAGGCGATACTTTAAATTTAGCGCTTGCCACGGTTACCTCGTTATCAAACTTATCACAGTAGGTACATGTACGAAGACGTTTTTAGCAGTTTCTGAAACTTGTTCTCCTTTTTAAGTTAATAACTCTTAATACTTATAATTGGTCTAACTTTTCCGAGTCGAAGTTTACCATATGTATCCCTCATAAGTGAATCCCTATCAAAAGGTTCTTTTGTATTTCCAGGCTTTTAACAAGAATGGAGTTATATAAACATATACACAAATATGCAAAAGGCTTCCACCAATCAGCTCGCATGGCTTAGTGGTAAAGCGCATGACTAGTACGAAGTCTATCATGAGATCCTCGGTTCGACTCCGAGTGTGAGCATTTTTTTTAACTTTTTGGCTTGCGCAGCCTTGAAGCTTTTAAACACAAAGTCAGAGAGCAAGAGACGCATTTACAGGAGACGCATTTACAGCAGGCGAACATTACTGGGCTATCGAATGTCGAGAGCGGAGATTGATGGATGGATGGCCTTAAGAAAAGAAAATCCAGTCAAACAGGACCAATAAAAGGACAGTCAGGGCTAAATCCGTGAAATAGAACTATACACAGGCAGAGTGCATGACCTAGCCAGTTCTCCTGCAACAAGTGAGCCTAGAGGCGTAAATATGCATGGTGACGAAACTAATCGGGACGCATAAGACAGACCCCGGGGCTATGAGTATCTTGTATTTGGGGTGCATTGAAGTCCCAGGCTTGAGCACTCGAGCTCTCAACCGCTTTCTGTAGGTGGACCATGTGACTATCTATATGTAGTAGTGTTTTGAGACTATAGATGCGTAGCTGAGGCCACCCTGTTACTACAAACTTTCTACCTCTCTCCACAAATCTTTATCCCGGCTTCGCCATCAAACTTGCCCCGTTGTTACACTTATTAGGAATATGTAGTAGTACCGCACCGGAGGATGCTCCGGACCAGTTCACCTATTATCTCTTCCGCTTCAAAAGGCTCAACTTGGACCCAAACATGTCTGCGTATGTCGGATTATAATTGCGGCCTGTCGGCTGGGCCCTTATCCTTAATCCCCCACAGTGTGGAGGAAGAAATCGATGAGCCCAATGATGATCGATCGAGTCATGATCCCCGGATGTCACCTCCACACCACGAAACACGCGAACAAAGCTTGGTCGAGCCAGACTGTGATAGTCACCCGGACCAATCGGAAACAACGATGCTTTACCTATAGAGTCGATGTAATGGAATCTTGGCACTTATCTGGACAACCCCAAAAAGCATTTAATTAGGCTCCGGGGCCCCGGTTTATGCCTGGTGTCCAGAATGGCGGTTCTGGTCATTTTGGGTTCTATTCTGCTCAGAGCTCTTGAATTGCTTTTTTCAGATACATCACTACAATGAGTCACTACGAACACCCTTCCTTCGATCAAGATCAGCCAGATGGAGATGTGGAGAAGCAGGATGACAGTGATGGAGTCTGTTCTGCTGGGGGCACTCGTAAGGCCAGCCGAGCGCAAGGGAGTGCAGGTGGACGGGTTAGTGGAGATGAAAGAGATGAGTTAAAAGAATGGGAGTGCTACGACAAGCTAGGGTATTCCTTTTCCTGGTGGAAAAAATGGACTATCATCTCCGTCATCTTTGCTGTCCAAACGTCCATGAACTTCAATGCCAGTTTCTATGCCAGCAGCATCAGTCTGTACGCGACACACTTCAATATCTCAGAGCAGGCCGCACGTGTTGGTCAGATGGGATTTCTCGTTGCTTATGCATTTGGTTGCGAGTTTTGGGCGCCCTTCAGCGAAGAGTTTGGTCGATGGCCAATAATGCAGCTCAGCTTGTTCTTCGTCAATATCTGGCAGATCCCCTGCGCCCTGGCCCCTAATTTCGGCACTATTGTTATCTGCCGCATTCTCGGGGGTCTATCCTCTGCCGGTGGTTCTGTAACTCTCGGGATGGTAGCAGATATGTGGGAGCCAGGTGACCAACAATATGCCGTGGCCTTCATTGTGCTATCATCCGTGACAGGCTCGGTCATTGCCCCAGTCGTCGGAGGCTTTGTGGCAACCTTCCTTGACTGGCATTGGAATTTCTGGATCCAGCTGATCCTTGGAGGCTTCGTGCAGATATTGCACTTCTTCGTTCCAGAGACCAGGTGCAGCATCCTCGTCACCAGAGAGGCTAGGCGAAGACGGAAAGATGGGGATATGGTATGGAGTGGTGACGAGCTGAAGCAAACTCGTATGTCCTTCCGCTGGGTCTTCATGGTTTGGGTCCGCCCATTTATTATGTTCGCGCGGGAGCCTATCGTCTTGTTCCTCTCTCTCCTCAGCGGTTTCAGCGATTCTCTCATCTTCACTTTCCTCCAATCGTATACGCCGGTATACAAGCAATGGCACTTCAATACGATTACAACTGGACTTGCTTTCCTCCCGTGAGTACCCACAACCTTGAATTTAGACTAATTCTGATAATCTGATCATACAGACTTTTGGTGGGCTATCTCATTGCCTATGTTTCATTCATTCCATGGATTTATCGGGATTGTAAGAAACGAGAGAGAGACCCAGATGCTCTTCAGCCAGAAGCTCGTCTTTATTGGTTGCTATATGGTACGTATTCTCAAATCTGGTTCATTGGTCTCATCACTCACTCGCAACAGTGGCTCCTCTGTTGACAATTGGTCTATTTGGATTTGCGTGGACTAGTCTCGGTCCACCTCATGTCCATTGGATTGCGCCTATGATCTTCTCAGCCTTGATAGCCATTGCTAATGTAAGTCATGAAACCTCTTACCCCACGATACAAGACTGACAAGTTATTCTGTGATCAAGTATGCTATTTACATGGCCACAATTGACTACATGATTGCCTCGTATGGTCCATATGCTGCCTCGGCCACGGGAGGAAATGGAATGGCGCGTGATTTCCTGGCTGGTATTGCAGCGATGTATTCAGTGCCCAGTAAGTGAGCATAATTCCTACAACGGAATATCCACTGACCACAAATACAGTGTATACAAACATGGGTACAACGCATCACCTTGAATGGCCTTCTACTTTCTTGGGCTTCATGGCAATTCTCTTCACCATTCCAATATACGTGTTCTATTGGGAAGGTCCTAGGATTCGAGATATGTCACCATTCGCGCAGACCTTGGCTTCTGACAGAAAGAAGGCTGGCCGCAGGGTTTCTTCTTGTGGTTCCGGTGATCCAGATCCCGTTGAAAGGTATCTTTCTGAACGGTCATCACAAGCGACCAGAACCAGATCCGGTTGAAAGGTATCTGACATGTTCCTCGAAATAATTCTATGTCTCTAGCTTGCTGTGGTTTGGGCTGAGATTTGCATCAGAACGGCGGAAAGAAAGAGTATGAAATCACTGACACAGGATATAATTGGTTTCATTGATTTCTATCTTAAAAGCTTCTCTTTGGTGACATTTTTCGTGCTGATCTTCGTTTCTGTTGCGTTGGCCTTCATCACTGCACTGCTAAACTGGGAAATATTTTTGTATTATTTTTGTTTTGATATAATGTTACAATGGACTTTATTCTGGGATATACTTGCTGTCGCACACTTACGCTTGATGCAAGAATGCCATCATCCCATCATGCCCTAGAGTAGGGGCGATTAAGTATGTCACCAGGGCATAAATTTCTCATTGGATATAAGCCAGCGTAATTAGTATGGTATCCTTAGTATATTACTGCACTTCAAAATTACTACCTGGCAACATTAACTAGTGAGAGGGTTATGGCTTATGACTGCCCAATGGCATATAGTCGCCCGTACTAGAGTCATGTCATAGCTAATTCGGAAATAATTCCCGATGCAGCACCAGCAGCGATATTTACTTTGTCCACAAGGGTGTTTGAAATTAAATATAGGGTATAGACGTTTAGATACAGTACAGTTGATGGCTCGCAATGTAGAAACGGAAATCAAGTAAAATCATTGATTCCAAGAATCCTGGAGTTTTCGAATGGCATATTCAGTAGTCCAACCCAAATCAGCTTCGACGCCCCGTAGCAGATCAACAATAATCTGATGTTCCTCGGGATTTTCAAGACACTGCCCGACAGCGACGAGAAGCGGGACCATGAATATGCGAACTCCACCCTGGGGGCGACCCAATGCAATGCCGCTGACTTCACGGGCACGGAATTCGACCTCTTTCGTGACCTCCCGGTACCCCTGTAAGCGGTCAAAGGCTGTGGACGGTGCACTGATCACATCTGCCGGACGATTGAGCAATAATGCGATGCGCCCGAAATGGTAATGTTGCATGGCAACAGCACAGGTTGTCAAGCCATGGAATATTTCAGGGAACGACAAGTAACTCCCTTCGGCAGTCTTTGATAAATCCTTGGGGCGTTCGATCCGCACAGAAGAACGGAACGTTTCTGGCACATTTTCAAACCATGTTTGAAATTCGAAAGATATTTTGAGCCAGGTATCTGTGTCCGGATACGGCAGTTGGGTGGCGTTTGTTGTTGTGCCTTCGGGTGAGGCTGCCGGCGGAGATCCTGTCCACTGCGCAAGCTGTAATTGTTTAGACCTGGCGAGGAAGTTGATGACTTTCGTGACAAGCCAAATTAACCCGTTAGCAGCCTGATCTTCCTGCGATAGAGTTGACCCGTTCCGGATAATATGGAAGGATTTCTGGTCGTTGATTGAAATTCCTGCTGCCCGCCAGAGGGGCAGGTTCTCTGGGTCGAAATGTGTAGGTGAGCGGGTAAAATAAGAACCGAGATAGTCTTGGCGGGCGAAATTCCAGAAGGCAGCCCGAATACCATGAGAAAACAGGGCGGATGATGCCGAATGTAAACTGAGAAGTGACTCAAACAAAGGGCCAATGCGAGCAAGTTGCCTGGGGTCTAATGTTAGTAATAGAACAGCAACCGCTAACAAGCATCTCTTACATGTGCCATTCGTCCCCGGGCATATCTAAAAGCCTGTACATGGTAAGAAGCGTAGCAGACGCCAACAGCTCCTCTGTCTTTCGAATGATCGCCATGTCGTTTGGATCTTCACTCGCGGGCTTCATGGTCGCTTGAGTCTGACGGGAGCTGATCCATCGACCAACGATCTCAAAGGGGGATTCCAAGATGGCTGAGCTAGACACAGTGGTATAGCCATCGGACGTGAGGTTATTCAGATCCGAAGCTCCTAGGTAATAGTAATTGGCAGCTTTGAGGAACCAGTCAACTTGAGTTGCGTTTGGATAAGTTTCTGTAGTCGCAGGGCTCGTGAACATTCCACCCGTGGAAGCCTTGACCCCTTTCAAGCGAGCTAGGTGTTTGGCTGCTAGCGCTGCAATAGCGTACTTCACGGACAGATTGCTGATGGCTCGAATAGGAACATGAACGGTAAAGAATTTTTGAGAATCGGACAAATCTAGCCTATTGTATTATCAATACGCTGCACACGCCAAGGGAAATGTCAGTAATACGAACCATGGACCTATGACCTCCGAGTAATGTCGAGTGAGGAACGCGATCTCGTGTTCAGTTCCAGTCATGAGCTCCGAGAAAATATCCTGGAATTCATCTTTTTCACTTCGATGTGATGAGCTTTCGGAGATGACCCTTTGGTAATCGGGGCCCTTATGTGGAATTGGGGTGTAGGTGTTATCAAATGTTGGGAAACCTCCTGCGGCCGCAGTTGGTGAGATTGACTTATATATTGTGTTTCTTGAAGATTCGCTGCCTTCCTCGATGCCAGAGATGGAGTTGTGAATAGAGATAGCTGGGCTTTCTGGGGCATGCATTGTTGTTTGCTGGATACTCCCCATAGCAACCTCTGGGCGGTTAGAAGGACCAGGCATTTCTACTATCATGGAGTCATCTCTCGAGTCCATCTGAAAATGAAGAGCCGGATTATCTTGCTCCTGAGGTTGATTCCATTGCAAGGTCTGCTCATTAGGTCCTACTTGTGAGCTTTTTGGCTGTGTCGGGTCTGATATCAGCTCTGCGGGGACGTATCACAAAGCATGAGTGCTTAGGCAGTTGGCAGTTTGACCTACTTTGTTTGAATTGAATGCAGAGTTTGGCCTTGAATGAGGCTCCTGATATGGAGCATAGCGGCGCCTTACTGTGGCTCCCTGATCGATGAATTTGCGGGTCTGAACATACCCCGGGCATTCTACCCCCGCGGTGGTGCACCGCTGACAATGAGGGCGAGTCTCATCACACTGCCCCAAGTTAGCGAAAATCTGCACATCCAAGTTCAAGAAGTCGAACTAACTTTGAGATGCCTCTTTTTGCAACGCTCGCATGCCTTGTTAGATGGCACCCCAGGCATTGTGGGTTGCGTGCCAGTATCGCGATTTCCAGGGCTTAATGCTCAGTTTTCGAGGTCATGGGAGAAGCTCTGCGTTGCGTCGTTATAACACATACAGCTACTTCACATTTCGAAAATACATCAGGCGAGGACGCAATCCCAGGGCAACAAATCTAGAATGAATGATGCAAGGTGCGGCCAAGGCCCGCGGGCTGAAGGGGGGATGACATAATATCCCGGGAATTTCTCGCTTGGAACTCGGAATTTGGCGACCTTTTTCCCTTGTACATCCTGTCGTCACTTGCTTCTTTTCTACAAAAAAATCATACACCATGTTGCGAACACCGTCAATTCTCGTTGATAGACAATATGACACATCTTCCCCATTGATCCGGTATATTGAAGGCCACGATCGGATACGTTGGGGCTCAATATCTTCAACACAGCCGGTTCTTTCAGGACCAGAACAAATCCGCGTATATCGCGAATGGATTGGTGTGTCACCATATCAAATTGACTAGTGAATCTGGTAACTAATTCTGCAGATGCTGGGAGACCTCATAATATAGTATGTTGGGAGTGCCGTCTCCCCGACAGTCTGATTGGTTGCCAGACCTGCTGTAGGTCCTACCATACAGCATGTTTAATGGATGTGGTTCGCTCTGCAAATAACTTCCATTGTCCATCTTGCCGGGCAAGAGCTTGGGATCGTACACCACCCCAGTTCCCCGTGCCATCTCCAACCCCAAGCACTGGAGGGACCCCAAACAGCCATTCAGACACGTCATCTGTAAACATTTCAATTCGTCGCGATAGATCGCCAACAGCATCACGGGGTAAATCCTCAACGGCCTCGGGGATGATGCATCCCCCTACTTTGAACCGTATTGATGAAGTCAATGCTCGCGGTATGCCAACTGAGGTATATCCTATTGCAGAGATGTACCCTCGGCTTCTGGAATATCTAGCGTTACCAGATGCTGAGACAGATCGCCATGCCCAATCGTCACAGTTCAAGCATCAACTGGGAATGGCTATGAAAGAAATTGAATCATATCGGGCATCGATGCGAGACAAGACGAACATCCGAGAGGACTATTCACGATTACAGCGCGAGAATGCACAAATCAAAGCGTATCTTGATTCCAGGGACTCACCGCGAGAGTCTAGTATTCCCAGCCCTTCGACAGTTCCACACAGCATCATCTCAAAACCGGTGTCTGAACAAAGGGTGAAGGCTTGGGACAGCCTTGCTATTGACATGTTTTGACTGTTCGTGTCTGGCTGCACGAAGCATTTTGACGTATACTCAACGAGGAAGTTGAAGTAGTGATGAAGAGTTACAACTGCAGCAAAAGAACAAGCATTGAATGTCCTGAACCCTCGATTCACCCAACACGATCACTTTCAATGGTCTCGATATTTGCCGAACATCTTTTTTCGACGTTCTAGATGCATGTTGGAAACCGTGCATTTCGCCGAAAAGTTCCCGACCGGTCGTAATTTGATCATGTCACCGTCACGCTCTCCATTTTTGATATAATGGCGCGGAGAAGGTTACATGAAGTGAAATTGCTCTCGAAATGGACGAATCAACCTCTGGAGAGACTGCGTTCCCCGCATCTCGGGGCAATTGGCGTCCCCTCAACCTCAACGATCGACAAGTCAGGAACCCGGTCATTGTGGAACTCGGTCATTATCAAGTTTCTTATTGGATTTTTCAACCGTCTTCTCTCCGTATCTTCGGGTTTTCGCTCCTTGACCTCTTCCCAGGCGGGGAATGAGCGTGGCAGGGTGTATTCTGGGACCAGATACGGCAGATGTGACACCATTTCGGTCGAGCGTCGATGCAACATCCACTGGGGAATTGCTCCCGCATTTCATTTTGGCCTAAGTGCAAGGAACCAAGGAGGTGACTGGCAGTTTCCTAATTTTTCCTCATTTCCCTCGAAGGGTACTTCGCATGCCGATCTGGCCCGGAATGCTTCCCCCGCGACTTATTGCCAATTCCTATAAGGAGCTTGAATTCCGTGGAACGCGTCTTTTCTACGTCTGAATTGTAACCTGGACAGCTTTTGGATTATTCTTGTGTATGGCTGTAGATAGTCTCTGGATCCATTATGCTATCACAGCATCACTCCCTCCACATGTGCATCTTCAATGGCATCGTAACAGCCCTATATGCATCCAACGTGATCGCCGCAAAGCATTCTTCGGATGACTTTGACGTCTTGAAATATGTCGATCCTTTGATTGGCACCGCGAATGGAGGTTTGTCTTGAATATGACGAGCATTTTTGTCAGCAAAGGCTGACAATTCTTACAGGCCATGTATTTGCGGGTGCGACTTTGCCATTTGGTAATTCATACGATACCCTTTGTTTTCATTTAACATGGCTAACAAACGCAGGTATGGCCAAAGCGGTGGCGGACACTGCAGGCGAGAATCAAGCTGGTTTTGCTTACGATACGGAGGTTGTGACCGGATTCTCACACATGCATGATTCTGGGACTGGTGGTGTGAGTTTTTTGTAGACTCTCGGAGAATATGCCCTGTATCTGACTGATTTCACAGTCCCCGTCAATGGGAAATTTCCCTATCTTCGCTCAAGGAAATTGCCCGCATGACGATATTAACCAGTGCAAATGGCAAAAATCGGACAGAGCAGCTGTCTGGGACAAAGAGTCTCCTGAAGTTCGTCCAGGATACTTCAGCATATCATTGGCGAATGGGGTCCATGCGGAAATGACAGCCACAAATCGATCTGCTCTATATCGGTTCACGTTCAATGAAACCTCTAGCCAGTCGCTCAGTCCAGTGATTCTTCTGGATTTGATGGATTTACCTCAATCTCGAACAAGTGGAAGTGCCGACGTGGACAGATCGACTGGGCGTCTCACGGGAAGTGGCACTTTCAGCCCGAGCTTTGGTATTGGCAGTTACAAGTCATATGTTTGCGTTGATTTCAAAGGAGCAGAGCTTCGTGATACAGGCATCTGGGAGAAAAACCAAGCAAACATCAGCAGTCGGTCGCTGACACTCGGGTCTGACACATCATCCACTCTCTCGGCTGGTACATTTGCCAGATTCCACGCCCCCAAAGACAGCAGTATTCTCGCTCGCGTTGGCGTTAGCTTCATAAGTGTTCAACAGGCCTGTGAGAATGCGGAGCGAGAGCTACCCGACTTTGACTTCGAAGGTACCGTTTCCGCTGCTGAATCTGCTTGGCGAAAGAAATTGGATGTCGTCTCCGTGGATGCAGATGGAGTTTTACCAGATTTACAAACAGTCTTCTGGAGTGGAGCATACCGAGCACTCATCAGCCCGCAAGACTATACTGGCGAGAACCCTCTTTGGGAAAGTGACGAGCCATATTATGACAGCTACTATTGGTGAGCAATCCCCGATTCGAAACAGATGACTAGCATGCTAATGATACGCCCAGTATATGGGATTCTTTCCGCAGCATTCATCCACTGCTGACCCTGGTTGATCCTTTCTCACAATCCCTTATGATACGCAGCTTGATTGATACCTATAGACATGAAGGGTATCTGCCTGATTGTCGCATGTCGCTTTGCAAGGGATTCACACAGGGCGGGTCCAACGCAGATGTGGTTATGGCAGATGCGTATCTTAAAAAGGTTCCAGGCATTGACTGGGACACTGCATATGAAGCTGTTGTCAAGGATGCAGAGGTAGAGCCCCAAAATTGGGATGTGGAAGGCCGCGGTGGCTTGCGGAGTTGGAAAAATCTCGGCTATATTCCTTTTGATGACTATGACCCTGATGGCGAAGGTACGCACACGCGGAGTATATCACGGACGGTGGAATATGCCTACAACGACTTTTGCATTGCCGAGATGGCACAGGGCATGGGCCACCAGTCCGACTATGAGAAATATACGAAACGGTCTGGAAACTGGGTCCACATGTTCAAACCCGACCAAAAGTCAAGCATCAAGGGGGTTGATACCAACTTCACCGGATTCCTACAACCTCGATACACGAACGGCACATGGCGCTACCAGGACCCGATCTTGTGCAGTCCTCTCTTAGACTTCACCGGATGTTACCTCAATCCCGATGGCCATGAGACTTATGAAGGTAGTGCGTGGATGTATACCTTGTGGGTGCTCACTTGTATTTTATACTTCTTGAACTCGAAACTAACGCTTTACTTACAGCTATGCCCCCCACGACATGGGCGCTCTTATCAAGACACTTGGTGGTGCCGAATCCTTCACCTCTCGACTAAGCTATCTCCATGACTCTGGTTTGCTCTACGTGGGAGATGAACAAGCCTTTCTACCCGTATATCAATTCCACTACTCGGGACGGCCAGGTCTCTCGGCAAAGCAGAGCCATTTCTACATTCCATCCCAATTCAACACAACAGTCAATGGTATCGCCGGTAACGACGATAGCGGAGCTATGGGATCATTTGTTGTCCTGAGCATGATGGGCATCTGGCCAGTGCCGGGTCAGGACGTTTACCTGATCACTCCGCCCTATTTCAAAGAAGTCAGCATTCGAAACGCCCTCACTGGAAAGGTCGCGACTATCCGCAATATCAATTTCGATCCTAGTTACAAGTCCATCTATATCCAGAGTGCCAAGTGGAATGACAAACCGTGGACAAAGAATTGGATTACCCATGACTTTTTCGCTGAGGGTGGTGTTCTTGAACTTGAGCTGGGACCTAAGGAAAGTGAATGGGGAACTCAGATTCAGGATCTCCCGCCGAGTTTGAGCGATTATCAATGAATAGTCGATCTGAGGAGCAACTGTGGTGAGAGAGTGGCATTTCGAGATTGTTGGCCTCTCTGATAAGCAGGTTACTTTTATCAGTATATTTTATCAGTATATTCACGACTTGACACTATGAACTATATCTCTTTTTGATGTCTTTTATACTGCTTTTTGAAAGATTTTGATACTATCATTGGAAGACTGTATAAACCATACTGCATCTTCAGCATAACTAGTACTTGTAAAGTAAGAGTGGATATGAAATAATACTACCTGGCAATGTTGACTAATGAGAGTCCTACTTAGTCGTCATCGTAATTCGCTGAACCTAAGGCAAAGTGTATCCTCCATCAATAATGAGGTTTGCACCTGTCATATAGCTAGACGCATCTGAAGCGCAGAACACGTAGGCCTAGATAAGATTGTCAATTGGTTTCTAGGGAACTAGATTTGTGGAATCGTACCCCCTTCAACTCATAAGATTCGGCCATTCTCTTGGCGGGGATCAAGTCTAGCCACTTGTCGCGCCATTCTTTGGGAAAGGTGAACAGAATTTCGGTAGCGATGTATCCAGGGGAGATGCAATTGACTCGGCAGTAGTCAACCCACTCGACAGACAAGCACTTGGCGAGCTGAACAACTCCTGCCTTAGACGCATTGTACTATGCGAGGATTAGCGACATGAAAAAGGAGTCTTTCCAATAGAGAACATACCGCCGATTGCTTCTGTGGAAGATTGACCAGAGTCGCGCTGGCAGAGGCCGTGAATATAACATTTCCATGACCCTGTGACTTGAAGATCCGGCCGGCAGCTTGGGCAGAATAGAAAGCACCATCAAGATTGACCTTCATGATCTCGTGCCATTGATCGGGGGTGTAGTCTTCGGCGGCAGTGTTCGAGGCAATCCCAGAGTTGACGACCATGATATCAAGCTTCCCGAAATCCTTCGCGACCTGCTGCACAACCGCCTCGATCTCAGACTGGACGGCAACATTGGCTTTATACGCTGCTGCGCGTACGTTGTTAGTAGATGCAATCTCGGATGCGACTGCATCAGCGGCATCGAATGTGTAATAGATCAAGGCGACCTTTGCACTTTGTTAGTTTGATTGTTTTGTAGCATCAGGTACTCCGTAGTGTGACTTGCATTTGCACCCGCTTCGGCCAACGCTCTCGAGACTTCAAGACCAATTCCACGGGCGCCTCCTGTAATGAAGTGTTATTCGAGAGACCTTTATAATTGGGAGCTACCGTACCAGTCACAACTGCGACCTTGCCCGTGAGGTCGAATGCCTTCATAACATGCTGGTTTGGGGGTTGTGCGAGAACCATTATGTCGTATTGGCTGTTGCCCGCACTCGAGATAATAGGATAAACTCAATCGAAGATTAACAGAGAAGGGAGGAGCTGAGTCTGAAATGTCCCTCTTAATCCCCGCATCTGTTCAGCTCTGACGTGTCTCCAACCATTGTGGCTTCCTCCTGCAGCTAAATCCAGTCTAACCCTGTTGAAGGTAATTCCTGGCGAAAGCGACTAGACGCTGATGATTGGAACGCCCTGTCTCACTCGATGTCCACTGAGACTTTTATTTTTTTCGATGTTTTCGGTTGTTGGTTCACTTTCTCGTTGTTCTGATTTGAACCGTTTGCACAGCTGGGTGACGTGGTTGGGTGAGAGGCATTGAGATGTCGATTCATTTTCTTGAGTCCCTTGAACAACTGCTTGTTCTCTCTGTTGAGCTCATAAGCCCAGAGGAGAGTGAGGGCTTCGTTTGACTTTGTATTTTCCATTGTCGAAGATGGGGCTCGGAGAGGTGGAGAGGAAGAGAAGGGGAGCTGAGGACTAAGAAAGGGAAAAGGAACAAAGACACTAGAACTACCTAGAAGAATACAAAGCCATCGATTAATTAATTATTATTCTTCTAGTGAATTTACTGACTTCAAATAATTAGGTCTCTACTTTATCTCCATTTCATAGAGTATAGCAAAAAAAAAAGAGGTGCTAGACTTCATGTGCTTTGTATCTGATCAAATATCAAGAAGACACCGAATGCTCAAAGATGTTGTTCGGTTTCTCTCCTTAATCACTCATCGTGTCACATTCGTCCTCGGAATCGACTTCGGTCTGCTTGGTCTGAGCCTTGCAGTCATCATCCTTGTCCTTGATCGCTCGAGTATCGTCATCACTCCTGGTGGAAGCTTCCATTTCATCAAGCTTCTTTCTCAGGCGATCTAGTCTCATTCTAGCAGCATGGTTCGTGATGCCAAAGTGTCTAGCGACGGCTGGGGCATCAACCTGTAAGTTGATATTGTTAGGATTCATGGCCAGATGTTCAAGTGAGGCCGAACAAAAGAAAATACCAACCTGAACACCTGAGATCTTATGGCAGGCCCACAGGAACAAGAGCTGCTTTTTCAAATCGGAATCTCTAGGTTCCTTTGGCTTGGATGGGCTTTTTCCAGCCTTTGAGGCTGGGGTTGATTTAGTTGGAGCCATTTGAAAGTGTAATAACCAGGTATGAGCTCTTTGAGTGTGATAAGTGAAGTTGTGGGAGAATAGATAATAGTAGTGAAGTCGAGAATGAACAAGGAGAGGAAGTGAGAGAGAGATCGAGTAGGAACCTTTATATTGGCATCAATAGCAAACAACTAAGAAAGCATGTCTCTCTCAACTTACATGGATAAGTACAAACAGAAGGAAAGTACATTTAGACACTTTGATCCTCTATAATATATACATTATTCTATCAAATTGGGGTATATTACCATAAAAACAGAAAAAGTCATTTGAAAACGCTCAGGTGAAGAATCAAATGCCCTTTGTCTTTACAGACTCGAGGTTCTTGACTGGATGTAGAAAGATAGGAGGAAGGCAGAGTCGAGGGTTGTTCTTCTCCCACTGCACACGATTAGCATCAGAATATGTCAAGACAAGAGCAAGAACTCACCTCTTTGGCACCGTCATAGCCCAACCAGGCTCTGTATAGCTTCTCCGAAAACTCGGAGTTGAACATAAACGTCGTATTGTATATAATATTATCGTGCTGACCCCAGCTCCAGATGCTGTCGAGCCCAGCGTTGACCTTGCCAGGTTCTCCCGGGTTGACATGACGGTTCAACTCCTCAGGATCCCATTTGGCATCATGGTAAATCGGTTGAGGAATCTGGACCGCTTTCAAGCCATAGTACAGAGCCCAGGATATAGGAGACATCTCGGACGCGAGACCAACCCCGGACTTCACCTTATCCTTATGCAACATGCCGAGAAGTCGCGCCGAGATGCGAGACATTGCTACAACAGCGGCCCAGCGTGGGGTCTCTTGGTCTTGAGGGAAATTGAAGACACGGTCACGGAAAGGCCAGTCTGTACCAACTGGGTTGAAATGAGGCAGCCAGGTGATCAGATCGGCTTCCTCACCCACACCCCAGCTCCCTGGCTCATCTTTTGGGTATGGTACAGGGGGGATAATAGCTTGCCCTTCGATGTCGATTCCTTCCGCGGGATGAGGGCCCCAAACACTGCTGTTGTCATGGCCAGGCATTTCCTGATCCACCTTCTTCACAAACTCTTCCCAGGTGCCATGAACAGCAGGCATATAGAAGTGAGAGTTGCGCTCCCACAGATACTTGCGTGGCTGCTGTTTCGCAAACTCTGTTGCCTTGTGCAAAAGGTCGTACATATGGCCGGTATACCGCGAGTCCATCTCGAACTGCCACACGTAGTCATACTGAGGGTGTAGTCGTGAGAAGATCTGTGTGGGCTGGAAATACTGCAGTATAGCTCTAATAGGGTGTCAGTAGGGGCATGTCTAGCTCTGAAGGGCCAACACATACACATGAACATCAATCCCAGGATACCAGTCATTCAACATTTCCTCGTTAAACCATACCGCCAGGCTGCGCAGTTCCTGCGGCAAATGTTTTGCCTTGAATGCCTTCCAGGCGGCATAATCGGTCTCTTCGGGCAATTTCTCGCCCTGGCAGTCGATCAGGAGAATAAGCTCATATTCTGCACCTGAGTAGAGTGACAACTCCATCAGCATGGATCGAATGTGATACAAGTCATTCTCGGTGTATTTCATGCCGATCCAAGAGCGCAATATAACGGCTGTCCGGGGGACGGTCTTGTCTGTTTCATTCAGGTCCTCGCGAGGCTGCACATCCGAATCTAATGATTTGTAAAGAGCGAGTATCTTCCCTTCGGATGGTTGCGTGCGATAGCGAATACTATTGCGCTGCAGACAATCATTTTGCAAATTGGCCCAGTCCACCTGCTCCCAGTTTATTTCAGCGGCCTCGTTGGAACCGAATGTACCATTCCAATTGTGGGTTCGAGTGGTCTTGCCCTCGAGGAAACCATATGCACCATATCGGGAGTAGCGATCGGCGCAGAGACTGTTGTTCAAATTCCACGACTCATACGATCCAAAAGTGGGAGTTGGGAAATCTATTTGACGATTAGTTCCCCGTCGGCTCTTCAAATCTTCCTCTTCGCACCTGAAGTATTCCAGCGAAACCCGCTCATCATCATATCTTCATCTTTGCGGCTCAGGAGTCGTCCTTGGGGCCCAATACACGGCTGGTACGATCCCTTTGACGTCGATTTCCATTCCGCACTATCATAGTGTGGATAGGGGTCATTGATTAATTGGGCCGAAATTCGAGATTGAGTGGCGTAAGCGCTCGGGAACGGATCAACGGGTTGTTCTGTAGGGCTGATACAGATCAGAATGGACCAAGGGAGACGAGAAAAGAGGGATCTTCAATTACTTTGATAGCTTCACACGCAACGGAACTACTAGAGCTTCTCTGGAATAGGGAACAATAAAAAACACCAGGCACAGGGCGGCGATAGCGAAGCAGCGCCTTGGAGAACCGAAAAACTTCCGCAGCGCCACGAAGAAATCCATTAGAATGTGCAAAATCTACAAAGATGCAAAACATTAATCTGGGAGCCTTGCAAGTTTTGTAGCTCTTGAGAATCCCCCAGGGCTAGTGGCTTGGCTCGGCTTATGGGTTCTATCGTGTGTGTTGGGCCAATCGTAGAGAGAGACCAACGCGTGTAGACCGACAGACTCCGAGCCAAGAGAATAATGAGCAGTGTAAAGGACAGTAGAGATCATTCCTATGTTACATTCTTTGGTCTCAATTCATGCCCTTCAAGGTGTTTCCATAAATTAATGACCTTACCTTGACCGGCGTGACATCTCGGATCCCGCCGGATCTGCTTATGTTGATCTTCGTAGCCCTAATTTTATGTGCTCGTACTCGTACTCGTCTTAATAGGGATAGTGATCGCTAGGCACATCCATATGTACTCAAATACTAAACTAACAAGATCGATAAAAACCATAGCTCCAATATCAGCCCACTTGACATATGAAAAAAAAAAAAGAAAAACGCATATATCAAACAGGCATTCCAATATGCTTACACGTATCGCATCTCTTCCAAAATCATGGGGTTTGATGTCAGTCAGTCGCAGTTCGCCGACCCCATCCACTGAAGAACCCCCCACCAGTGTTATTGGGTGGGGCATTGGCCAAGCTGATCCGCGACTGCGATACTCCAACAAAGGAATGGCGGGTTTCAATAATATTTACCCCCTGGGAGGTCTTGAGCATTCTCCGCAATGAATCGTACTTGCCTTTTACTTCCTCAAGCTCTTGCCGAGCAACTGCCTCGGCCGTCTTGGCAGTAACCAACTCCATCAGCAACGTCTCTTCGGCGGCAGGTCTGTTATTCTCCGTCGACAAAACGGTCTGGAGACCCAGGCTGCTTGTCCGTCTGTTATAAGTGGGGCTTTTTGTGGAGCTGGTGCGGGAGAGCTTGAACTCGCGCAGACCACTAGTGGGAGATTGAGACTCGCCAGACTCAATCGCAGAATACGTTGTGTCTAGCGGCGTTTCCGATATAGGAGTTTTGAGGATCCGCAGCTCCCGGTTCATACGCTCGAGCCGCTGTCGCTCCCGATACCCGTCTTGAATCCGGCCCCGAGCTTCTCGTAATTGCTCTTTGAGGGACGAGTTCTCCTGTTCAAAATCGTCGATGCGCCGGGTGAGGTTCAAGCAACGACCGGCTTCCACCTCGTGCATTTCCTTCCATCGAGCAACATCGTCATTGAGCTGGAGCTTGGTCTGGGTGATTGAAATACGCTTCGGTTGGACGGATTCAAAACGTGCTTCGGCTTTCGTTACTAACTCGGCCGGTTGTGTCTCAGCCGGCTGTTCTCTAATTTGATTCAACATCTCCTTGGCCAGGGTGTGGTCTTCCTCTCGCTCTTCTCTCTCCTGTTGCAGTTCACGTGTGAGGTTAGCTTGTTGGCGTTGAAGATCGCTGAGGGCCATCAGAAGTTCTTCAATCTGGGTATGGAGGTCGCGGTCTTTGTGATGTGAAGACATGGTGGATTTCGCGCGCGGTTTTTGATTATCGACGCTAGCTACAGGCGCTGATAGTTCGGTCGCAGCAGTACTTGCGTCCGACGTAGTTTCAATAGAGTTGAGAGTGGAAGTCAGGCTCTGCTTGGAGGTAGAGCGACGAATGTTCTGACTTGACGGGCTACTATTCGGACTGAGTGACTTGACCGAATTGTGGGAGTTTGATGAGCCAGCCCATAACCGCCCAAGGAAGCCAGATGCCGTTGCCTGCATCTGCGGAAAGGAGGGTCCGGAGGGTGAGCCTTTCGATTGGTTATAGCTGGCTTCAAGCTTTTGGAGACTTTCATTCGTCACGAGAGAGGTGAGAGACACGAAGTCATTGACGAGATCATCAGCATTGAAGGCGTATCTGAATATCAGGGGTTAGCCGAGTTCTTTGTTTAGAAGATGTGCTTTGTGCAATGTCCAAAACTTACGTGTCCCACAAGCTTCGAGATAATAATAGTTGCATCACATCCTCGAATTCGCTGCAAGCCAAAATTCTCTTTTCGTTGCGTTGCATCAGAGAAAGCGCAACTCGCATCAAAGTCTCGCATGCGCCTTCCAAAAAGATAACATCATAAATTCGGAGAAGCATAGGGAGCGGACAAGCCACCGCAAAGAATGAGAGGAACCACTGCGATACGTAGACCGGCTCAACGTGCAGTGCTTCGAGATGTTGGAACAGGACCGGCCTGTGCCGTGCCAAAAGATTTTGGAATTGATAAACATGAAGGTGAAGACCCGAAAGATCTGGAAGATAGCAACTTCGCAGGTTATAGTGATCCATGAGGCTACAATATGTCATTAGTACTTCTCCAAGTCATATCATCGCCCAAGGAGACTTACCGGACAAGAACACAAAAGGCCTCCGCATCTGTCATGTGCATGAGCAGGGGGCCCACCACGAATCCAAGACCTTGACAGTAGCCAATCTTAGTATCGTACAGACTAAAACATCGCAATACACGGCCGAGCATTTGTTGACCCTCGCCGTTCGGGTCGCGAAACATTGCAACATTGGGAAAGCTGCGACCAATATCTTTTCCGATCAGCCCGTCGTACGGACTGCTTTCGCCCGAAAGCCTTTGGAATTCATTCAATAGATGAGGATCGCGTGCGCCCGCTAGGCTAGGCCACACAACTCCTCGCAATGGCGGAGGAACACCCCCTTGGATCTTATTCGAGGTCAATGTCGGCAAACGCTGGGCAGTCCGGTGGTAATCGGCAACCAGTGCAGCCCAAAACTCCAACTCGGTCATTGGAGGAGGGGGTAACTGCGAGTATCGCAGCTCTGCCCGAGCGGGATCCCGAATGAGTCGCTTGATATGGTGTAGTGACTCGGAGCGGGACTGCCGCTGGTATTTGTCATGAGGAACCTCGGATATCCCCGATTTGGGGTTGGTCACCAACGCATTGTTTTCTTGTTCGAGTCGAGCGAGGAGCAGGGCTGTGGACTAAAATTAGGCCAAGAATGTTAGCACTCATTCTAGAATTCCGCGAAAAAGCTTGTCACACTTACTTCATCGGACCCCTCTCCACGCGGTTCTTGTTCTTCTGTCTTATCCAGCTTCTCCCAATTCACCTCATTGTCAAACATTTCCTTAGTCTTTCCCGCCTTATCTGCGCTTGTGGTTTCGGGAGTCGGGGTGGTCCTCGCTGCGTCCCGTAATGGCATTGGCCCAAAGGAATCCTCACTCTCCTTCTCGAGATGAGTCATCTCCACTGGGGTTGGAGGAATTTCAAGAGTGCGCCAATCCGGTTGGGTGTGCTCTGAACTGGACTGGTTATCGGACAACGCGACGGTGACCATTGAGTCATGGTTCGGCGCGTAACCAACGCTCGAAGATGTTGGCTCGAAACCTTCCATTATTGTGAATATTGTGACGTGATTGAGAATCGAGTATGTGACTGGGGGTTGCAGGATGTAGACGCGTTATTGTTGACAATGTTGATATCGGACAGGGTTATTTTAGGCGGGTTTCAACTGCATTGCGGATCTCTTCACAATTTCGAGTATTCAAGAAAACGGATTCTTTCCAGCAGAAGTGGGACCTGGATATGATTCTAAACTTGTATCCAGTACAAGAAGAAAAGGCTGGAGAAAGAAAAAAGGGAGTCAGGAGAGATCCCACCTATTTCGTTAGCCCCCCTTTACCTTTCCCCTCGTGTAGTCTCGGCCCCGTCGATCATCCTCATACACCGACTGTTTGACCATTGAAATAGATAGATTATGGGATCTTGGAGGAAACGGCTACAGATATTGTGACTACGCTGTAAATTGTATGAATGTAGTTAAGAAGGGCCAATTCCATCGCTCTTCACCCATCAGAGTTCCCCGACATCAACCGAAATTGGTATCGGAGGGATTTCGAGTCCATTACGGAGTATTGCATGTTCCAATTATACATACATAGGACTCAGATACTTGAAGTCATCTGAATGTCTCAAGTTTAGTTATTTCAACTGCATATTGCCTGCAGGTACATAGTACAGCCTCTCATATTTGAAAGACCAAAGGCCAAAGGGGTACCGTCATTGTACACCGTTATATCTTTGATACATCAAAATATCCATCTGTAATCTTTCGTAGCTCTGATTGGTTGATATCTTAAATATAGCCGAATTGATTGGTCGCGCCCCTAGCGGAGATTGAAATACAATTACCACCCCTGGCTTGTCCGTTCACCTCAATATTGAGGCTGGCCAACGTTGTTGTACTTCGGACACCGTATCATTAACTCATTCGTAAATGACTTGACACAGACTTCTTTCTACCTATATTGTAGGTTTCTGAACCACCCCTGGGCCTCACACCATCGACTATTCCCAGAGATCCACAGAGTGAGGTCCATGCGGTCCGCCTGTCAGACCTGGGTGGTCTTCCAATCCACCTTTCGAGGTTTCAAGGAGTTTCTCGGATATGTTTTCAGAGTGGCGTTAATGGCTGTCTATATTCATCCAGAACTCCGTACCTGTATCCACTAGAAAGAATTTCGGGATGATAGAATGACGTGTCATAGCATATGACTTTAACCAACTACATAACTAGTGATAAAGAGGGATGTGCACTGTGGGCAATCTGGTCTCCCTAGACAAGACCAGGGGTGATAGGGTGGTAGGGTGATAGAGAGAATACCAGGGGTTGCTCTAGAATAATAATGGAAGGTGGAAAGTGGAAAGTGTCTGTATTGCAGTCTTACAGTGTTCGTTGTAATTTCTAAACATCCAATCTTCTCCAAGCGCCCGGACAAGCCGAACAGTTGATGAAAATGAGTTCGCGTCGATCGGGGATAGTGTAAGCCCAATGACACTGTGCAACGAGGCATGTGCAAGCACAGAGGCCAAGTCGCGAGGTCAAATATTGGAATAATCATGACGTTCTGCAATACAGAACTATCAGCGATTAAACTGATAAGAACAGATACTACACTTGATCTAAGCCAGAGGCAAAGAGAGCTGAAGAAGAAGGAAAAGAAAAGGAAGTTCTGGGGGCAGGGCCACCTTCTTATAGGTATCCTAAGGGCGGTCGGTTTATGCCGCTATTCACACATGAGACAAACAACGACATATGCTCGCTTAATTGAATATTTAAATGGTAACGTGATGATAGAGATAATCAATGTTGATAAGGTAGATAGCTGGATACCATAGGCAAGGATATCTCTTTGATGTGTGTTACTTATTGGTAGTGACAGGCACACAATGTGTCCTCATAGTCACTTTATATCAAGTACAACGCTATGGATATGGGAAATTTAAGCCTCACCTACCTATATCCTAGAGGGAGAAATAGATTCTAGTCAGATCTGACATTTGAAGGAGTCTAGTTACTCCATACTTGCTCTGGTTTCACCCACATTTAGACTCAACTCCGTATTGGCGCTAACTTCATTGTGACATTTGGGTAAACGACAGGGATGTCATGTCAGAGATACTAATCATGCAGTCTATAAATCTGTAGATAGCTATTTCTATCTCATCTTCTGCGAATTGGAACTGCCTGTTTTCCCTCGTTTGTTTGTGAATTGCCTATTTGGGTCACATTTACAGGCGGTGAGGAAGAATTATCATCCGAGTGGTTACAAACTGCCCACCGCCCCCTGTCAGTCGCGACTTCCCCGGGCAAAAAAACAACAGGCGCTTCCCCTCCGCGTTTTATCTCATTTCTCCTCTTTTGCCTCTCGCTTTAATCATTTCCGACTTGAGCATGCTGGAGCTTCATTGATTCGCTCTTTGGCATTGAAAGATAGCGTCATTCGTTCGCTTCAACTCTGAGGCCTGACTTGGGCTCTTTCCTTCCCCCGTAGCGCTCTATCACCCTCCATCTAATCACTCACTTCTATCATGGATGACTCTATGAACGAAGACTCGGTCTTCGATGATGATGGAGGCAGCTCTGACTTTGCCCCTGAGCCTGCACCGGTATGAACTTTCATCAATATACTAACACCAGACTCAACTTTGATTGCTGACATTATACGTCCCCAGAAACCCAAACCCAAGGCGGCCCCTAAGAAAGCTGCTGCCAAACCCGCCGCTAAAAAGACCACTCAGACAACACTAAAGGTCAAGCCTGCTGCAAAGGCAGCTGCCACTAAGAAGAAGGTTAAGGCGGACAGCGAGGACGAAGTGTCCGATATTCAAATGTCCGATGCGGATTCTCTGCTCTCCCATACCCCTCCAAAGGCCAGGAAAACGGCTGCGCCCAAGAGAGCTGGCTCAAAACCTCTGGCCGATGTTGAAAATGAGTCTCACGGAGGAGACACTGCTGCCGACAGCGCGAGTAAGAGTGTGAATGCATCTGATAAGTACCAGAAAGTAAGTCCCCTACAGCTTCTAACATGGTATAATTTTGGCCGAATACTTATATCAATTCCTAAACGCAGCTCACCCAACTTGAACACATTATCAAACGTCCCGATACCTACATTGGATCCACCGAACGCACCACGCAGCAGATGTGGGTGTACAACTCCGTAACCGAGTCGATGGAGTACCGCGATGTCTCTTTCGTCCCCGGTCTCTACAAAATCTTCGACGAGATTGTGGTCAACGCCGCCGATAACAAGCACAACGACGAGAACATGAGCGAGATGCGGATCACCATTGACCGCGAGGCCGGTGAAATCAGCGTGTGGAACAACGGACGTGGTATCCCTATTGAGATACACTCCAAAGAGAAGATCTACGTACCCGAACTTATCTTCGGCCATCTGCTTACTTCCTCCAACTACGACGATAGCCAACAGAAGGTGACTGGAGGTCGCAACGGCTTCGGTGCCAAGCTTTGTAACGTCTTCTCGACAGAGTTCAATCTCGAAACCCAGGACTCCCGTCAGAAGAAGAAATACAAGCAAACATGGACCCAGAACATGACGAAGATGGGCAAGGCAAAGATTACAGATGCCAAGGGAGATGATTACACCAAAGTCACTTTCAAGCCAGACTTTGCCAGGTTCGGTATGGATGGCATCGACGACGACTTCGAAGCCCTTGTCAAGCGCCGAGTCTACGATTTGGCAGGTACGGCCAATGTTGCTGTCAAGTTAAACGGCACACGCGTCCCCATTCGCAGTTTCCGAAAATACATGGAAATGTACACCAAAGCCATTCGCAAGGAGCGCGGTGATGATGGTCCTCCCTCCAAGGATGAAATTATTACATGTAGCCCTGACCCTCGATGGGAGATTGGTTTTGCCGTTTCGGATGGTTCATTCCAACAAGTCTCGTTTGTCAACTCGATCGCGACAACCTCAGGCGGAACGCACGTCAACTACATCGCCGATCAGATTTGTACCCGCTTGTCCGACCAGGTGAAGAAGAAAAACAAGTCTGGAGCAACTCTGAAGTCAGCGCAGATTCGGAACCACATCTTCATTTTTGTAAAGGCCTTGATTGTCAACCCGGCATTCACCTCCCAGACCAAGGAACAATTGACGACAAAGGCGAGTCAGTTCGGTAGCAAATGCCCCCTTGATGAAGATTTCTATAAGAAGGTCTTGAAGACTGAGGTTATGTCAAATATTTTGCACTACGCGGAGCAAAGGGCCGACCAGATCTTGAAGAAGGGTGATACCGGCCGACGCACGCGTATGAACAACCCGAAGTTGGTCGACGCCAACAAGGCTGGTACAAGAGAGGGTCACCACTGCACCCTCATTTTGACTGAGGGTGAATCAGCCAAGGGATTGGCCATGGCAGGCAGAGCAGTCGTTGGGCCAGACTTGTTTGGTGTTTTCCCCCTGCGCGGAAAGCTTCTTAATGTCCGCGATGCTTCTTTTGACCAAATCTCAAAGAACGTGGAAATTCAAAGCATCAAGAACTTCATTGGTCTGCAGCACAAGAAGGAGTACACCGAGACCAAGGGACTGCGATATGGCCATCTTATGATCATGACTGATCAAGATCACGACGGTAGTCATATCAAGGGTTTGCTCATCAATTTCCTTCAAGCGCAGTTCCCTAGCTTGCTCAAGATTCCTGAGTTCCTCATTGAGTTCATCACTCCTATCATCAAGGTTTGGAAGGGTGACCCAAAGAACCCGACCAAACAGAAATCGTTCTTCACCATGCCCGAACATGACGAATGGCGTGAAGCCCACAAACACGAACGCGGCTGGGAACACAAGTACTACAAGGGTTTGGGAACCAGCACCACAGAAGATGCACAGGTTTATTTCCGCGACCTCGATCGCCACCTCAAGGAGTTTCACACCATGCAAGACGGTGAAGCCGGACTCATCGAGCTGGCTTTCTCCAAAAAGAAGGCTGATGAGCGTAAAGAGTGGCTTCGTCAATACAAACCTGGCACATTCCTGGATCATTCAGTGGCGAAGATCACATACACCGACTTCATCAACAAGGAGCTCATCCTGTTCAGTATGGCGGATAACCAACGCTCGATTCCTTCCGTTGTCGATGGATTGAAGCCCGGTCAGCGCAAGGTGCTTCACACCTGTTTCCGTCGCAACTTGAAGAAGGACATGAAGGTAGTTGAGCTGGCAGGCCATGTATCCGGAATGACAGCCTACCACCACGGTGACGTCTCCCTTCAGCAGACTATCGTTGGCCTTGCTCAGACCTTTGTTGGCTCCAACAATATCAACTGCCTGGAGCCTAGTGGAAACTTTGGTAGTCGACTTCAAGGTGGTGGCGATTGTGCCAGTGCTCGTTACATCTACACTCGCCTATCTCCCTTTGCACGCAAGGTCTTCCATATGGCCGATGAACCATTACTAACTTACAACGAAGATGATGGCAAGAAGATCGAGCCCGAGGTCTTTGTGCCCGTCGTCCCGATGATTTTGATCAACGGCGCGGATGGTATTGGAACTGGTTGGAGTTCTTCTATCCCCAATTATAATCCTGAGGATATTGTCAACAATCTCAAGCGCCTGATGGCTGGCGAGCCGACTCAGCCGATGCAGCCTTGGTTCCGTGGGTTCACCGGTGAGGTTGTAGCCGTCGGTGGGGATCGCTTCAAATTCAGCGGTATCATCAGGGAATGTGGTGATAAGGAGGTCGAGATCACCGAATTGCCTATTCGAACCTGGACCCAGGATTTCAAGGACAAGCTTGAGGATATCATTAAGGCTGAGAAGGTGCCATCCTTCATCAAGGATTACAGGGACTACAACACTCACACCAAGGTCCACTTCATCATCCAACTAGATGAGAAACACATGCAGGCTGCTCTGACTGAAGGCTTAGAAGAAAAATTCAAGCTGACCAAGTCGATTGCAACAACCAATCTAGTGGCTTTCGATCCCGAGGGCCGCATCACCAAGTACGCCACTGTCGATGACATTCTCAAGGAGTTCTATGTTGTCCGTCTCAAGTATTACGAGCGACGGAAGCAGTTCCAACTTGCCGAACTACAAAGAGATCTGGAGAAGCTGAGCAACCAAGCTCGCTTCGTGAAGATGATTATTGAAGGCAAATTAGTCATCTCCAAGAAGAAAAAGCCTGTTCTCATCACGGAGTTGAAGGAAAAGGGCTTCAAGCCCATTGCCAAGGTGGCTGAGGCCGCTAAGATGGGCGAAGATGAGCCTGTGGTAGAAGAAGGAGAAGAGGAGTTGGATGAAACTGACACTCAAGTGCTATCCAGCTCATTTGACTACCTTCTGGGTATGCCTATGTGGTCGCTGACCCAAGAGCGCGTGGACAAGCTCCTTCGCCAGATTGGCGACAAGGAAGCAGAAGTCGACGTCTTAATCAAGCTGTCCAAGGAGGACATCTGGACCCACGATTTGGAGGAGTTCATCAAGGAGTGGCGCTTCCAGCTTGAGGATGAGGACCGTCGCGCCCGCAAGGTGGCTAGCCTGGACCGTCGTGTCTCGACTAAGCTGGCCACTGGTGGTGGTCGCGCTGCGGCTTCGCGCAAGCGTAAGGTTGCTGCTGGTGGTGATGACCCAGACGACGAAGACTTCGGGGCCCCTAAGACAAAGAAGGCCGCCGCAGCAAAGAAAAAAGAGCAACCCAAAAACAGCTTGATGAATTTCCTCAGTCAACCTCCAAAATCAACCCCATCGGCCGCAGCAGACGGAACTGACTCGGACGATGAATTCAACATGGACATGGAGATACTTCCGAAGAAGAGCCGTGCTACCTCAAAGCCTAAGACTCTGCCTAAAGAAGAAGACGACTTTTTCGATATCGACAACATTCCCCAGACCTCGCAGGCATCAGCTCAGCCAGTTGATGATCCGATGGACGTAGATGTGGATGAGGTGCCAAAGCCCAAACCGGCAGCCAAAGCAGGGGCTAAGGCAGCGGCCAAACCGGCAGCTAAGCGAGGACCTAAGCCTAAGGCTAAGGTCGATGAGGATTCGGATGACGATTTCTTGGAGATTGCCAAATCCGAGGCTTCCAAGCCCGCAGTGCAGTCCTCTCGCGCTCGCAAACCTGTGAAATACTCAGCGCCTAGCGATTCTGACAGTGACAACGGTGATGATCTTCTTGGAGACGTCAGCATGATGGTCAAAGGCATTGGTGCTGACTCGGGCGCCGATTCTCGACAACTATTCTCGGAGCGCCCCCGTTCGGAAAGCAGTTCCAGCGTGAAGACTGCCGCGAAGTCTCCCAAGGTCAACGACGATTTTGATCCGGATGAGACTGACTACAGCAAGCTTATTCCTCAAAATTCCCCACGACGCTCCATCCAGGTCAAGCCCAAGGACGTCAAGCTCGATAACAACGATGAAGATGACGAGGAGGACCAGCCGGTCAAGACAAATGCTCGGGCCAAGGCTGCTCCCAAATCCAAAGCTGCCCTCAAGGTCGTCGATGATGAGGACGAGGAGGAGCCAGTCAAGACAACTGCTCGAGCGAAGGCTGCTCCCAAATCCAAGGCTGCCCCCAAGGTCGTCGATGATGATGAGGAGGACGACGACGAGCCGATCAAGCCGACTGCTCGGGGTAAAGCTGCACCCAGAGCTAAAGCTGCCCCGAAAGCCGCTGCTGCCACCTCGGCACCAAAGGCCCGTGGTCGCCCAAAGAAAGAGCCAGCTGCGACTCCGAAGCCCGCTCCCAAGTCTGCTCCCCCGGCTTTATCCCCGGCGGCCAATGCATATGGTTCTAAGCACAGCAAGGCAAGCAAGAGGATCGCGGATGATTATTCGGAGGATGACATCGACGCAATGGCTAATGACATTTTGGATTCCCCGGCGGGCAAAGTGAATGTGGATATTTCAGAGGACGACGAGCCGGCTCCCGCCCCCCGTCGCGCCGCTGCAGGCCGTCCTGCTCGTGGCGCCGTACAGCAGAAGAAGTCCTATGTCATTGAGGATGATAGCGATGAAGAAGTATCGGCTGATGACTTTGACGAAGACGAAGATGAGAGCGACTAAGTAGTGAAATAGTGAGGGTCGGAAGCCCATTTGCGATGTTCTGCTTTTTTTTTTTGCGACGCTCTTTATTCTGGTTTTTATTTTCTTTCATTTCCATGTCTTACTTTATTGGTATTTTATGGAGATCTGGCAGAGCCAGTGGATGCAAGGCGAATATGCGATGTTCAATCTTACTTTTCTATGCGTAAATCTTTCAACCGTAGCCTCGAATAGGCTGTTTGGAACTCCACAGTGTCAACTAATCCATCGAGGCCTTCAATTCTGTTTCATACAAATCTAATAAAGGGACACTGACTTGAATAAGCAAACCCTCAACTCCCAAGTTATCAAATCACACAAATGTTCCTCACAAAATGCATAGAGACAACACCACCAGCAAAATCTTCAGCTCCTAGACCATAAACGCCGTTCCATGTCAAGTTCGTAGCGTAATCGACTATCAAAGCGAAGCTCGACGTCGCTTACGACTCCGAAATTCGTCCCCATCGAGAGAGCGAGTGCCGGAAAGAGGGGTCAACTCGTCATCATCCATGTCAGTCTCGGTTCCGATGCTTTCAAGCTCATTCATGTGCAGACGAAGGAGAGCTTCAGCAGCCTTTACTTCACGGTTGAAGTGAGCCGACGGCTGAAGACGCAGAGCTCGGGACTTTCGGCTGGGGTACTTCTTAGTCTGGGATTCGGGGCTGATAGGACCGTCCTTCGTAAAAGAAGCTCCCCTAGGGGTCCTCTTCAGAGGGGGTCCACGGTAGTCTTCATCATCAGCATCGTCCATTTGCCAATCATCATCCGAATCGGTTTCATCATAGTCGCTTTGCATGGTAGCGACATCCGAAGCGGTGTTGGTGGGCTGGTCGAGGCCACCGAGCTTGTCGGTTTCCATATGCCCGTCCATAGAAGGACAGTTTGGGGTAGAATACACGTTGGACGAGCCATCGCTGTCGGTGTCACTGTCTTCGCTGACCCCAGGGACATTCTCCGGGCGCATAGCATCTGAGATGGCACGAAGAATCGTCCGAGGCGATTCGAACCGCGAGCGAGGTATCACATTGGAGCTGCGCGGGGGGTTGATGGGCGTAAAGGCAGACATAGACGACTGGCTCTTGGGCGACATGCAGTAAGGCTCCATGGAGGAGTCCCGGGCGCTGGGATCACTCTCAGCGTAATGGGTGCGCGGAATCTTGAGTGGAGGCAGTTTCAAGGACGAGTCTTGTCGGCTTAATGCTCCTATACCATGGAGAAGGGTATGGGTTGAGGAAGGGGTACTGATTGCGGGAGGGCTGCCTCCGGTGCTAGAGCTAGACTTCGTCTCCAAAGAGCGATAGTAGTTGGAGGTGTGGGTGGCACGCTGTACGATCTCTGGAGGGATGACCATGCGGCCGTGGGTCTTGCGGTCCGTTGGGGGGATACACATGGCTGGGAAGTCTGTGCCAAACAGTGGAGTCAGGGCGTATCGGATTCTCCAGCAGAAGGTTGCTGCCATGGCTTTGGCGGCTTCGTAGGGCATCCAGTATCCTATGTGAAAAGTGAAAGTGTTAGAATCACCCAAGGTTCTTTTGGATGAGAAGAGGATATCGATCTTACCTTGAGCAGAAAGTGCTCCACCGGTGATGCTGTGACAGATATCGCGCAGGCCGGGGTTCTGGTTCAGCATCTTGGCTGGCATGGTCTATAGTGAGTTAGAGATACCAAACATATCGAAGATCTATCGTATGAACTTGCCTTGGGGTAGCCATTGCATTTGAAAAGGTGTGTAATCCGAACAATACCGATGTTGTAGTCCCACATAACATGCCATTCCTTGTCTTCGCCGGGTATTTGGAAAGTATATTGAAATACTAGATGAAAGAGTCAGACGTGAATACCAAAACATGCTCAATGGCACATACCATGGAAGCTATCTCGGCCGGTCTTCTCTTGGAAGGTTTTCTTGTCGCTGGCATAAGGGATATGACGAGGATAGTCGGCAATGTTGCCCATGGGACGTAACGAGAGCTCTCTGTGAGCCTTCTCCAGATCTGCATCTCTTTCCTCGCAAGGAGGATAGCGGCACTCGCCCTGGATCTTGCCACGGCGGAAAATTGGGGCGTCCTTGGCCATCTTTCGCTTCTCTTGGACAGGGAAAGGCGGGTAAGGAATTCGCCTTTCGGGCTGAGGATTCAGAAGGGAGTTGATAGATAGCATTAAGAAGTTCAAGTGCTATCCTTGAGAGAAGAAAAGAGTTGAAGAAATACGAAGACTCTAGAGGAAAGAAGCAGCTTAATGTCTCTTTGGAACAAAAGGTGTTTTCCAGAAGGATGAAAGACAGAACAGTCAAACATGCAAGAAAAAAACAAAGTAGAGCAAGACAATTCAAGACCTTTGTTCAAAGGTTTGATGTTTGTTCCGCGCAGCTTCTAAAGGTGAGGTAAGGTGAGTCAATACAGATGTTGTTTGTTGGCAAAGTCAACTTTCGAGGAGACAGAGACAGCGGTGAATAGAAGAAACTCGGATCTGAGAGTTGTCTTACACGAAGAATGGTAAATGGGCTTCACCGATTCTTTGCCTCTCTCTCTTCTCTCCGCCTCTCTCATATCACAAGAGTGAAGTCGGACGAGTCCATGGGCTGTTTGTCTCTCCGCGTGGAAGGGAAAGTTCCCAATGATCTTACACTTTGGACTGATGATGCAGTGTACATTGATTTCATTGATATCCCTGGAAACAATTACAAAATACAGATATTGAGACTTGTCTCTCATCTCTCGAGGCATAGCCTGTTCTACATTCACACCTGCAACTTCCCAAGCCTCTTAAGTGATCCGTGAAAGAAAAGCATGGCAGCAACCGTTTCAGGAACCGTGAAAACGCAGTCACCGCATGCAAACAGCCTGCTACGCACAAAGGTGCCTAATATTATCCTCAATTATGATGTAAATGCTAATATCCTGGGGTAGAGAGCTCAACCGTTGTCCCACCATCTTTCTTTTTCTTCAGAATCTTATCGGAGAACGCATGCCAGATCTTCCTTGTCATTGGACTGGAGGGTACTGAGCAACCGGAGCATTAGGACAACAGTCCAATGGCCCAATAAGAAGCTACATACTCCATAGCTCGGCAGGATGAACATTAAAGAGGTCTCAGGCTCACGGGAAGCTGCAGGGCTTGTATGACAGGAAGCTGCATTGCCTAACGAGTCCGCGAAGTGCATCTGAGAAAAGCTGTGCTGCACAGATAAACTTCTGACAGAATTAACGATACTGGGAAAAGTGACAGTAATCTCTCCACTTGGGTGTCACGCTTCCTTGCCTATACAGTGTACCCTAGACTGTGCAAGCGGTCTATAAATTTGATATGATGGGGTAAGGCTGAGGATACAAACAAATGCTGATCATAGACTAGAATGTTCTTTATTGTTTATTAAATGCAGGTTTGCACCTCGGTTCTTCTCTTTTTGTCTTGGTTAATGTCTATTTGAAACTATCCGAATTCTCAGCTAGACCGCTGGTTGAAATCCCAGGGCGTGGGTATAACAGAGACATGGACTCTGCGGAGACGCAAGAGACATAACGACTTCAAAGAATATTCCATGCATCCTTCTATGCAGTATTCTGACACGTTGGTGGCTGCTAGAGCCCACTTTTCCTTTCTTTATCTTTGGGTTTTCTTTTCTGCTTGAATCAATCAACTTATACCAGTGTCACAGTGACTTCCCCCAGTCTGTTTCGCAATCCGCCATTGTACCCACCTGCCAGTCTAGTGTAGTCTGCATAAGACTTCCAACAGGTACAAGGGTCCTTCCGCCAATCGGTGCCGGGCCGGGGTAGCATCCTGAGCACTGCAGAAAACGGTGCATATAGATGCCGGCAGGACGCTACGCAATCTAGCCAGAGACTGTAAATATCGAGGACTGGGGTTTCAACTAGATGTCAACCCAACTGGGCTAGTTTCGAGTGGGATGGGTTCAATTGCATTGGAGTCGGTCTGCACAGAGTCCCAACAGCCGAGACCGCTACGAGAGTCTGGAAACGAGGACTGGTTTCCAATGTCTTAGACACTCTGCTGCTGGCTAAACATCCTCCGTCAAATCACAAAGAGCGGTAAACCGCGACATGCGTGTCCCCTCAGCGTCTCAGATCCCGGACTTCTGGAAAAGGGGCAAGAAGCCATGTCTCAATTGGGATGCTGCTGTTGGTGTTTAGGCCTTTCTCAAGCAGCTATTTTCATGCCTATTCATTTCCATAAAGTATGATCGAGCTTATTCGTAACATCGACTCTTTCAGGTTGCCCTTGGGCTTCCTTCTTTCACGTGTTTATCGAAAAGTCGGACTCATTGTTCACATCAGAGCTGGACACTCTTGGAGATGATGTGGTATCATTACAGTAGGTCTCAGACTCAACGGTGAAAAGAGAACACACCAAGCGTCATACTCGCATGAGCCTCTAAATCCATGTCTCAACCAGGTGAAAGACTGACTTCTATCACAAAGAGGTCCAGACCTCGACCCGTTGAACACAGAATACCAACCGGACCCGAACCTTGAGTCCAGACGCTCAAGATTCACAAGATACTCCTCGCCCGCAGAGATCAGACAACAACCCGGAATCTGTACCACAGCGAATCCGGGGTATACGGGGTGTGAGAGGTGAAGGGAAACACAGTCCCGAGCACGACTGAACAAGGCAAGTCTTCGAGGGAGAGGGGAAGTACAATGAGATGGAAAACAAAACCGTCACAGGCTGGTCCGAATTGCAATATGACGAAAAGGGAGCCGGGTTGATTGTTCCTCATATTGAGATGGAGAAAGAGCAAACCTCTACGGCTGTATGGGTCTACAACATAGTAAATATTCATGCCTCAACGGAAACATCTCCATGCGAATCCATTGTTAAAGATCCCTGCTCCAACAATCCTCTGATTTTGAAGTTCTGACTGCATCATGCTATCAGTTCTCCCAGGCGCGTGAACAGCTCAACTTCCATCCGCTCAGCCGCATCTGGCTGGCTAAGAATTTCGCCCATCGGGTCTTCTCCAAGATCCTCCTCCCATACTGTCTGCGGCTCTGCATTGACCTTCAGACTCTTGTACAGGCACATCCGTAGGTGCCAACGAAGGAGGTTGGCGCTCACACGCAGGGTTCCACTCAGAGCAGAGTTTCTAAGACGAGTGCCACCAATTCCCGTAGTATCCGTTACGAATACGATGATCTTGTAGTCGGCCTATGTCACAACCATTAGTATATATCGGTAGGGTCTTACATCGGGGTCAATTCCTATTTCAAAAGCATCGAAGTGGGTATGGATGTCGGAGCGGAGAAGAAGCCCATTCTGGGGAGAATAAAGGCCAGATTCCCCAATCTCGCTACTAGGCCTAGTGTCGGTAATGTACCGCCGATATCGATTTCGTTGCCATTCATCCACATTACTAACTGGGAATACATGCGTAGCTTCGAGACCTCGGAAAGGACTCCGACGGCTGGCTATAGCATTCGGCCCAGTAATTGCACATGCGGCGTCTCTAGTGCGGAGGCTGTTGCGAAATTTATTCTGCTGTAGAAATTATTAGTACTGGTTTTGTATGCTTAATCATTTACACGTTCCCTCTGACCCTGGGATTGGGAATCGGCACTTTGAGTTCTGACACGGCGTGGCGCGCAATTTGGTATTAGATTGATGATAATGGGCGCGTGATATATACGATTATCAACCTTGGAAACGCCAGTTATGCTAGATGTGTCAAGAATACTTAGATCTAGAGCCACATAGTTACCAGGATTCACCAAACTCGCACTGTTATGCTGGAGTGCAGTGTTTATCTGGTGTGTTATTGGCTTGCAACTTATAAATTGCCCACTCGTTTTGGTTCGGGGAGATGAACAACAACCAACAATAGCGACATAGCATCTCCTCGGAGATATATCGAGCTTGTTGGACAGTTGGGATTTCCAGGGCTATAACAAGGCTGTATTAGTCGCACTGGCTCCTATAAGGCTATCGTGACTTACCGGCAAGAAGATGGCCGTCGCTGTCATATATCTGGAGGTACCTTGGTGTTTCAAGAACAAGAGCTGGCATAGCTGCTGTCATATTGGAGTTGATGAAAAGAGAAAGAGAAAAATGAAAACAATTGATAGAAGGCGACTATACTTCCCGATTAGGTTAGCTTGGCTCTGATGTCATCCTTAGATTCCTCGGGTGTCTGTGATGCTAAGTCTTGCAAAGATAGAAGTGTTTTCAATGCAGAATAACTAAGATGGAGAGAAAGAAGAAGCAAGTTGCAAAGTGAGAAGCAGCCTGTTGATATAGCTATCCCTTTGCAAACATCGCAACCCTCGAGCCCTTCGCTTAGCTAGCAAACAATAAGAAAAGCGAAGGTAAGATCATGAATTTATGTAAATGCAGTTCCATTAGAAACAATATGAACCCGAAAAAGACATAGACAGGGTGTTTGCGGAAAAGAACTAGACAGGTAAAAATGCCCAGTATGTTAGGGGGAATAAAATAACGAAAAGAGGCAATATGAGACATGAAAAACTCATTCATCGCTCCAAGAATCCTCCTTATTTTTTGTCCGTCGACACGAGGAATTGGTGATCAGAGCGCATGTATTCCCAAGGAATCCCCAACAAGAACAATTGACTCGACAACCGATATCACGTGCCATTTGGTACATCCAGCAACAGTCATGGCCAGAATAATGATATGCATTCACCAAAGAATTGATTGACGCTCAAGTTCGAGGCCAATTAACATTCCCGGTTAAGATGGCCTAGTACTATTGAGACCTATTCAGATAGCCAGAAGAGGCTCACGACCCTTCGCCTGCTCTGCCGGCTCAACAGACGCAACAATGCCAGACTCGAGAGCCTGAGCGACAGGAGCGGCCTTGGGGGCCTCCGGGAAGTCCTCGTGCTTGATAACGGGCTCGACGGCAGGCTTGGCGACAGGGGCAGTGAAGTTGGCAGCGGGCTCAACGGTCTCACGCTTGATTGGGCTCGCAAGCTTGGTCTCCCGGGAGGCAGAGCGTCGGTGGGCGATGTAACCTTGAGCCTTAGAGCTGTACTCACCGACATACTGCTTCACCAAGTCGGTGGCGTGAGAGGTACGCTCGCCAGCCATGTCTCGAAGCTGGTTGGTCTGGGAGTTGATGATCTCCTGGTAGTTGGTAATCTGCTCGTCGATGAATTCACGGTTGCTGATGTAGATCAGGGGGGTGAAGTATGTGGTGGTCACAGCAATCAAGGCCACGCCCCAGAAGGGAAGGAAACGGAGCAGCCAGTAGCCGATGAAAGCAGCATTGAAAGCCTAAGCCGTTAGTCTCTGCCTTTTTATCTTCGTTGATAAGTTCACAAAGTTGCAACCTACAAAAACGGTGTGGAGGACATTCTCAGCGAACAGGATGCGCTGGAACTCGATCAAGAAAAAGTCCACGAGCTGCTCGAGGTCCTCGAGGACACCCTCAATAACTTCCTTGGGGACAGTGTAGTAACGGCGGGGGCGGAATCCACTGGCGATTCCCCGCTTGAGGATAAGATGGCCAGCAATCTCGACAGTGGCGGTCACTAAACACAATTGTTAACCAACCACTCTGTTGACCGTAGGTCACGCGACCAACTCACCTCCCAACGACATGTACAGGAACTTGAAGGCCCAGCGGAGGAGAGGCATGTAACGAGCGGCGAAGATGAAACAGATCATGCTGGCGTAGGAAACGGCGGTCGCACGGGGTTGTTCCCACTATATCCAGAGAAAGATTAGCAAGCTATCCAACTTGAAGACTCGGGCGACAACTCACGCTCAAAAGGCTGTACATCAAAGAGTGGTAGTCTAGACACTTGTCAATATCCCATCACCCAATTAATCCAGTTCTTATGACCTACGAGTCAATGGTTGACCATCGGCGGTGGTGTTCGAAGGGGTCACACGCGAGTTTTTCAGATCGCGGAACTCATCGCTGGTGCGGGATGCTTCGGACTTCACATTATTGACAATTGGGCCTGTGGATGAACTAGTCAGCTTGCTTTGATCGACTTTCGGAGACTTTCAGACGCCTGCTTACCCTTGGTAATAACATCGCGGATGCCTGAACGCAAAAGGGTCAAGGTCAGTCTCTCCCACGAAATCTAGGGAAAAGAAAAGAGCGCAATACTGTGGGGTGACTGAGGTTAGCATATTCATGTTGTCGAATGGAATTGACTTGGTTCTCTTACCTTACTGCCCGTGTTAGGGTAGGTCACGTCACCAGAAGCCATAACGGTGAGATTGTGAGAAGCACTTCAGGGGGAAACTTTAAAAACGGAATTAGAAAATTCGTAAGAAGCGTATCAACCGAGTCAAGACGTGAAATGCAGAAAAGAAATTAAAGGGGGGAAGGGGGAGAAGAAGAGGAAGAGAAGGTGAGAGCACAGAAAAGATAAGGAAGGATTCTCGACTTCCAGGTTGTTGTGATGCTGTCATGTGCGCTGCCAAGCCCCGAACAGCTCTGGATTCAGGGCATTTGTCTTATGACGAATATCTACCTGGGAACATGTCTTATAAGGAGTACATTCACTGGAAATACCTTTTATTGGGAGGGGATAACTGGAAAATACATAGTCTGACCTTACAAGTATGTTTGTTGTACATATCAGGCCACTCCGAGACTATTGTGTCTTGAACGCCATACCCCAAAGCTATATATACTCCACACAATGTCGATGTACAACATAGCTATGACTTCATACACAACCAATCACAACTAGTTCCCTAACCTTGAGCTCTGATGCAATACTCTATCCTACCCAGCTGTACCCCAGAATCCAAAGTATAAGCTTTAAGACTGATTTCTGAATCGATTTCGCTTCCATGTTGGGTAAGGACCGTAAGGTATTCCAACATATGATCGCCAATCCCCGCTAGCATATTTAGCCTCATCGGGTCCGAATTCGGTAATAATCTGCTATTGATCTGTTATTAGAAATGGCATTATATTAGGAGTATCCTAGGTTTCACTTTTCTACTTTCTTCTAAGTCGGCTATGACAAAACAAACGTGGCAGGTCATTCAACAGTACTTCGGTTGCCCTAATGGAAAAGCAGGTAGCTCCCCCATTTTCTGCCTTGATATCTTGAGACCATCACCAAGACATCGGAGTATAGTACTTCTCCCAATGAATAGGCGTATCAGCCTTCTGGAACTTTTCCATCCCTCCAGAAACGCCATCCTCCGTGACCACCCAATCACCCAACTCAACACGCTCTGCCCAACTCGTCAATAATCCAAGAACTGCCAATGACCCCATACAGGGAGAAGCCCAGAGTAGCAGATAATTTGATATAGCTGATCGGCTTCATCGGTAAGTAGGGGAGGATTCGAAGACGGACCAAGTAGCAGGTCGTTGCTACTTCGCGCATAGCCATTCGCACCGATACCAAACGGTAAAAGTAGCTTACACTGATTTCCATAGTCTTGCGCTATATCTTCTATGTAAAGATCAGTAGGGATAAACTCTAGTTCCCCATCAGGGAACCAGGGTCCAACCTAAGGGGATTTGCTCTCTCCCTCACCTCTGAATAGAAGCAGAGGAATTGGATCCTTCTCGTTATAGTCGATCCTGTTACTCAAATCAGAGAAAAGCTTGGGAAAAGGCTGATCTGCAATATCTGACGGCGATTGGAGTTGAACTCCGGGAGCGATATATCGGAACGAAAGACGTCGATTCGGAAGAGCGAGAAGAAACGATCGGAGAAAAGTGTCCTCTTTTATATAAGCCTCGCCGAGGACCGCGGTAGGATATAAAAGATCTATCTGGGTCTGGAGCGATGGTAGCGTAAACTTGGAGTCACTGGGAAGTTTTTGCTCAATAGCGTCGATAAGTCGAACAAAAACGGCCACTGCTCTTTCAACGTCACGCTTTGTGAAAGTTTCAAAATTCCATGAAAAGAATTTCGAAGGCGTTGAAGACGTGTACACTTTTCTATCTTCAATCATCTGAAGGTACACTGTAAGAATATCCTGTAGAGGTCTCCATTGCCATGATTTATCGCAATCGCAAATCAGACTTTCCCAGTCTGGAAAAAAAGCTGTAAGCTCTGTACCTCTGATCGAAGCTAACTTATAGTTAGAATAGAATAGTGATATAGGACAAGTTGATCACGAACATGATACTAACTTCTTCAACATCGACCGCCCCGGTAGCCGGATATAACCAAACAAAACGATCACCCCATGTTTTGAGGGTTGAGGAATAAAAAAACGTGTTTGCTCCTGTAAACTATGCAAAAAATAAAAGAAGCAGAGACCTGAGCCTATTACCGGGGCAGAAACTACCTTCGCCAGACGTAGGAACGAAACCAGATTCGGAATCAGACGGGAATCAATTTCAACGGGAGCGGAAGTTTGCCACCAACTAGTGGAAGACAATGTAGACAAATCATTTCCGGCCGCTGTCCATGCATATTCTAAAATCTTGTTGTGAAGATCGGCAGAAAGTGCCGGGTCAAATTGGGACTCCGGCATTAGTGCAGACTAGCAGCCAGTAGGGCGGACCTGATAGGGCGATCAGGAAGCTTTCACGGATGACACGGGATAGAACACTTCGGACACTGAAATGAGGGAGTTTTGCAAACTTTGCTGGATAAATACGCCCAGCGAGGGTGGCAGTTAACTAAGGGGACCAGAAGAGGCAAGGATCGCGCTAGCACGCTAGGCTATATCAGGAGGAAGTAGGGTGTTATTGCAGGGTCCAATGTGATATGTTTAGCTTCACAAGGTGCTATCAAATTGGACTGAAAATGTTGAAATGGGCGTTAATGAAATGGATGAATGGGGTTGCTAGTGGGATTGAGAAGTTCAAAGACACTGATAGTAATTAAGAGAAGTATCAGATCCCGTTGTCTTGGGTGAAATGAGTCCTTATGCTATCTAAATACCTGCCAAGATGACCTGGCAGCATCAAATTCAAGTCTGAATGTAGATATATAATGGCGATACAGATACGCTCTCACGCTCTCACATCCAGATATACAGTGTCAGTTGGACATGCACCCCAAATGAGCCTCAATTTGGGCGGGAATACGATGATCCTGGTGTCACTCAGTGCACCATTTCACGTAGTATCAGAACCCCACAAATTTGTGCATCCACCTTGAGCCCTACGGCCGATATTCACCCCGGATTTCGTTGCCCCTCTCAATCGAGATATTCGCGCTCTGTCCAGAGGTCGCAGTTTCCCAGGTTCTCGAGGTGACGATCCGAACTCCATCGTAGGCTCCCCTTCCGTGGCCACCGTATTGATATCTCCCTCTCTTCGAATGACATCGAGAAGAACGCCGTGGCCAAGCCACCGACGCTGCTTTCCATGACACCGGCTTCTCGACGTGGTCAACCATGGCATTGACGTGCGCTGGCTCTCCCAGGTGACCGAGAAATTCCCACAAGAGCATCACCAATGAGGAGAAATGGCTGGCCATCCATATCTACAACCTGGACCACCAGAAGATCCGCGCGAGCTACCACCTACCCATTTCGGCAATTAGGCCGTCGAGTCGTTCTCAACCCGATCTTTGACGAGACAAAGACCCGTGAATGCAGAGATAGACGCCCATGTATGAGGTAAACGAGAGGCCAGACGAGGCTAAACACCCGGGCTTCCGCGACTTTGCGCAGGAGTACTACTAGGATGTCTCCTGCGTGGGGACGCCGTGCCGCTGGACATGCCGGATGACTTCTTCACGGACCACTTCAAGTGCGATGACATACTTTCGTCCGTCGTCCTGATCCGCTAGCCGTTTCTGACAGACAGTCCCGCGACCGCCATCAAGACCGCCGACGACAGCACCAAGTTCAGCTTCAAGTGAAGACGTCTCCTTCACCGTCTTGTAAGTCCAAAGTGCAGGATCTCAGGTTCGAACCCTTAATGGTGGCTAGACGTCAAGCCGGATGATACCGGGTATCCTGTCAACCGGCAGCCACATGGCCCACATCAACAACTAGTACTCCCCGGCGCCGATCCACCATGTGACATGGATCAACGCCGAGCGCTAGTCGCTGCCGCTCTTTGTGAATCTGGACTAGGAGAATGAATTGTGCCGTGAGATCCTGCGCATCCGGAGATTCCGAGGGCAAGGACAACGAGCGAACCATCTCCTATGGAATTATCTACAAAGCACAGGATGGACTATTTGGATCGAATTAGGCTTTACTACTCCGTCATCCATAATATTTAGTCCTTCAAGGGAAGCGATTACCATCTCGGCAAGACTTGACTAAGTCCTTGAAGCCTAGTTCTAGCTACCTAGTTAACTTATGATACTGAACTAACGAACTACTCACGTAGTTAACCAGTTAACTAACAGAAGTAACTAATAGACAGGAGCTGTTACGAATAGAAACTGTCAAACCGTGGAATTCAATATTTATGGCCGGAAGGGGAAGGACCATGGATCGACAGCTTGTACATAGGATTGTCTTCCCCACTATTGATGGCCTGATCCTTATCCTGGGGATATTCTGACAACATACGTCAAGCCTAGCCCTACAGGGAGTTCAGGACTACCGAGTCAAGGACTAAGGTGCAGGGATTTCACTGGAGGAGCCGTCATTTAACGCTCACTGATGTCAATACAAACTGCGTCGAACTCAAGTATATCGTACTTTGTTAGTCTCGGAACATGTCACTGCTGATCCCGAATATTTACTAGGGCTAAAAAGGTCTGGATTGTTGTTGGACGCAGTGACTTTTTTTTTTGTCACGCCACTCGCCACTGGTGAACTATCCCAGGACATCAGAACTGAACGATTTTAACGGAATTTGCCGGTTCTGTTTATTATTTTGTCTCCACAGACGTTATTTTCTATGACATGGAAAATTCTTCAGCCAACTGCCAAAATGGGGTTCATGCTTCATGCCACCCAACCCGGCGTGTTCCGCAGCCACAACAGCGAGGAAACAGGTTGGCTGATAGAGCATCAGTTGACCTAATGCAGAGCTTGACTAAATGACGAAATGACGAAATGAAGATCAATCGAAATTGAATTGCTTATATTGAGCTTCTTCTGCTTCAAAGTCTTGTTTTTTCTTTTCTACATTCATCAGCAACAAGCCTTACTCTCCAATCAGCCAAGTCAATCTGCCAGCTTCACCAGCTATGGAATCATTATCTGCTTTCGTCAAGCGCAATGACGCGCTTAAAATCAATCCTCCTTCCGCCGCTATCCATATCACTAGCCGTGGCAGTGACTGGCTATGGACTGTCTTTGCGATAAACTACTTCTCTCTTGTCGTCTTCCTTGGCCTCTTGTTCCGGACCCCGCGCAGAGACCGCATCTTCCACTACATCAGTATCCTGACCGTTACTCTCTCTGGTATCTGTTACTTTACCATGGCTTCCGATATTGGCTCTATTGCTGTTGCCCCCGAATGGGTACGAAGCAGTCATGAAGTCGCCGGAGCCACTCGACAGGTGTTTTGGATCCGGTACTTGGACTGGTATGTTAATCCTACCTTGATCTAGGATCCCTGATGGAGGTGACTAACGAGCTATTAGGTTTACTACGATGCCTTTGATCATTTTCAATGTGCTGCTGACAGCGGGTGTCTACTGGCACACCATCCTATACACTGTCATGATGACGATCATCTTTGTCATCCTGTTCTTCGTCGGTGCCATCGTCCCTGATACCTATCGCTGGGGTTACTACACCATCGGCACCGTGGCGCTTTTCCTTGCCTTGGAGAACATCGTCTGGGCTGGCATCACCCACGCCAATGCCCTGGGTGGTAATATCAAAAAGTTCTACACCTTCTTGGGCCCTTACGTCTTTATCCTCTGGATCCTGTACCCTATTTGCTGGGCCTGTTCAGAGGGTGGCAATGTCATTGCCCCGGACTCGGAGCAGATCTTCTACGGTATTCTGGATGTGTTCAGCAAGCCCATCTTGTGTTGGATTATCCTCTTTGCCCACACCCGCATTGATATCACCCAGCTGGATCTCCGTCTCTATGACCGTGGAGATGTGGAGAGGAACACTCCAAGATTCAATGAGAAGGAGGAAGAGAGAGGTGTGGCCGCTGCCAACAACGATCCCGCCCAAAATGTTTAGACCCCTGTCCGATACCCCTTGTCTGATACCAACAGTCGAGGGATTCCCTCGCTGAAGACTCAAATTGCGTTGCAGAAGTGAGAAGTGCTTCGGCACTCCACTATTCCCAGGTATATGTGTTATTGCCCTTATTGCCCTACGAGATACGTCCTATCTGTATTTATATGAACATATCTAATAATAGTCCAATTTAACCTCGATTAATATATGCAGACTTCTATTCCTATTCACTGGCTCTGCTATAACTAGACAACAATCCAATTTCTGAAGCTGGCCAGATGGCCAGGTACAGTACTCCGTATTCCGAGCGACGATATGATAAATATTGCGGGGGCCATCTCGGGGATCATCATTGTGCCTGTCATTCAGAAAGGACTCTATCCTTACCTTACAAAGAGATGAGTCTCATTTGGACCGATTTTACGGATGGCGATGGCAGTCAGCTCCATCTCCTGACTCTCTCTATAGTTTACACTTACCTACCAGGGCCATGCTATGATACACCACTCGCATGTCCTGCTTTTAAGTTCTGACGTACTTTGGAACGTTGGCGGAGGTGTTTTGCCTTACCATGGGAACCGATTATGCTTATAACCACCCGCCTAACCTTGTAAGGCTGTCTAATTTCGAGCTCTCGCAGTCTACTCCGTACCCCGTCAAGGCTTATCCATGTACGTATTAACCTCGTATACAATTTAAATTTTGAGTTTGATTGCTTAATTTATTTCGCTTAATCCCTAAAAATAGATATTTGATGATAATAGTTGGACGATGCCCACTATTATCGGAGGCAGCTTCGCTTCAGCCTCGGTCTCAGCCTCATTGGGGGCCTAATTCGGTAGTACATACTCCGTATACAACATGTGGGCATTCCTCTCTCCTCTCTCATTTCCATTTTCAAGGCCTAAAACGAAATTGTTACTGAAAATGGCAGAGCCAAACCTTTCTCCCGCTTGTTTTACAGAGTACAATGAGCAAACCCAAAGCAGCCTATTCTCGCTCCTACCTCCAGAGATTCGCTATGAGATTTTCGCTTACGCTTTGACAAGTGCCCCGGACACCAGGCAACGACCTGAGCGAGATGGATACTGCACCAGACCAGGCTATGAGACCCCCCATCGAACCTACACAGAACTGCTCCAAACCTGCAGAAAAGTCTACATGGAGGCATGGTTTATGCCCTTCATCTGTTCAGAGCATGCATTCTGGATGGCCTCGTCGGAACGTGTTCCGGAGCGAATTATCACGGTTGAGAAGATGCAGCAATGTCTAGATCTAATTCATGATCGACATGGCGAAGTGCAGGGCGGCCATATTCGAGTGTTTCCTCAGCTATGGTGCCTCGAGGGGACCAAAGACTTCAATGGTATATTCGCCATGCGTCATTTTTATCCCAAGTCTGTCACCATCACTATCCGATACACCGACACCTGGTACTGGGAATCAAATGATGAGTTGCACATTGAAGGAGAGTGGGGCAGATGGCTGGTGCTGCCCTCTAGCGTCACCAGGTTCTGCATCGATATTGAAAGCATCGAGCGACGAAAAGACGAAGTAGACTATATTGCGGGCGAAATGGCCGATCGATGGCGATTCCAGCGCGCCGATGGCACCAACATGGTCGCAGCCAGGGCCGATACCTCCGTATCCAGATGGACGGGAAGTTCCATGCTTGGCGGAGAGCGCTGGGTGCGTGATGAGGAGGCGCCTGGTCAGCTTCGGTATTATTTTGCGACTATAACGTGGCGACCTTCGCAAGAGCCCTTGGATGACCAGGGTTTGAATCCTCCTCTCGAAGTCGATTGGATCCGCCCATCAATTCCGGATTTGGGCTGTAATTATATCGAAGAAGCGGATTTGGACAGGCTCGGAATATCCATGACAGTTCCTGCTGAACAAGCGGTTGCTGAATATATCGCTGACAGGGATCGCAGGCGTGATGTGGTAGAGCAAACCGTTCGCCAGGTTTTACCTTTTGTCCAGGGATATGAAGCGCTTGCACTGCGTACACCTACAGCTAGACCTAGACCGTCTGACTATGACCTAGATGAAGAGGTTCAGGTTCTAATTTGGCATAATTGGGTTTGAATATGTATTTCCTTCTCAATCGAAATTCAAGTGTTCAAGTGAGAATCATTCCAACGAAAATGTAAAAGTTACCATAACAAAATAAAGGACCACGTGACCCACGCGTTGCCATCGAACCCGATTAGGTCTGTTTTGATTCTCATTCCCCGACAACCCAGCGCGACCCACAACCCACAATCTCCATGATTGTGCATTTACGATTTACAACTCTCCCTATACGCCATTAATTGTTAGCTTCATTTCATCCACTTTCGTCAACGGCGCGTTGTCTAGGTCATGGCGGCAAGCGCGAGGGCGCAGAAGCCTGTCGGCTCAGCGCCATGGATTGCAGCAGAGAAGGAAAACATGGCGGAGCTTGTAGAGCAAGAACTCGAAGAAGTGGAATACCCTGTCCGACACGAACTGGACTGGTTAAATGAACATATGACCGAGATATTATCCAAAGGCCAGGCGTGAGTTGCGACCGCACACTACTATATGTGTCTACTTAGCTAACAATCACACAGGAACTTCGCGGACGTGTTCAAGACGCCCGGAAAGATGAGAGGTAAGACGCCTCGAACCGCTCGGAAGCGTAACCCGGAAGAGTCTCGAGTGGTGAGTATTTTTCATCGAATTGGTTCAACAGCTCTCGTCTAATGCCTCTTGTAGCCCTTGAGCGAGATCTTCTCATCCGCCCAGAAACAAATGGAAAACCAAGCAAGCCCGAGCCCATTCATGCATCGTGTTATTTCTAAGCCCGCTCCAATGACGGCATCGCCTGTGCCCCGCACCAATATCGTGACAGAGCAAGCTTCGCAGCCCGAATACCCCGATCTCACCCAAACTCTGAACTCCTTCCCCACATACAACACTGACTCGGGCTATCATGGCATGCCCGATGATGATGAGATGGTACTGCCTGACGTGCAACAAGAATCACAGGCTTCTACTCAGCCTTGTACCCAGTCTTTTGAACAGGACGCGCCTATGAATATGGATACTCAAGAGGTCGAGATCTCGGCCAGTCAACAAACGACTGAAGAAACCTTCCACTCTGCGCGGGAAGAGATCCGCTTCCGTGGGGAGACCGTCGAACCAAACAAGGACCCAACCCCAACCCCAGCACCAGCTCCATCCCAGGAGCGAACAGCGCGTCCAGCCGCATCGGTTCCCAAGGAATCCGAGACTGAAATAATGTCGACTCCGACTAAAATAAGAAAATCGAAACCAGATGTCAAAATCCCGGAAAAGCAACTGGACGAGGAACCTGCACCAAAGGACAGTGATCCGGCTATCTCAAAACCCGAGCCATCCCCGGAAAAGGCCCTGGTGGCCCCAGTATCCCCAGTAGCTCCACCTATCAAGACGCAAGAGTCTCATCCAGAGGACGAGGATATGGAGGATGCCACCGAAGATGCTACGGAAGACGACACAGTTCTCGACAATCTTGATGATATCGGCTCTCCTTCGGACGGTTCTACTCCAGAGCGACCATTCGCTCGGAAAAGCAGCTTGAGCTTTGCCACTCTCCCTGCGCGGGAACCTTTGAAGACTCGAACAAGCCATATTGACCTGGCGAAAATGAGTACTGCCGGACGTCCCAGTTACTTTGGCAAACAGACTGGCGGCCATAGGATTCCGCAAGCTGCAGCAGATGATAATTCCGGTCCCATGGCGTTGGAAATTGACAACGAGAAAGAACCAAGTGACGAAGCAGATCCTGACCAAGCTACCAGGATGCACAGCAAAAAATCCACCCAGTCCTTACATGATAGAATCAGCATGCTAGGCAAACTCCAGCCATCCCGACCCCGAAAGTCAATCCCATCCGCTTCTGGGCTACCAGGTCAGATTCCCTACCCAGACCTTCAAGCTTCCAAGGCTGAAGCAAAGTCTGAAGCTTCGAACGAAAGGGCACAGGAGGCTCCAACTTCAGAGCCTATGTCGGTGGACGATGACTGGATCAAACCTCTGAGCTCTCCCCAGAAACATGAGCTTTCCAGGAGCAAGACCACAGATGTCATGGAGAAGCTTGCTGAATTCGAAAAGGCGCAAGCAGTCAATAAAAAAGATGCATCGCAAACAGAGCCTGAACGTCCCACAACTACCTCGATGTTCTCTTCACCCCGACCGCACAGCTACCAGCAAAGCGCTTCTTTTCCTCATATGCCGGTTGGTACATCTACTACTCCAACAGGTTCACCAAGACGCTTTGACGGTCATCTCAGTGCTTCGAAGCTGAAACTGCACTCGATTATGAAATCTGCCAAAGGATTGTTCTCCAGCACTGGCGCCACCCCACGGATGGAACATTCATCGCCTGAGCAGGCGCGCATTCAGCCAGGTGCTGGCTCACTCACTAAACATGACAAACATTTATCTCAACCAGTCCCTATCAGCAGTCCTCAACGACCAGAAGGCCGGCGCACACGAAGCTCGACCGAAAAAGAGGAGAAACGTCGCCAGCACAGACGCGAAGAGCAGGAGCGTGAGGATCAAGAAGAAGAAGCACGTGTCGAGAGAGCCCGGGAACAAGAAAAGCAAAGGGCCCTCCAGCTCAAATCCGCTCAGGAAAATTCCTCGGTCGAGCCGGAAGAGAGGGCAGGCTCAGCAGTACACAAGACCTCCCAGTCACAACGCCAACAATCGCGTGAACCTGAATTGGTCCAGGAGTCTAACTCGAAATTTTCCATCCCTCAGCCAAAGCCAAATGACCGTCGTCCTCTCAAACCCACTCGCGAGCCCGTAAAACGCCCAACGCCGCAACCCATGTCAATTCGTGTCGGCAGCACCATGTCTCGTCAACAAATCCCTGTTCCGTCGTCTTCCAGTGCTCAGGAGTCGAGTGTGTCCGTAGCCACCTCTGCCCCTGCATCCAAACCAACTCTGAAAAAGAAGGGTAGCAATGCATCATTACATACAACATCTTCTGCAAGCAGCTTTAAGAGCTCTATTTCCAGTCAAACGCAAGCCCAGCGCAAGGCTCAGGTTGCCAGCGACCGCAAAAGGGAGCAAGACCGCGAGGCACGCCGGAAGGAAGAACAGAAGCGTGAGATAGAACGCAAACGTGCTGCCCAGCAACAACAACAAGATGAGGCCCGTCGCCAGGAGATGAGAAGTCGTGCTGAAGCTGAAAGAGAGCGCCAAGCTGAAAGAGAACGCCAGGCTGAAAGAGAGCGCCAGGCTGAAAGAGAGCGCCAGGCCGAACGGGAGCGTCAGGCCGAACGGGAACGCCGTGAACGGTCGGCTCAGGAAGATCCAAATAAAGCCGCCCGTATGGAGGCGATCAAGAAACGACAAGCGGAGAATGCTCGGAAGCATGGGCGGCAAGGCAGCCAGCAAATAGTCAACGAGGTAAGCGCCTTGTTCCAATTCGGGTTTTCATACCGCTAACAGTCTCCAGGGACCAATTCTGCAGCACGAGCAGCCTTATTCTCAGTCTTCTCAACGGAGTGACTTGGGTTCTTCCCGTCCTGCTTCTCGCCTGGGTAGCTCAATTCAGGCATTTGGCGGCCGCAGCATCAACCCACCTCCGCCTAACCCCGCGAAACCCCCAAAGAGAGGCAACGATGAAAACAGCCTGCGGCCTGCGCCGTCTAAACCCAGCAGCGTGCAATCAACTGGCGAGTTTAAACGGCGAAAGACAGAGGATGAGCACAACCCTATTCCACCTGTGCGCACAATGGCACAACCTATCCGTCAATCGAATATCAGAAAGGTTAGTAACATCGGATCCTATGCAATCTTCTTTCGGGCAAATTATTGACTTCAGGAATCTATGCAGCCTTCTACCCTTGGCCGTGGACAGTCTTCCATGGCACCACAGTCGGGCTCTTCCAGCTACAGAAATGCTCAACCTCAGCGTCCCGCTCATCCTATAGTCACGTACACGAACGGCAAAATACCGTTTGCCGAACCAAATCATGCGCCTCCGCCAAGCGCACACAAGATTGCGCCCAACTCCGTCCAACGCCCACCAGCCAAACCATCTCCAAAGTACCCAAGTGGTGAAAGTATTCACTTGCCGGAGATCAACACTGATAGCGAAGATGATGACGATTCCGACTCCGAGATGTTCCCTGTTCCCAAGTGGGCACAGTCAAAGGAGCTGGAGGGTCTTCTCCGGGAGCAAGATGGTATGGAAGTTGACTCGATCTTCGGGCCGATTGCACCATTCTCTCTAGAAGACACCTTCAAGGCGGATAAGAAGGTCAAGAAATACCGTGACCGCACCAGTAGTGCGAACTGGTCCGGACCCGATGGACTTACTCAGGAGGAGATTCGGAGAGATGTTGCTGAACGACAGCGGTTGCGGCTCAATGGTGGTTGGAGATTCAACAGCCAGTGACCAGCCAGGTGATCTTTCTTTCTTGAATTGTACATTGGTCTATACAATAACGGCTGTGGCCTTTTTTGGGGTATGAATTTGGTGGTGGACATGGTTATGCCGGTGTTATGGGTGTATCATCTACATGATGGCGTTATCTTGTATTATTCTTGTGGTCACTTCTGTTTATGGTTTTAGACAACAGCTGCATAGTTGCATCCATCGGAGCATGGAGTTAATGAATTGTTATTTTGGCCTTGGATGTTCTCAGTGTTCTCATGCATTATGTTGGAATTCATATGGTTGTCAATATTAGGGGTGGGAATGAGTTTAGACTTATTATGCACTACAGGGCCGTTCTTTACATGAACTAGCATCATTGGTCTAGTGGTAGAATTCGTCGTTGCCATCGACGAGGCCCGTGTTCGATTCACGGATGATGCACTTCTTTTTTCAATTTTGATATTAGTTCTACTTATTTGAGCTCCGTCTTTCTAAATATCATTTAAATCTTACTTCTTTTTTGCCTTTTTCTCATGGCACGTTATCTTGGTAGTTTAAATATAGTATGGTTGGTTTCCTTCGGCGTACCATCTTGTTGAAGACATATATATAGAACCACTCCATTGTTTTACCCAATCTATTATCTAACAGGTATCCGCGACATCAGATAAATGAAAACCAAAGAAAGGCGCTATTACATCAGGGAATCCTAGTAAAGCTTGATCATTTGACGGTCTAACCGACATAGTCTTGTACACTCTACACTAACACCGAGGAAGCAAAAGGCAAAGGAACAAAACAAATATGGCACATGTGCATCGTTTATGGTTTGTACTTGGCCGCATATTTGGCCGCCCATTCCCGGAACATACACCATGAGATGGAAATGAGAAACAAGAAGATGAAAGGCAAAAAAAGAACCCCGGTCCAAACCCATGCCCCTGGCAGCGCCGAGAATGATATAATACAAGATGCTCTAGCCTCTACGCAGTAAAGACGCCGATCCATCACTTACTGCATATCCGGCTCGATATCACTAGCCCCTCCATCGGCAACCTCATCCATGGCATCGGGGTTGAGATTGGCAGCGTCGGGTGCCACACCGATCTGAGTCTCGTAGGAGATGGTGCGCCAGCCAGATGCACTGGTGGGGTCTTTGACATATTCGGACATGGGGAACTGTTGGATGTTAGAACGGTTCGATATTATAAATTTGTGTATGATGCATGGTAAGACTCACGTAATGATCATTCTTCTTCATGGTAACAACCCAGGGAACGTTGTCGAAGGTCACGGCGCGAATACGGAAGTACTCGTTATCAGGAATCTTGCGGACCTCCCGAATAAAGCTGTCTAGGTCTGGAGTCGAGACGCTGTTGACAGCAGTGAGGAAGTTAGTGGGCGCAAGGCCGTAGTGGTAAGCGGGGGAACCACGGCTCTGGAGAATAGTGTTAGCGGGGTTTGAAGAGATGTAAGTGAGGTGTCGAAACTAACTCTCGCGCTCACGTAGATCTCGCTGTGAACCTTGGAGATCTGCTGGCGAACAGCATGGTGAGGCTTCTGTAGAACAGCACCGCAGAAGGCAAGGGCACGATCCGTCTCAATATCCTGAGTCGGCACCGTGGGGACGCGGATGCGCACTTCCTCGCCATTCCGTATGACCAATGCATCAAGGAATTCCTTCTCATACATGACATCCAGCTCTGAAACGCGAGTGATGATCTTGCCATCCAGCGTGAGAATAATGTCGGCTTCCTGGAAGCTGGTGCTAGGGTCGGGAGTGACGCCTGCCGGAGGACTGTCAACCTTGCGCACCATGAACAGCTGGTGTCGCGATGGGTTGGTCTCGGTGACCTTGTTAATCCACTCCTGCGAGACGCCCATGATGCGAGCCTGGCTCATCTGCACAACATAGCTTTCCATGTTTAAGATTCGCAACGTTGGGATTTCGCCTTGCTGGATCTTGGAAATAACGGGGAGCAGGTATGGAGTGGCAAGGCCGAGGTGGTATTCGACATCCTTGTGAGAGCTTGCCGAGCGCTCACCGAGGTAGTTCAGCCACAAGGCCTGCACCACACCGTCTTCGCCGACAAGCACACCGTTTGAACATTGTGAACTGAGCCCAGTGTCCACGGTCACGGCGTCGAGGTTGATTGCACGGTAACGGGGGGCAGCTGCGTTGGCGGGGATTGACACGGTTGTAATATCAGTGACAGTAGTCTTGGCCACAACAATGCGGTAGTTCTGGTTGAAGCCGACAAATATGGTATCCTGGCCTTGTTTGATATAGTCGGTGCTGAGCTGGGCGCTCTTGACCGGAGCCTTGACAAGGCTGGGGTCGTATTGGATGATGGAGTAGTTCTGAAGCGGATGTAGGAAGATAACCTTAGCACCGACAATGATTGAGTCGGCCACGGTAATGTTGATGTCGCAAAGGTCGTAGGGGACAATGGCTCGTGATACTACCACTAGACCCTTCTCAGCATCGATGACCAGTCCAAACCCGGTCTTCTTAGCTTGCGGGTATCCATCTAGCTTCAAGGGCATGATGCACGATACACGCACGAAGCTACGGACAATCTCGGCAGCGGCAGGCTGGCTGATACCGTCTAACTGGATGAAATTGGCCTCTCTTGGGACAGGAGGTTCGGCAGGAATGGGATCGGCGATATCGGAGAAATCCCAGACACCAGACTCGTCATTACGGACCGCCAACCGCATCTTGGGGTGCCAGTGACGGTCAACGTAGATGATGCTAGTTCCTTTTGTGTGGAGGTCGCGAATATGGCGGTAGGAGATCACCACACGAGTGCGATCAGGAATGTTCTTCATGACCTCTATGAATTCTTTGAGATTACGGATGGGCCGCTTGTCGATTGAATCAATGATCCACCCTGCCACGGTATTCTCCAACTTGAAAGAACCCGCCGACTCGCAGACATAGACTCCGCGAGTAGCAATGGCATAAAGACGTGACTGCTGGTACGACAAATCATGGAAGCTGGCGCCCGCGACTGTCACGAAACGATCGGGGGTGATATCATGAAGATTTCCCACTTGACACTCGACCTCAACGTCTTGACCGCCTCTCTGAACCAGCAGCTTGACAGATTCGCCGACACTCGAGTCTAGGATATCGTCGAGACGAACAAACTTCGTAAGAAGCTCCCCATTCACCTTAATCAGCACGTCTCCCTCCAGCAACTTACCATCTGCGGGCCCCTCTGGAAGAATGATCTCCGCCGCAAGCATGTTCGTTTCAGTAGGTGCTGCGGCACGGATAGCAGCCTCCCACTCCGGGCTCAGACCAAGACGGCGACACTCGTCGAAAGGCCTCAAGACCCACTGTGTTTGAATCGTACCACGAGTGATAGGCTGCCCTTGGCGGATACACTCGAGTGCACGGAGCGGGCGGTCCAGCGGCAAGAAGTAATCTGTCGCAGCTCCGTCGGCTCGGCCACCAGCCTGCAAAGCAACTGCATGGCCAGCAAGATTGACCACAGGACTTCCTGAACTACCGCCACTGGCTGCAGCTGCGGCCTGGATGTAGTTTGTATTGAAATCACAGTAGCCCTCTCCATATTCAGGCGCATTTCGGTCCAATCGACTGATCACGCCGGACAGAATGCTCAGCTTTTCTCCAGCATCGTTACCCACAACGCGGATTTCCGTGCCAACGCGCGCGCCATCCGGCTGGAGCTTGAGCTCAGTGACTGCCATATATCGGATTTTCTTCGGGTCGAACTTTAAAATACCGAAATCATGAACAGGGTCGCGGTATACCGGTTTGACATCGCACTGCGATTTGACAATCTTGTTAGTAACCAGACAAGAGTTTTGACCAAACTATGGCGCAGCATCGACTTACTTCTTCATGGTTGTCAAATATGCAGTATCCCCAGAAAGGACCAGAACCGACAACGTGACGATTGGTCAATATGTAGCCACGCTCTGCATCCACGACGAAACCAGTTGCTTGACTGGACATTGAGAGCTCTGTATCAAACGAACAGGTTTGACAAAAGTGAATGGAGACAGCGCATTTCACAACCTTCTCAATGGTAGCTTGCCATTCAGGTGAATCTGCTGCAGCGGGTATGGCAACTGGTGAGGGAGCTCCATCTGAATCCCCCTCAATCTCATATACGGTTCCGTTCGCAGGCGTTGAATCGTCGGGAGTTAAGACTGCAGGCTCAGGTCTGAGTTGCTTGTTCGGATGCTCGGAATTATCGGCCGCTGTGCTGCGCTTTCGCTTTGCACTGATATCGCCCATGCCATCCATAGCGAAGAGATCTGAGGTCCGGAAGTGGTATGGACGGGGTTTTAGGCGGTTGACGAGGGTCGAGATTGCGCGGGAGCCTCTTGAGGCTAACGGAGTAGTAGATAATGGGGTATCGGACGAACGAAACACGTGAAGGTGTAGACGATGCGGAGTTAAGGAATGTGACGCAAATGACCGATTAGCGGCGGCTGGAGACCTCAAAGGAATGGAGGTTCGGTTTGAAGCTTGACAAGATGACAAAGGAGGGATGGCAGTGATTCGCAAGCTCCTTCTGCATAGAGCTGACCAAGAGCAATACATCCACTAGAGAATTGGGGGAAATGTGTACGCGCCTTGACATCGAGGCAAAACATGCCCTCCAACAAGGTCCCAAAGGCGGAGAAGGAATAGGGCCATATTATTGGCCGAGGGCGTTAGTTATATCTTAGGATTATTGCCGGCAACACTAGTACGATTACCATCGTCTTCATATATTCTGACAGGTTAGAGTCATACAAGACTAGAGCCCGTTGGTTCTGCTATCTAGCACTAGAAGACGTCTTACCTTGAAAAGGAGGTTGATATCAGGCTTCAGAAGGAGAGAACAGGCGGTATTGCCGATAAGGACGTGCATGTCTATGCGCCCAACTGTCAAATAAGTTTGAATCTGTTTAATTTTGAGAGATAGGCGCATGGAATGATACGTTATTTTCAACTAATGTACAAATTCGGAGGATGCTTTGTAGCCTGATCTACTCAAACATGAGAGTTCTTCCTCGGCAAATGCTCCCATACTTCCAAAGCGGGGGACTTGGAGTATCTCCCAGTCAGATACAGATAGAATACGACTGCTTTGAAGTTCAACTGGTCACACACGATTTTCAGCCGGCAGAGATGGTGCGCATGGTGGAAGGCCCATGCTTCTGTGGGTATAATGGTGTTGAAGGGAATGGGCCGGCGCCTCTCATAGAGCTTGCATTGATGGCCCAAACCATGATCTGAGCCGCAGCGGTAGACAAATCAGGAGCTCGACATGATATGTGGCATGCCTTCTCACGCGGAGGATTGCATATTTCCTCATTAATTAGTTCCTCAAATAATTGATTCAGTCATAGCGCCAGGGCTAGGTCCACCGTTTCCCTGCATGGACGGAGGACTTGGCCTTTGTGGGGTAGAAGCCTTTGCAGAGCGCGAGAAGAGCTCGTTGAGTCTGACATATAGCTCATTCACAGCGGGGAGGTTGGGAGGCGGTGTCATGATCGCTGGCATTTGGGGCACGACGCCACTCGGTTTCTTCGATCGATCGGCGATAGTCGCGAGGTAGGCTAGGTTGGCTTGTAGGCGTCGCATGCACTCCATATATTCGGGGCTCTTCTGATTGGCTTTGGATGTATCTGGTTGCTCGGACGCCGGTGAATTTGTATCCGGGTTGGAGACGGCGCCAGCCTTGCCGGCAGCTTGAAGGTTCACTACCTCTTGCAACAAGGCCGAGTTGATGTCAAGCAGAGCCGTGACACGGGCCTTCTCACGTGCCGCAAACTGAGCCTGGGCCTGGGCCTGGGCCTGGGCCGGGTTCGGAACCGCAGGAGAGGCAACGGTCTGGGGCGAGTTGATTTGTGAAGGGAGTTTGGGCTGTGTGCCGAGGAGGTTGTTTGCTGATATGGAAGCCATGTTTTGGGAGAAGGTCTGCGCTACTTGAGATGGCATGTTGGCGCCAGATGTGCCTTGAGGGGGGACGAACTGTCCCATGGAGGTAGGTATGGGGGTCTGGGTGTAGGGCGCTGAGAAGTTATCCATGGGTGCTGCTATTATGATTAAGCATGGTCAGTCCAGATATTCCAAAATAAAGCGACCTGGTTAGTTGGCAACAGTAGACAGGAGACAAATGGTCAAAGCCAGACAATGCCAAGGGCCAATGCATTGAGAGCGGTAGGGCCAGTTTCACCCAAGCCGTAGGGGGTTTAGGGTGGGTGACACAAGCATGAGGGAGCTTGAGTGGAAATAATTCAATCCGATCTTGAGCCTCATAGGACCCTTCCTTTCGAAGAATTTGGGCAACAATTCTAGCCCGGGGTAAAGTGACAGACGCACGGTGCCAATGATAATAACAAAAAAAGGGGGGAGGGTAACGAACCGGAAGATTGTTGGGGGAAACCTGAAGGCATCATAGCTCCACCAGGACCAGGCTGCATGGGCATACCAAACTGTTGACCCGATGGTGTCTTTGATTGGGGGTATTGAGGAACAGCATTAGGGTAGAAAGACATCTGTTGGTTTTGGGGGCTTTGAGTCGGGACGGGATAGCCCGCGGGATAACCAGTATTGGGGTCCATTGTGTATTGAGGGACCATCACGGTTGAGGGAGGGCTCAAGGGATTATTTTCGCCCTGTAATATTTCTTCTCCAGCGATCCCCTCGATTTAGGGAGGCTACTGTGGCTGAATTACGCAGGCCGCACGGACGAGACGGTGAAGGTCCAACGGCGCCTGTTGACCAGGAATCCAGGGATAGGCAGATAGGCGAGATCCCGAAGCTGCTAGAAACAAAAAAGGAGAGCGATGATTGGCTCAATCAGAAGACGGGTTGTATTGGGAACAGGGCGTCTCCAGCGAACTGGGATTCGTAGCAAGACAGATTCTGGTGCCCAGATTCAGAGCGATCAGCCGTGGGCGGGCTAATGCAGCGGAGCCTTTTTGGAATGGTGGAGACACAAGGCTCGAATGAATGACGTTGGGATGATAATGCAATATGTCAAGTTGAGTTTGAACTTGACTTTGTGATCCAGAGTTTAAGAGTGTACTTGATGTTTAGAGAGGCTGGTGTCCACAGTGAAAGTGACATTCGACGGTCACGGGGTACGATTTATGCCTCAGGCAATGAATGTTGATGCCTGGAATATGAGCAATGGTCGGCTAACGATCTCTCTATTTTTGACCATTGGAACTAAATAGCCCTAATAATAATATCAGACATGCCATTTTCCTTTCTATGATGTAGCTAGATGTGAAATAATGGAAAATAATGCAGGAAAACCGTAGAATATTGGGAAATATGGTCAAAAAGCTATGCGCAATATAAAACGATTTCAAGTACGGAGTAGTCCGTACGACATGTGACAATCGATAGACGCCTATACCATTTTCCTACTCATAGCAACTAGCCGAGGTCATTACCCCATGCAGGCATCACATCTCTTACCGCTATATTAACACAGGAAGAGCGCTTTGGTCCCGTCGTTGGGCTCAGGTGCTGGGGAGAACGCCACGCACAGAAGACCAAAGCCCCTCGGCAAGGATGCCGAAGGGAGCACGGAAACTTCTTCCCAAGCAAGATCGCACTTTGTTGTACATATTTACTCCGTAGGTAACCATGTATTTTCCAATCGCTTGGCACTTATGTATTGCTTGGCGATCAGTACCCACAAACCAGACTCGGGGAGATGGGCACACGCTTCCTATGTATGTAGATGAGATAGGGAATTGGAGATCCTTCCTAACTCGACGTGTCAGGAACAGTCAAGCGACACATCGAGTCCCGACGAGTCCAAACTTTAAACTCAATCTGTTTCCCGATGACGATGAAACCTTAAGCCTTTACCCGCGTGGACAGGTGCCGATGCCCTTGTCCGGACAGCATCCGAGGACTCCGGAGCTAACTCCGTACATACGGACCCTCCGAGGTCAGACAGTTGAATGTTCCTGAACCTCGACTCCCCACAAGGGAACATCCGAATGAGAAGCTTATCGTGCGTTTGATTAGAAGAATGTTACTCCACTTGACGGGGGTTGAATGCTATATTAACTATGTATGCTGTAGTTAGTTATGTACTGTCGATTCTCAATGCATGGGCCTTTACGGAGTACTCCGCGGAGTACTCCATACATACTCCGTACTGGGTGGCGAATTGACCATCGCTTATTCCTACATATAGTGCTTTAGTGATTTAGCGATTATTTCACATTCCCCCCCCCTTTCAGCCAGCACCTGTCGATCTCCTATTCTGATTTTGAAGCATTCCAGCACCGAAGTAAGCCCGTTCGGCCGATATTCTGGAATCTGAAGTTTGAGGCTTCGAGACCGAATTAAGGCCGCCCGGCCGGTAAAGATTAAACTTCGCATGACGAGGGCGTGCATGACATAAGAATCGATCTTGCCCAGGTGGACGATAGGTACAGAACTATACCGAACTAACTACCCGAACTACCTAACTATACGAACTAACTATACGAACTAACTATAACATGTAACGTAATTCACATACGAGCCGCCACCACATACGACCCGCCACCCCATCCAAAAACGCGTCCATGAATTAGCACCTAGTTAATTCAACCACCCACCATGCCACCAAAACGCTCTCAATCCTCTAAAGATTCAATAGAGAAAGAGGGTAGGATCTTATTAGCTATCCAGGCTTTTAAGAATCAAGAATTTTCCAATATTTCTACTACCGCCCGCACTTTTAACGTACCGCGTTCAACCCTTCGGGACCGCCTCAGTGGTATACAACAACGCGCGACTTCTCGCGCCAACTTGACTAAATTGACCGCAATTGAAGAGGAATCTCTTCGAAAATGGATAATCTCTATGGATTCTCGTGGATCGGCCCCCCGGCCCTCTATGGTACGAGAAATGGCGGATCTTCTTCTTAAACAACGCGGAACCACCCCGGTTATTTCAGTTGGCCAAAATTGGGTTACACATTTTGTTAAACGGCACCCTACCCTTGCATCCCGATTCTCAAGACGTTATAATTACGAGCGCGCGAAATGTGAAGACCCAAGGATTATTGGAGAGTGGTTTAATCTGGTTCAAAAAACCATTCTTCAGTATGGAATCGATCCGGACGATGTTTATAACTTTGACGAGACGGGTTTTGCTATGGGATTGACCGCAACGGCAAAAGTTATAACTAGAAGTGAATACTACGGTCGGAGATCACTTTTACAACCTGGAAATCGCGAGTGGGTGACTGTGATTGAATGTACAAATGCGGCAGGGTGGGCGCTTCCTCTATGCGTGATTTTTAAAGGCAAAGTCTTTATTGAATCTTGGTTCGACGGCCTTCCAGATAATTGGCGTTTTGAAATTAGTCCAAACGGTTGGACTTCTGATGAAATTGGACTTCGCTGGCTTCAGAAACTCTTTATACTATCGACTTTATCGCATATGGTGGGAAGGTATCGACTTTTGATACTCAACGGCCATGGAAGCCATTTAACACCAAAATTCGATGAAATTTGCGAGCAAAACGATATTATACCAATTTGTATGCCACCGCATTCCTCTCACCTTTTACAACCGCTCGATATCGGCTGTTTTGCGGTCTCAAAACGTACATATGGTCGGTTGGTTGAAACGAAAATGCGGCGCGGGATCAACCATATTAATAAACTCGACTTTCTCGAAGCATACCCCACTGTACGAATTGAAGCTTTTAAATCGGAGACGATTAAAAATAGCTTCTCAGCAGCCGGTTTAGTACCCTTTTCACCCGATCGGGTACTTTCGAAGCTGAATATCCAGCTTCGAACACCTACCCCCCCTCTGAGCCGGGGTAGTGACTCAAGCCGGAATTTTACACCAAAAACCCCTGCTACCGGGAAAGATCTACGTCGACAGGCTTCGTCAATCAATGCTTTACTTCGTACATAATCTCGAAGCCCAACAAGTCCTTCTAAACGTGCATTAAACCAACTTATCAAAGGCTGCCAAGTTGCAATGCATAACGCTATTCTACTAGCGAAAGAAAATAAGGAGTTACGGGATGAAAATGAGAAGAAGAAGCAAAAACGGACCCGATCTAGAAGGCAGATACCCGCCGAAGAAGGCCTCTCTGTTCAAGAAGCATCTACATTAATTATACAGCAACAAGAAGCAATTGAAGCACCTCCCCCCGGCCCCGGCATGCCTAGAGAATCGACTATTCAACCACGTACGCGCCCCCCCCGGGGGTGTGGAATATGCAGATTGCCAGGGCATAGAAGAGAAACATGTCCAGATAGACCACTTAGTTAGTTGATTTAATTTAATGGCGTTATGGTTGAGATAAATGCATTTAAAAACTAGATTATTGAATGGGGTGGCGGGTCGTATGTGGTGGCGGCTCGTATGTGAATTACGTTATGCACTGCAGCAAATGCGCCCGTGTCTTCGATCTAGCCCTGTGAGTCAACGGTGTGGTATTATTAATCAGAGGATAAGCAAGGAGATGGAGAGCAACTAGTACATCTACAATCTCGGGAATATTGGCACAAGGCAACCGCTTGGCGCAAGGTTTTTGGATTACGATTCTAGAGTACTTTGTCCACTTACTCCGTAGCTACGGTATGATGGCTTGCAGGTGTCTGGCAGTTCCAAGGGGCATGTTTCAACGGATTGAGTTGTGAGGCTTGAAACCTAGCCAGTCTACCTCATAGCGGCACGAACAGATTCATATGGGCATAAACAACATAGTACATACCTAGCTTACCTCTCAAGTTCAAACACCTGCGCAGTCGTAAGTCGGAATTCAAATCTCCGGCTCTATCATCCCTATAGCATTATAATAGGCCAATGATAGGAAAACAAATCCGCATTCCAAATCAAGACCTAATGCGCCAAAATACTCCGTCGTTGGTTTCGATACTGTATCTGCATGGCCGCTCTGCAGATCAGTCCATTTCGACTCCGTCGTCTCCACCGGCCTGGGTTATTTGAAGTTGGGCCTCCACCTTTGCACTCTATTTACGCACGGAGTAGATACGGAGTAGGCAGTGCGCCACACCTGGACAGACCCAGTGTGGCTTTTTTATGAACCCTTATGTGTAGGCACATCGTTTCGTTAGTCACAGATCGGCAGTCGCAAGCTGACCAGAGGCATTATTATTGCTAGTGTGTGGCCGTCGCAGCAGGGTCTTCCCATCCCCAAGTCCCCGTAGAAAAATCCACCCTTCTTCGATTCCCCTTGTGGCCCACTCCGGTATAGAACTGGAGGCAAAACTGGACAAGCTTGCCAACCGTACAATCCGGGGCCAGCCGTTGGGTCCATCTATAGGGTATTTCATCCTGTTTCCGTGGCCAATGACCTTGACAGAGCTGACCCTAGCCAGGGCGCGGAAAACATGTCCAGGCGATCGCCAGAGGAACCAGAGTATGCCCATTATGCTATGATCTACATAGATAGCGATGGCAATCTGTGCCAAAGGGCCTCCGATTCCATTTCAGAGAGCCGCCAGACTATCCTCTCCCCTAGGGTCACCAGTGAATTCCTCCGAGCGGTGGCGATGTCGAGAGAAGCCCAGGCAACCCGATGTCAAGGCAAGTGCTCTTTTGACCCCACATGAATGTCCTATTGACGTAGAACAGTTTCTCCCGAGGTCCCGGTGCGGTCTAGCGGGCCCCCGTTTAACAACCACAGCTCTGCCCCGTCGCAGGGGGAGCCCGTGGCTTATAGTGGAATGTGCCTGAGTAGCCAACAGCGGATACAAGTTCCTGTGCAATCAGAGTCTACATTTCACCCGACCATGTGGCCAACCGAATCCTGGCCTGTACAAGCCTCACAGCCCAAGAAGAACTTTGCAGGTCGGAACCTCACCTTGGCTGCACACCAGAAAGCCTTAATCTCTGTAAAAGAGAGAGGTCTGTTGCGTCTCTACTATGAGAAAATCTTCCAAAACCTGCAACAAACAAACTGTCGAATAATAGCCAAGGCCTACATCAAATTAGTCGAGCCGCGCAAGCAGGTGAACTATCCATACAATGGACGGAAGATTGTCGAAGGCAGAACTCAACAGCTTGACCCAGAGGCAACTAAGCCACCGTGGTGGCCGCGTGGAGTGAGCCATAGGGAGCCGGATCATCTTCCAAAAGTTGGTAAGACACAAATATCATTCCGGATGTCCTACCAAGCTGATAGGAGTCAGAACGCATTCGACTTTTGGTATACATGCTCTGCGAGATGCGCGAATCGCATGGAATCACAACCGCCAGATTAAAACAATGCGATCAGCCCATCCGTCGTCAGATCCTGCCGGTCGAGCGGCTACAAATCCTGGATGAGGCATATCGAGTTCGCGAGGAAGAGGAAAAATTCCTGGATGGAATTTCAGGTACATACTCCCTCGCATTACTCCTCAATCCCCTTCTCACATGTATCTAGAGGGAAAACAAGTGTGCATAGCTCGCACCAATCTTCCTCATATGGCAGAGGACACATCCAGCGAACAAAGCTCGCCAACCGAACCCGTCTCTTCCCAGAATATCGAGTCCGAGTGCAGCGACGGCATCTTCGGAATCGATATAACCAAAGTCACCACCGGAGACCTGCCGAGCGCGTCAGCGTACAATCCCCCCAATCCTTATAGCCCGATGCACCTGGGCGCCAGCAGCCAATACCATTCCGTCAGCCCCTCCAACATGTCAACATCACCATTGGAATTGAGGCCAAAGCACGAATCACTGTCTGCCGGGACTCATTTGATTGATCGGACGCGCTCCATCAGCATGGCCCACTACCCATATCCCGGCGTTTCTGGCATTCAATCGGCCCCGATGGACTTTTACGGTACCCCTAATATGCCCCAGGATGCAGGTGTTCCAATCACTCAGACATCGACGGAAAACTTGTCAACAGAGTCAATGATGCCATACGGCCACCCTTATTATTTCAACTATTGAGCGTCTAAGCATGGACCGGAGCATGGAGGATATCTTTTTACGATAATGAATTTCGTTCGGGTTGTATTGGAACAAGACAGCTCTGTCCGAATAATTATTTACGAGTAAGCCCGAGGCGATGCCTCTAAAGATCACCAGTTGAACCTGTAACCGATGAGCCGAGTTAAAATCCAGGGATAGATACAAAAAGATGGGTAGAGGCCGGCCTTTTTCCCATTCGATTGCCCTGATATGCCTATAGGCACTGCGAGTACCAGTCATTGGAGTATTTACAGGTTCCACTTGTGCAAGTTGTGCTTCCAGTCCAGCCCAACCCACCACACTGACCATAGAGAGGGACACCAGTAGTGCTACCAGAGCTGGTAGTCGTGGTGGTAGCAGAGGTAGTCGTGGTGGTAGCAGAGGTAGTCGTGGTGGTAGCAGAGGTAGTCGTGGTGGTAGCAGAGGTAGTCGTGCTGGTAACGGTAGCCGTAGAGGAAGTGGAAGTACCAGAAGCTGTACCACCCAAAGCAGCCAAGATACCATCATAAGCCGGCTTCTTCACCAGATTCGCATCCCAAGGACACGCAGCACCCTGACCAGAGAATGTACTAGGAACCCACGAGTACTTGTCCGTGTAGTCCCAAATAGTAACGCCCACACACTTAGCATTTGCCACACAAGCCGCAACGGTGTTCTGGTAATCGGTCGACTGCTGCGCAAGCAGGGCCGAAGTCGACGGGAGAGTCATCCGGATATCAAGCTCAGTATAGGCAACTTCGACGCCCAGGGCCGTGAACGCGGCCAGATTGGTAGTCTGCGCGCTCTGGCTAGGGGTACTTCCGACGATAAAATGTGCTTGTAGACCGACACCGTCAATCTTGGCGCCGTACTGCTGTACCAGCTTGACGATTCTCTGGGCACCTGTTGCCTTGGACCCGGCGGATTCGATGTTGTAGTCGTTGTAGTAGAGCTTGGCGTCTGGGTCTGCGGCGGCTGCTGTAGCGAATGCGATGGGAAGGTATGCCTCGCCGATGTATTGGTAGAAGACGTTGTCACGGTAGGTGCCGTCCTCGTTGAGAGCTAGTAGTCCATAAATTAGGCGACTTGTGATGATATGATTCGTTCCTAGTTCGGCACTGACCTTCGTTGGCAACATCCCAAGCATAGCATTTGCCTTTGTAGTGAGTCACCACGTTGGTGATGTGGTTCTTCATGGCGGCAAGCAGAGTCGCGTTCGTCCAGGAGCCGCTTGAGACTGGTTATCATTAGATGGATATTCCCGCATTGAAAGACATGAGATAACAGAACTTACCCCAGCTGGGCAACTGGCTATACCAAACTAGAGTATGGCATCGCAGCTTTTGGCCATTCGTAGCAGCGAGGTTGGCAATGACATCTCCTTTGGTATAGGAAAAGGTGTTCTGAGACGGTTCGGTTGCATCCCACTAGCGACGATTAGCGATGTTGGAATATTACGCTAAGACCAGCCCAACCTTCTGCGCATTACCGGGTGTAATCTGTCCAAAGTCGTCTGTGTTGCTCAGCTGGGCAAGGTATGCGGTATCCGTCAACTCGGAGTTATCAGTAGCTGATCCGAAGTATAGCTTTCCCTTTGCGACAGCAGCGGTGTTCAATCCGGATGCATTGGTCCTATTGAGAATGGGCATTAGTCACTATCAACTGCCACCGTGCTGGGAATTGGAAGATCAACCATACAGCTGAGGAAGAACACTGGCCAGTGCCAGGGCAATAGTGGAGAAGTGAACCATGACGAGGTAATCAACGCCAATAATGAATTGACCGCAAGTTCTGGACCTGGAGAGAGAAATCGAAGGGTCGAGCTCCTTTTATTACCAGAGATAAACAGCGTCAAATTGGCCGGGTCTTGGAGGTTTTCAGGACCTCCGGCGCTAGGTTTCACATTAGACCACCTTGTCAACTCGAACGGGCCGAAAGGCCGTGGCATAGTTGCCGCGGCCGTTTCAAACAGTCAAATGGGCTTGGCCATTGCTGAGATGCTGGATGAGCATGAGTTATGCACGGAATTCGTTACTTTAGCCCGGGAAACTGACACGGGACCCGACGCCACATAGTGGGCAGGGGAGAGAAACGAATAGGGAGACGGCGGAGCAAATTCCGTATTTCCTTCACGGCAAAAAGGGGCTTTTTTCCATATTCTTGGAGGGAAGAGGAGACCGGGTAAATGCGATTTTCTACAAATCCGGGGGATCTTCAAGGCTGTCGATCAATTCTTCTTCTCTTCTCCGGGTAAATCTTGACTACTAACCTAAAAGTGCGAATAGTCAGATCAGAATCAGCTTGATAATTCAGGCTGAGCAGGTTTCCCCATTGCGCATTCAGGTCAGACACGATTCAAACAATGGCTACGATCGACCTGTTGGATTGCAACCTTGGAAAGACCTTTTGCTTAGAAAGGGGGCGTTGCCGCCTCAATGATATCTATAAGATCTGAAAATGCATATATACACACAAGACTGGCGCTTTTGAGGGGTATCAGAGATTTTATAACGTCATGTTGCTCCGTGGTCGGACCAGAGCTGAGCGTTGCGAGTGGTGAGGCACTGTTCCAGCCAAACCCAGACCAACAGGTCGATAGGCAGGAAGCAGCGCTCCCATGGGTGTGATGACTTTATGGACGCAGATTCCATAGAAATCAACGGATCGGTTGAAAGTTGAGTGGTAGGTTTCATATTAGTGAGATACTACTCAGCCAGTCTTCCGAGCCTTCATCTCTGCAATGTATTTCCCGGTCTTGGAGATAGGCACGACGTGGATGGTGACAAGCTCATCCACAACCTCGACCTTGCCACCAGAGAGAATCTGCAATAAAGGCAGCTTCTTGCCAGCCTTGATCAAACCACCGGAGACAGTCTGCATGAAGCATTCAACACCTTCGACGGTGTACTCCTTCTTCTTGTCCCAAGGAAGGGGGAAGATGTAACTCAGGTGGTCCTCGATAGCGTTCATCTCAGAAAATGCCTTGACAAAGTCTGACTGGGCGTCCATGGGGTAAAGGAAAACGACCGGGAACTCGATTGTGCTCTCGGGTGAAAGGGGATCAGGGACGAGGCGGATCCCGGCATCTTCTATATCAGGAGGTTGAGCGGTTTTGCGAGTTCTGATCTGACGGGCGCGCAGAGCTGCGCTGAGAACCATATTCTGCTTGCGCACCCTTTCTTCTTCGGCCTTCTTCCTCGCGGCAGCACGCTCCAATAGGGCCTTGCGCTCGGCAATCTTTTTGGCAGATTCTAGAAGAGCTTTACTTTCTGGGTCAATTGCCAATCCTCGGGCTGCAGAATCTTCCGCCTCGGCCACTTTGTCCAACTTGAGGAGTGCCAAGGAGGAGCGATAGAAGGCCTTCACGTTTTTGGGGTTTAACTTGAGGGTGGAAGCGCAATCGAGGGTACAGGAACGGTAGTTTCCTGCAAATGATATTAGTCAATGTGCCATGCAACCAAGAGGATAAGACATGCCTAATTCCAAGTTGCACAATGCCCGGTTGATATACGACGCCTCTTCCAACTTGCGCAACAGCGCCGCCTCTTCCTCGGGATCTTCGGGCGCTTCCCACTTATCCTCCTTGGCATTAATGACAGCAAGAGCCTTTGTGTAGAACTCTTTGGCGTCAATCCACTTGAGTCCCTGCACAGCTTCATTTCCTTGTCCTTTGAAGCTATTCGCAACCTCCCCCCTGGTACCTTCGTTTTGTAGAGCCTGAAGAGCATCCAAGAGCACGTTTTCACCCTCTATGAACCCATTTATGTTAGCCGAATCGAACAACCATGTTCAAGGAATGGTTGGACGTACTCTCGTCACCCGCTTTGTCAATATCGGTCATGAACAGAGGCGTCTTATTCATCATTGCCATCAACTCCTCTGACGAATGCGACTGAATGGCTGCAATAGCCGGCGGAAGTTCTGGTGCATTGGGATCGGTATTGCGCGCCTTCAGTGCTTCCTCGTTGATCGGGAAGGGAGTTTCGTTTGCAGCGAAGGCGTCAAACCCGGGCACGGGTACGCCCTGGGTAACCTCAGGAGGCGCCTTGTTGAGGTTGAGCGACTCATCAAAGTCATCTGGAAGTTCTTCGACGCGCGACATCTTGAGCGTTGGTCACAAGAAAATGTTGCGCTTAATTTAGTGATCGTCCAATGCTTAGAAACTATGCCCGCGATGCAAACAGTGCAAACAGGAGGGGTTTGATCAGCCCTAAGCCCTATTACCGGATTAGTCGGACTGGAATGGGATGCAAGAATATCAAACTTGCGAAGAAGAAGAAAACAAAAAGATGATAGGAAGATTTTGGGTTTACAATCAGGATATTGCGTGATGCACTGGGTGTTTCTAGGTCGATGACCGCACGTGGAGAGGGCCTGAGGCCGCCATTATTCATACTCTATCAATCTATCAATTTGCTGCTGTTGGGTTTTATTTCATGATCTATATACTTGATTCACTATTGGCTGGTTCTATCGGAGTTTTCTCATAGCGGGGAACAAGGCATATACCACACCGTTTGATGCATGAGGAACTAGTATACTAGGCAATGACTACAACCCAGGCAGTGTCGGACACCTACTATACAGGCCTGATCGTGTGTACTAATCCCCGCAACTGACAGCCTGCAGAAAGTTAAAGCAACCCTCCTTATTCCGGCGACAAACCTCCGCACCTCGGAGGCCATGTCATCGGTGAAACCCCGACCAGAACAAACCCCGCATCAATCGGGTTGAAGACCGAACCGATTCAGGCCGTATAAGTCCAGGTGCTAGGTTACGAGAATAATCTGATCTACCCCAGATATTTTCATGTAATAACATACACCACATCACCATGGCCAAAAACTCCAACATCCTCATCCTACCCGGCGATGGCATCGGCCCTGAGATCATGGCCGAAGCCGTGAAGGTCCTCAAGTTCTTTGAGACTCCCCAGCGCAAGTTCGAACTGCGCCAGGAGTTGATTGGAGGTTGCAGCATTGACGCTCATGGCAAGTCTGTGACCGAAGAAGTCAAGCAGGCAGCTCTGGACTCAGATGCAGTGCTCTTCGCCGCAGTTGGGGGCCCGAAATGGGACAATCAACGTCGTGGTCTTGATGGGCCCGAAGGAGGACTACTCCAAGTCCGAAAGGCTATGGATATATATGCAAACTTACGCCCGTGCTCTTCCACCTCGCCAAGTGCCTCTATCGCCAAGGAGTTCAGCCCGTTCAAGCAGGAGGTTATTGAAGGTGTTGATTTTGTTGTTGTGCGGGAGAACTGCGGAGGTGCCTATTTTGGCCGCAAGGTCGAAGAAGAAACATACGGTGGGTTGCACTGAGATTATATTGTCATTGAATAGCTAACTTTTCTTCTACCACAGCAATGGATGAATGGGGTTACTCCGAAGCCGAGATCCAGCGAATCACTCGTCTATCCGCCGAAGTAGCACTGCGACACAATCCCCCTTGGCCTGTGATCTCACTAGACAAGGCGAATGTACTAGCTTCTTCGCGACTCTGGCGCCGGGTAGTGGAAAAGACTATGGCGGCCGAATACCCGCAAGTGAAATTGGTGCACCAGCTTGCCGACTCCGCGTCATTGATTCTGGCAACGAACCCGCGATCCCTGAATGGCGTTATCCTGGCCGACAACACCTTCGGCGACATGATCTCTGATCAAGCTGGGTCGATTGTGGGTACGCTGGGTGTATTGCCAAGTGCCAGTCTCAACGGTCTGCCTGGTGATAAGACACTGAAGACACGACCTTACGGGCTGTACGAGCCTACACATGGATCTGCTCCGACGTAAGTGCTAGAAATATGATAAGAAAGCTGTTCTGACTTTGTTATAGTATTGCGGGACAAAACATTGCCAACCCGGTTGCAATGATCCTCTGCGTCGCGCTTATGTTCCGATACTCTTTGAGCATGGAAGATGAGGCTCGACGTGTGGAGGATGCGGTGCGTAAAGTGTTGGATTCAGGGATTCGGACGCCTGACCTTGGGGGCAAGGCTGGGACTAACGAAGTGGGCGATGCGATTGTGTCTGCACTATAGTATAAGATATGGGAATGACTATCCATGATTGTTTGGTCAAACAAAGTCTAAGCATGTGTCAAACTGGCTGATCAATGAATGCAAATCACCTCTAACTTTGATAAAGATAGAAGCTGACCAAAGGCAATGTTTGTTAGATACTGGCGTTGAAAGGAAATTAGATAGTACTTTCCATGATTCCATAATGCTTAGGTATAATAATTAGATTGGTATGTTCCTAGATATTTCTCATTCTTCTTCTCTTCTTATTCCTCTCCATGTCTAATACCATCACTTCCACACCCCCACAGAGTCCGCTCCAAGGCGAGTCTCCCACAAGAAACGGAGTACTCAACATGTCACCCCCAACGCCTACCACTCCATTGACACCACCGATGGCACCCCACCATCCAAGCCAGCATCAAAACACACCAGGATCCTGTGCTCTACGCCTCGAAAACCTGGCACAACAAACCTCCACCGCAAAAAGCGAGCTGATGACATCCGTCGCGGCAGACATCTGCGCAACATTCATAAGCATCGCAAAGTATTCCGAGGAAGGCACACTTCAAGCGCGACACACCGACGTGATCGACAAGGTGATTCAGACGATTCGCGATACCGACGTGAAGCAGCGACGCTTGCTGGATCGACAGGTGCAACGACTGCGCAAGGAGAGGAAGTGGATCCGGAAGAAGTATTCGCGGCTGGCTGTGCAGGCGGATGGGCTGGGTCGCGCCTACCAGATGAAGATGCGGAAATTGAGAATCTCACTACAAGAGGCGCAGGGGGAGGTGGTGCGTCTACGAATTGAGCGGGATATGTTGCGAGATTGCTTTAAGAAGTACGATATTGAGGACAGTTATTCGAATGACAATGACAATGTCGACGGGGAGTGTGAGGTTGACACGGGGGAGGATGTTGATGGAGAATATGAGAGTGCAGAAGAGACTGTCAAGGGGGCAGACCTTTGATACCTCTCAGATGTCTTCCAAGGCGTCTCTGGGATGTCTCTCGGAGATTATTTGTCCGTTTGAGCTTGCATGCGAAACGGGTTTCATATTTCCTTTGTTTGGCCCTGGGTTTTAGGGGAGAAGAGATCTGCCTCCTATTTCGAAAAATGACGCCACGGCGAAGACAATCATGTTCATTCTGAGACTTGGCTTCGTCAATTTTCCCACATGACAGCAGTACAAAATCAAGAAGCAAGTTCTATCAAAAAAGACTCTCATTTCAACTGCGTTTGAAAATACCACAGTAATGGATGTAAGCATCGGATTTGCCTATCAATATTAGTGTCATATCTCAATATCGGCTTCTGAGTTCCGAGGGTTGGATCGGCATTTGATGACATCTGGAATGTGATTCTATATCCTCCAGGGCTTGTTCCAGTTGAATATAAGACGACAATCACTGGAAATGGGAATCTCGACCATCAGAACTGAGAGAACCAGACGTCGGAACTTGCAAATCGAAATCACAGCCGATCATGAGCAAGTCAACGGTCGTCCAAATCCTACCTCGGCATCTTCAATAGGCGCACCCTGATTCGGCCCGCGGATCCACCGACTTCCATGTGGAAAGTCCGGGGGGCTCTTTTTTTCTGTTCGTTTCTCCTTCTTTTCGGTTCTTTTTCTCTTTTCTCTCCCTGATCAAAATCCTCTTACTTAAAACTCTTCGAATCACCTCGAAGACGACGTTGAGTTTGTCCAATTTCTTCCCGATAAACATACCCCGGACCGCGTTATCGGCCGATACCCAGAATGAGCACCCACGACTATGACGCCGTCCGCAAGGACATCGCCGATATCCTGCAGAAGCCCGGCTATGATGATGGCAGCGCAGGACCCGTCTTCGTGCGGCTAGCATGGTAAGTAAATGTGATCAAGCCTCATCGTTTCCCGGTCGGGGACCTCGGCTCATCGGGGACGATAAGCCTCGCAATCTTACTGACAATGATTTCAAACAGGCACTCATCTGGCACGTACGATGTTGAATCCGACACCGGTGGCTCAAACGGAGCCGGCATGCGGTACGAAGCAGAGGGTGGCGATCCCGCCAACGCTGGTCTGCAGCACGGACGGGCATTCCTAGAGCCGATTAAAGAGAAGCACCCCTGGATCACATACTCGGATCTCTGGACGTTGGCCGGAGTAGTGGCGATCAAGGAGCTGGGCGGACCGGATATCCCCTGGCAAGGTGGACGAACAGATTTGATAAACGACACCAAGCTGCCTCCACGAGGACGTCTGCCAGATGGAGCCCAAGGTGCCGACCACCTGCGGTTCATCTTCTACCGCATGGGATTCAACGACCAGGAGATTGTAGCGCTGACGGGCGGACACAACCTGGGCCGATGCCACGGCGACCGCAGTGGATTCGAGGGCCCGTGGGTTACGAACCCAACCAGATTCTCAAACTCTTTCTTCAAATTGCTGCTCCAGCTTGACTGGCAACCTCGCAAGGTGGCGTCGGGTAATACCCAGTTTGTGTACGTGGACCCCGATGCGGATGAGGACGAGGAGCCGTTGATGATGCTGCCCACTGATATGGCGCTCATGACGGATCCTGAATTTGCCCCGTGGGTTAAGCGGTACGCCAAGGATAAGGAGTTGTTCTTTGATCACTTCTCCAAGGTGTTTGCCAAGTTGATTGAACTGGGCATCCGGCGTGATGCTCAGGGTGCCGTGACCAACACTGACGGCACTCTCGGTGGATATGTGTCAGCGCCGAAGAAGAGCAACACTGCCACAGGCCCGCCCAGGGCACGTCTGTAGGGTTTTGTTTTTTGGCTTTGTTTTTGGCTTGTTTTTGATCAATTCCCCATTGCGTTGGTTGATCCGGGACTGCAGACTGCAGGATTCGGATGTGTAAATAGATCCTAGATCATAGAATGTGATGAAGATAACTGATGGATGTCTGTTGATATGTATCGTCGTAGTATCTTCGTAGTGGAATTATAAGGATGAAATAGAAAGAAGAGAGAAAGGGGAATGTTGAAGTCTGGGGTAAGATTGCGGGGAAGCCCACACGGCTATATCTGAATAATACTACATATACAGACTGGTATGGGCATATACGATGTAGACTTATTATTATGTAGTAAAGAAGTACTTATGACTGTAAAAAGGCACTAGAAAGGTACCAAGCGTGTAATATCTCGTGTTATACAAAGTCGGGCCTCGGGTATATCAAATGAGAGCCCGCTGATTGGCAGATGCCGTGTTGACTAGTATCAACGGTGTATATTAGGAAATATAAAAGAACAAAAGAGTACAATAAGTCACATAAATCACATAAATCACATAAATCAAGGCAAATCTGCATCATCTGCATCACTGTCACCAGGCTTCCATGTTGGATCGGTGTTCTTCTTCCTCGAATTCCTCAATCCTGGTCTTCTTGATACCTTCGGCCTCTCCTCTCGCTGTTTCTTCTGTTCTTCCTTTTCTCTTTGCTGTTTATACTGTTCCTCTTTAGTCCACCTCGAGCCTTTCTCCCGTAATTCACCTTCATTTTGTTGTTTTTTCTTTGGATCGAGCTCTTTCTGCTCTTGCTTTTTCCGTCCCTCTCTTCTTTTTCGATCGTGGCCCTGTTTCTTTTGCATATTCTCTCGATCGAGTTCCTCCTCTTCTTCCTCGTCTTCTACGTCACTAAATCTCTGGCTTGAGTTGAATTCACCTGCACGTAGGACCTGCTTCTCCCTTGGACTCAGGGCCTGCTTCGAAATAGCGTAGTTTGTCATCGCCGACCTCTTGAGCTCATTACCGTGAGTAATGCGGAAATGTCGATTTCGAAGCTCAGGAATAGTCTCCGCATCTGGCATGCTAATATCTGACGACCCAGTGCCCCTGCGATTGCCCAGCTGGGGTGACATAGGCAGATCAGGGAAGTCCAAAGCTCCTTCCTCACTAGGTAGACCCGAAGGCCACATGTCAGGATGTTGAAGCCAGCGTGGACTCTGCATCATCGACTGGAATATATGGTTCTTGGGATCCACATTCATTATGCCTTGACCATTGCTCGATAGGTCATGAAGGCCTGTCATGTCCATAAACGAGGACAACTCGAACTCCGGAGCTGTGGTGGTGGAATAAAGGTCCGGATCAAGGAGTGATTGGTCGATGACCAATGGATCAAGAAGCGCCGAATCAATGTGACCAAGTGGCAGAGCGGATATGGCAGTCTCTCCGGCGGCTGGGTTGGGGGATACTTTTGCTGTTGCCCAGCCGGGATTGAAATTGCTGAAGCGCTCACCATTGTATGATAGTATACGAGGCCATGACTCCCGCTGCGGTGGAGGATCCGATCGCTCCCAAGGGATGTGTTCTTCGAAAACGCTCTTGTTCTCGCTCACGCAATTGGCCATCTCTATCAACGTGTTGTTGGCCTTGTGCAAAAGTTCGATGGTGGGATTCATGATTCGCTCGTAGAAAAGGAGCGGAATGGCATAATGATTGACCCATTCAGTGGGCACTTTTTCGTCAGGCTGAAATGCTGGGATTCCACCGATGAGAACCCCAGAGTTGACTTGGCTGTCGTACATCATAATATTCCCATTATCTTTCTCGCCTCGTTTCGTATCTGTCCAGAATAAACGAGCATGGGATTCGTTGTTATAGATTCCACCAATCCAACGATAGTGTGCAACCTGTGGCTTGTCTTCATAGTCTATGTAATTGAATTTGAGATTCTCTGTGTGATTTCGGATTCGAGTCTTGATATCAGAGGTTACCACAAGACGCAGAGGGAGTTGACCGATCTTTCGTTCTCCAGTAACTCCCGTCGGATCACCACACTTATCACACTTGAAAGATTTGCGTGGGTAGAAACATCGCTCGATCAACTCTTGCAACTCTACTCCTTTTTCATCGCCCGTTTGGTAGCCAGGTAGAATGCAGGACCCTTGGTGGGAGTTGTAGAATGGCATTGCACACTGGCATTTGCAAGGGGTCACTCGTTCCACGTGGAAATAGCGGAATTGAGCAAAGCTTCTCGTGGCCACTGACCATACCGCCCAAGGAGGAATCGGTTGTCCCATTTTCAAGCCGGTTGAGCTGTCGGAAAACATACGGAGCCACTCGTCACGCACAAATATAGAAGTTTTATCGTCGAAGGTCTCCCAACTCGCCATTGTCACTTCGATGAATGCTTTTTCGATATCTTTGAACTCAGCTGCTCGATTGTTTGCACGATCTATCTTGGTACAGCCAGCATCGAGTAGCATTCCCGCTACAATAACAGCATCTGTTGCACAAGACATTGAATCCCAGATAGGGCCGCGGCCCCGGACCGGATATATAGTGCCATTCGGATCCCAATCAAAGGTCAATGGGGACAACTTGACACTTGCCGTGGTGGGGAATGACCCAAGTTTCATCGTGAGCATATCCTTGTAAGAATAGGCTGTCCCGTGGCGAATAGGTTTCCCAGTAGACGGAATGCTGGGATCACGGTCCAAATCTGCATACACGATCTGCATCACAGTTCGTTCCATGGCGTCTGTAATCGCTTGCGTGTCAAGCGGGATGGAAGCTTTCGGGACAATGGGGCTCAGTTGGTGCCTTCCAATTGGGGTCACTTTATCGGAAGGTGCCAGAGCAGGCGTCCAGGTGAAAGTTGTGATTTCATCAGCAGCAAAGACAGGCTCTTGGTATGCCGAAGTGGGGTAATGAAAGTGATCTCTGTAAGCAGGAGCACCGGGTGAAATTTGTCTTGCGCGCTTGCTACGGGGTTCCTCGTTGTCCTCTGCACTCCGTTTTTGGCCTGGTGCAGGGCCCGGTATCTTCTGACTCGGCGCTTCGGTCAATGAATAGGCCGGTGTAATCTCGACTCCTGGGTTCATGTGTTGCAACAAGCTCATGCGAAGGATCTCCTCCTGTTGCACAGCGAGTGTTGACGCTGGAGATGGTGGAGGTGGTGTGTGTAAGCTGTCGACGGAGTACATAAACTGTTGAATAAGATAGTCGGGCATATCTGGTGGCGCATCCTGAGGGCGTATGTATGCATTCAAGATAACTGTGTTCACATCCGGGAGAGAATTGTACCACCTACTGAATGGCTTTGGGCGCGGATCGAGGTCGTATCTCAAGAGTCGTGGCCCAGTATCTCGGTTAACATCGAGCATATCTGCCCAAGTCTTCGGACGATGGCGTTCTTGCATGTAGTAGATGAGCTTGAACAAAAACATATGTTGAAGCTTGACATTTGACTTCTTTCTCATTGTCATGGGAGTCTTAGTCGGTTCCTCATAGTGGATTCCCCAGAAGTAATGCTTCATCAACACTTGCACCTGCGGGGCCTTCAAGGAACGACTGGAACCATGTGCAACAGATGAAAACTTGGTATTGAAATGTGACCAGTCGTCGGGTGGGTTAGGAAGGCGTGTAAAGTCGTAAAGTGGTAAGGGTGGAGGCGGCTGTTCGAGCTCCTGCGGCCTCAATGGGAAATCGGAAAAGAGAGGAATCTCGAGCGGGGAGAAATTACTCATCTCGACAATCTGAAAGTGAAGAATCAAAGTCTGAAAAGTATACCACGACGGGCTCAATCGAGAGCAATATCCTGATATTGGGGTGTCCTATATTGGTCTGAGGAATTTGGAAACTATCAACTAGAGGCCAAAACGAGGAAAACCAAGTGCTTTAATGGACAACGAGGAACATCCATTGTCCAATGTGCCGGCATGAATGCCATATTTATCAAGGAAAGAAATAGAGTGCCATATTGTAGACGGTAAGCATGAGATGAAAGAACACATCGAGCCTCTCCCCGAATCGAAAACCCATGGTAACATCCTCTTTCTTGATGAACAAAGCACTTAGAATCGAGGCAAGAGTTAGCACCAGGGCAGCATGAGAGTGGGGAATTCTATATTTGTCACATTAGCACATAGCGTCTTGGTCGAGGTCAATCAAAGAACCTAGTAAAAATAGAAAGTAATACTATTAATGGCAGTGGGATTATGGGGATCTCTTAACAAACCAAAGAACATAACTTATCAAATCGAAGATCCTATAGATTGGGGTTCCAGATCCAGTGCAGGTAATGGATGTTGTGGCCATGTTGATCTCTTGTTTGGCCTTGAGTAAACCTCACTGAGTCTAGAAATAACCATAAAAGTGCAGAAGTGATTAGTATCGAGCTAGAGATATCGAACTTCATAAAGCAAGTGAATCGGAGCTTCTGGCATCGTCCGCCACGAATAAAGATATGAGCTAAAGCATGTACGGGCCTGCGGGTAGCCAATCCATAGACTTAAGAAACGCGAAATAAAAACTTAAATCAAAGAGATGACAGTGCCACAAAGTAAACCAATGTATGAACCTCATGAAGGGTTACTCGAAGCACAAAGAGACACTTTGACAGTGGCTGATCACTCCAGGAATTGGGTTCGTCACTGTTTCATGTCGAGGAAAACAAAGCCGTCTGGTCAGGGCTGCAGGTAAAATACGTGTAAATAACACGGCAGATTACCCGAATGTAACACCGAAATTAACAGTCATGTGACTGCACATGATCTACATTACGCACTAGCCATATTGGGCCTAGTCCCGAACAAGCGAGCCCTCGTCCAAATCGGGTTAGTGCTCCAATTACCCGATCCCACAAGCAAAGTCACTCAGTTGGACTTCCTCTCTCCATCCCTCTGTCGACAACCCATCGCGATCCTCGCCCATCGCCCATCATGTGTACGTGACGACCCCTTCTTTCAGTCCGAGAGCATTATATGATATACAACCACGAAATTGCCAAAAAAAGAAATGCTGGAAACGACTGCAGAGATGGCAGTTCTCGAAATTGAATGTTGGCTAACATGGCGGTTTCTCGATAACAGCGCTCGTGACCGGCGATAAGACGAACTTCCAGTTCATCTTGCGTCTGCTCAACACCAATGTTGACGGCAAGCAGAAGATCATGTACGCGCTGACCCAGATCAAGGGTGTCGGTCGCCGTTACTCCAACCTGGTCTGCAAGAAGGCCGATGTCGACCTCACCAAGCGGTACGTTCGCCACAATCCCTATCGAATATTCAATCATTCCCATGCATCATCTGTTATTGGAGGGAAAACTCGAAAGAGACAATGGAACAGTCTGGACCGGAATCGACCTGCGGACTAAAAGGAGGGGGAATATCGCACAACAAACAAATTTTCTACAAGACCAGCAAAGCTGACAAAACGCCTTCTATAGTGCTGGTGAGCTCACCACCGAAGAGCTCGAGCGCATCGTGACCATCCTCCAGACCCCTACCCAGTACAAGATCCCTTCGTGGTTCCTCAACAGACAGCGCGACATCACCGATGGCAAGGACACCCAGGTTGTTTCCAACGGTCTCGACTCCAAGCTCCGTGAGGATCTCGAGCGCCTCAAGAAGATCCGCTCCCACCGTGGTCTGCGTCACTACTGGGGCCTCCGTGTCCGTGGTCAACACACCAAGACCACTGGCCGCCGCGGTCGCACCGTCGGTGTCAGCAAGAAGAAGGGCTAAATCATTCTGTTCGCTTTTTTGCCGGGGGTTCTTGGAGGGATTCCGTTATTTCCGGTGTGTTTCTATGGACACTCGTGGGACCTTTTCCCCGCTGTCAAAAAATTGAAAATGAACTATACCAATGAAATGAACCGATCTTTTCAATACGTATGCTTTGCTTTTAGCCCTGGGTTTGATGGGTCATACTTTGTGGAACAATTTGCCAACTCCATGATCCTGGCTCAATCCTCGGCCCTCGTAGGGTAGAATATCTTGCAAGCCTCCGTGGTATAATTCGAAGAATACCTTTCTGTGGGGGTAGAAAGTCCTAGACCGTCGGTGTGCCTGAGCCATAGGTCAACAACTATGGGGTTCTGGGGTTATACCTGCACTCATGCATCATCCATGCCTACACTACATGTTTATTACTCAATGTTTGAGTCTATCCAAAATTTATTGAATTCAAAGTTGCCTAGTTATATACCAAACAAAAGCCAAATCGGTAGGAAAACATAGTATGCGGCCTTCTGAATTTCCCAGAGGGTTAGGTGTCAAATTGTACGCAAACAGCCAGTGGCAAGATCAATAACACGTAGTGTAATGATAAGTTCATCAACGCATTGTATCATATAGCAGCTCGGTTGAGTGTTTAGAACCACTCACCACCGAGCCAGCGGTTGAAGAAATCGATACTAGCCTCAGGCTGGTCCATGGGAACCATGTGGCCAGCACCGAAGATACGCATGAAGGTGAAGTTGCCATGGGACTTGATCTGACCGATATTCTTGCCAACGTGCTCGTTCTGTACAATCTTGAGGTCCTCAAGCTTGGCGGCAGCGAACTCCTTCTGGCCAGGCCACTCAAGAGCCTCGGACCAGGCCTTGTTGCCAAGCCAGTTGCAGATGAAGTCAGCATCACCAGCGTAGATCAGAACAGGGATCTGCTCAAGGAGACCGGGCACGAGGCGGTGGTAAGGCTTGAACCAATCGCCGTTGAAGAGGAAGTTACGGTTAATGTCGAAGTTGCATGAGTCGTAGCCATCGACCTCAGCACCGACGGCCTCACGCACGCTCTCCTGACCAAGGTACTCGCTGACGTAGCCCATACCCTTGTAGCACAGGTTGCTCTCGTCCTCACACTTGCCGCGAATATCGTAAACATTCTGGCCGGTGCGCTGGTAGGGACCAAGCATGGCGTTGTTGCAGTAGATGGAGGCCGGGACACAAACCCAGGGGCTCTCGCTGTTGTAGCAGGACTGAATCATGCTTTGGCAGCGGGCCAGGGAGTTATCCATGGACTGGCAGGTGCTCTCATCCAGAACAGCGGGGTAGCCACCCTCGCCGCATGCCATAGGGCGGTAGTACTCGTACTGAGTAAGACCGTCGGTGAGACCGTTACCAATGAGAACAGACTTGAGGTTGATGTTACGCTTCTTGTGGGAGAGAATCTCCGAAGCCATGACAGGAATATAGTGGCCAGCGTAAGATTCGCCAGCAATGTGGAAGTCCTGTACAGCGTACTCGGGGAATTGCTTGAAGAACAATGTGAGGAGGGCATAGACGTCCTTGCCAGCAGCAACAGTGTCACTGACAGAGGAGCCACTGTAGGAGTAGCCGACATTGATGGGCTGGTCCAGGAAGATCACAGAGGCATTGTTGTTCCACGAGAAATCATTGTAAATAGGCTTGATATCAGCACCGATAGAGCTGGGTCCAAGTTCCAAGAAAAGTCCGGTGAGAGACGAGCAGCCGGGACCGCCGTTCAGCCACAGGATAACGGGGTCGTTCTTGGGGTCATTGCGAGACTCGAAGAACCCTTTCGGAGGTTAGATAAACTTTAGATGATGGATGGAGGCTTTCCGAACTTACAGTAGAACAAGTGCTTGTCATTCTCGTTGTCATCCAGGTAACCACTGTACTGCTTCACACCGGGGTCGATGCCGAGAGCGCTGGGGTCAACCTTCTTGGCACGGAGGCTGTAGTCCTCCAGCTTGCCCTCAACCTCACGCTCCTTGACGCCCTCGGCATTAGAGACCCAGATGTCTTGGACTTCAGCGCCACTGACATGGTAATCCCAGTGCGAGTCAGGGCGGCGGGTGTGCTTCTTGGGCAGGGAAAGCAAGGGAGCGCTCTCCATGGACTCGGGGAAGTAGTTAGACACTTCCTCCCAGAGCTGACGAGCCTCACCAGAAAGAGACTTGAACTGGTCCTGGAGGTGCTGCAGGGGCTTGAGTGCATCCGCACCCTGTTGGGCTACGTTCTCCGCATACTCCCTGTGAGCTCCGAGGACCTGCTGGAAGGGCGGAGCAGCGGCCGAAGCAGCTCCCACCAAGAGAGTGGCGGACAGGACTCTCATTGTGTACTGTGTTTGGATTTCACAGCAAGAATGATGGTAATGAGCTGGTGATGATGAACGGGTACCTTGGGGTCTGGAGTTAGGCACCTCTTATCAGTAACCGTTGGGAGAATGGCTCTCAAAATGAGCCAAAGGAAGTTGATCACTTACAATTTGAAGATACCACAAGATGATTGATAATTGAGACAAAGTTGAAGGGTTGGAAGAAGCAAGACGGTGATGCCTTGGGGCTTGTGAGATGAGGAGAAGCAGGTCCCTTGGCCGATGACGCCGGGGACAGTCGATAAGACGAGAGGGCTGGGCCAATCAGATGACCCCAGGAAGCTGCCCGACCCCATGACCCGGATGAGTCAGCGTGAGTCACGGGATTCCAAGGCTACGAGGGGCACGAGCTTTTCGACTAAGCCTTTTTGGGTAAATTGCCTGACGCAAATCAACTTTTGATACTTCGGACTCAGTCTACATATATCCTTCGATCTTGACGGTGCCATCCACTTGGAAACAGTATTCAAAAATATATCTTGAATCTTACTACATTTTCTGGTGTCTGTTTTTTCTCTTACTGAAGCAACCAGCCCTCAGCGGCTTTCACACCCAAAATGCCTATCAACCAACCCTCCAACCAGATCAAATTCACCAATGTATCGGTGGTCCGACTAAAGAAGGGTACACTTCTATCTTACCTATGTTCCTTGGACGTTTCTAACCTTTTATCCTAATCCAGGCAAGAAGCGCTTTGAACTCGCCTGTTACAAGAACAAACTGCTGGAATACCGATCCGGCGCCGAAAAAGATCTCGACAATGTCCTCCAAGTCCCAACCGTGTTCCTCTCCGTCTCCAAAGCACAAACAACCCCAACAGCAGAGCTAGCAAAGGCCTTCGGGACCGGTACCCCACGAGAGGAAATCCTCCAAGAGATCCTCCGTAAAGGCGAAGTGCAAGTCGGCGAGCGTGAGCGCAAAGACATCCTCGAGCGAGTGGAGAAGGAAGTGCTGGATATCGTGTCAGGTCGACTAGTCGACCCCTCAACCAAGCGCGTGTACACCTCTGGAATGATCCACAAAGCGTTGGATCAATTAACCTCGGCCAGCGGACAACAACAGGCACATTCGAGCGGGGAGGTGAATGGAGATGGCGAGGAGAAACCCTCTCAGCCGAAGAAGCCGCTCTGGACGGGAGTTTCGGCGAACCGCTCGGCGAAGAGTCAAGCGTTGGATGCCATGAAGGCTCTCATCGCCTGGCAGCCGATCCCCGTTATGCGAGCCCGCATGCGTCTTCGTGTGACATGTCCAGTGTCCCTGCTGAAGCAGTCTGTCAAGGCTGCCCCAGGTGCAGCATCGAATAAGGAGAAGGAAGCCCCATCTGGTGGCTCAAAGAACAACAAGAAAGGGAATAAGGGATCGAAGAAATCTAAGAAGGACGATTCAGATATTGAGGCTGGTCAGTCTGATGTGGAAGCACCCAAGGCCCCGGGCACCGTCAAGGACAAAATCATGGCGTTCATCGAATCAGTTGAATCGCAAGAAGTCATTGGCGGGGATGAGTGGGAAATTGTTGGGTTTGCTGAACCCGGTGCGTTCAAGGGATTGAACGAGTTGGTGAGCAATGAGACCCGCGGAAGAGGCCGGGTTGAGGTTCTGGACATGTCGGTCACACATGAGGATTGAATAATGACGTTTGATTTCTCTAAGGCTTTACTGTACATGATACGATATGACTGATGACAAAAAGTAAAAAGAACCTTGAAATATACTGGATTTGATATGCCATCACATTCTGCCGCAGTAAGGGGAATACAATGCCGATGACCAAAGTCTTTTCTCACGGAAAAAGCAAAGATGAAGAAATGACAGTCGAACAATGGAGACATACTGCGGGGAAGGAACACATACTGCAGCTGCCAGCAGCTCGTAAAAAAAGCCACTCAACGTAGGAGAGTATCTTTGCAAAAAGAAAGAAAAGGGCCAGGATCTCAAGTATGATAGCTCAAAGTATAATCAACAGCCCTGAAGCGTATCATTGACTCGCAACAAGAAGTTAAGTAACAATATGATACAAGAAGACGTCTAGGATATAGACAAAGGAGAGTAGAAACCCCAGCACCGTGAGAATTGCTTATTCCCAACAAAAAGAAAAAAGCAATCACTGATCATCGCAACGTTCGAGCCAATCAGACATCCCCAGGTACGCCGATCTTGTCACATCCAGTCACCAGTAAAACCACATTCTTGCCCGGGCCAAGTTCGCTAGCGAGATCCAGTGTCTTGGCTACTGCATGACTCGAGTCAAGACCGGGCAAAATGCCCTCGTGGTGCTGAAGGATTCTAAACCCATCCAGGGCAACCGCGTCCGTAGCAGTTGAGATTTCAATCCGGCCAGAGTCCTTCCAATGGGCGACCTCGGGGCCCACAGTAGACAAGTTCATGTCAGGTGAAATGGAATGCGAATCAAGTATTTGGCCATCGTCGTTTTGGAGCAGGAGAGTGCGGGCACCTTGTAGTACCCCAAGTCCTCCATCTGTCAGGGTAGCTGCCTTCGCGGCTTCCACACCAATCAGACGAATATATGAGTCATGGAGGAACGGTCTGAAGAGACCGATTGCACCGCTACCACTGCCGACGGCGGTGACGAGGGCATCTGGGTGACAACCTACTGCCTCGTGCATTTGGGCTGCAACCTCCTCGCCTAGAAGGGCTTGGAACGTGCGAGCCAGAGTCGGCAGGGGACTAGGCCCCACCGGGCTACCCATGAGGTAATATGCAGATTCGTGATTGCAGACCGCATACCGCATGGCTTCTGTGATGGCTGCGCGTAGACTACCCATGCCGGAGGGGGTGCGGGCCGTCAGGACCTTAGCACCGAGCGATTTCATCTCGAGCACGTCCTCTTCCTGGGCACTAGCGTCGTCTGCACCAATGACAACCACACATCGTAATCCCAGACGCGCGCACATTGCAGCAGTGAATTTGCCATGCTTGGCCGAGGCACAATCTGTGACGATCTCAGAGCGGCCCATCCGGCGAGCTAGCAGGACCTGGCCAATTATGTTGCGGGTTTTGTGACTACCATATTCATTTTTGTCCTCACGCTTCAGCCAGATAGTAGCACCTCCTGCTAAATTGGTCAAGTTCCCAGCCATGTGCAGTGGTGTGGCACGAGCACGTTGAAACGTGGCATATTCTTCCCAGAACGAAGGGTCTGAGACAGCGGCCTCGAAGAATGATGTCAGCTCGTATAGGAATCCCATTATGGATTCAGGAGCAAACCGGCCCCCGTAGGAGCCATAGCCATCAAAGGTGATCTGCGGGGCCCGCAGAGTGCCATCTGACTGCAGGATGGGGGTATACGCTGTGATTGTGTTCAATCTCGATGTGGAGATAGACTTGGCAGGTGTATCGGGGAGCGTGGATGTGGCTCCGGTGACAGTTGATACTGTCGTTGCTCTGGTTTCGCTATCTGAGGCATTTGTCGACTCGGTTTGTGTGCTACTATCACAACTCGAGGGGGAAACCGAACGGTTTCTGGACTGTACACTGCTAACCCCTTCCGGGCAGGGATTAGCAATTCGTGCTTGAGCAATCGTTCTGCCAGCAGGTCTCAAGTGAATGAGATCTTCCACATTGTCCGTGCCATGTGTTGCGAGATCAGTGGGATCAGCTGATTTGGGAGAGGAAAAGCAAAGAAAACGGCGCAGAGAGCGAAGCATGTTGTGCTTTCCCCTTCGGATAAAAGTAGAAGTTGGATTGATGTTTTAGTAAGTGATTGACAAATAATCATAGAGCCATAAAAAATAAAGAGAATGGATTTGAGGTTCGACTATTCAGATCATGCAGATAGAAGTTAGGGCACGGTACAGTGGGCGAAAGGTGCATTAAGTATGCATCTAGATATAGTGTGAACGTTCCTGCCTTATGTCGACCTTTCAGCTCGTCAGGCGAATGAATCGGAAAGTTCGATCTCGGATTGCCTTTCTTGGCCGACTAGGTTATCTGACCGGCTCTTCTACTTCTTTCACTTATGAGTGGAGTACATATGGCCCGTATTGTGAGGTTACGTAGTGGAGCGGTAGAAAAGTATGAACAAATATAACCGAGTGCCAATGTCATTGAATCTATTCAGATGTAGTATATAGTGGAAGATTTGCCTCATTCCTGTATATCATAGAACTATGTAGACTCGGAGAAAAGGTATCCATATAGTTCTGGTTCCCCGAGTTAAACAGCTTCCTATTTGATTACTTTGTCTGAAAGATTGCTATCCAGAACTTAGCAACCAGGTTAAATACTCTGTACATACAGGGTACCGAGAACTTCAAACCTCATTCCAAATAAGCAAAATCCTTCTATTTGCAATGAACCGCGGCAGTGCCAGTAGTGTGACTCAAGCCCAACGCCAATGATGTGATCAAGCCCGACCTAGTATGATCAGATTCCACATCTTAATCGAGGCGTGCAACTTTACAGGGATGTAGCTCTTAAAAGATCAATGAAATTGGGGCCTCCCAGGCAGAATCTCATATATGCTGTGTTACAACACCCGCACTCCCAGAATAGTCTTGTCTGTTTCACAAAGTGAGCCTTATCTCAGGTCAAATCTAAATCCACAGCATGTAACATTCCAGACACCGCTCCACGTGTACCGTTTCTCGGTCCTACATTCAAATGACTCGGTTCATATAATGATCCTTAATCTCAAAAATGAGGCATTTTACATTCTATGGAGTACAGGGCTCTGATCTAAGAGACAAAGACAAAATTTGACTACACTTATGTCCGGACCTGTCCCCGGACATATGTCTTTTCCCCATCGATGAGATGCTCCTATGCCCTCAATTGGCATATGGATCGGATTCATTCAAAGATCTCTTTCAGCCACATCTTCCATTCAACAACACATCCTTTTGGAAATCTTTCAAAGCCAAGCTTTCAACTTTTCAGCTAGGACTTCGGAAATTATTGGGAAGTTTAATACTCTCAATAAAAATGGAATCCACTAGCTAGTAGCTTTATCGTTGGCATATTGCTTTTTATTCTATGTGATCCGATCCTCGCCATCACAGCATGCCAAACTTACTATCGATGATCTACCAAACTGAACTGATTCCCTAGATTCCTGTACTCTACATTGCTCATGTGAATAATTCATAGATCGACCTAGGGCGAAGCTGATCATGTGATATACTTAATAGGATGAACTTCAACCAATGAGTACTCATCAAAGAATTTCTTTTCCTTTTTCTTCGTTATTGCTTTCTTCGTTATTGCTTTCTTCTGATGTATTATTTTATAGAGAACCATTAAAACTAGCCAAAAATAAGGTTGTAGAATTTCTATGGTCGGAATGTGGATTAGAATGTGGATACAGGCATACTTGGGACGAATACTTCTGGTACAAACTCGAATTAGCAAAAGCTTCATTAAACAGTATGATGTATTAATGCAAGTCGCATTAATACATGTAGGTACTAGAAGACACTGCATCGAAACCATGGACTCAAGGCTCAGTATGGACAACAAGCTTCATTAATACATATCAAGGCCTCTGCATCTACATTTTAGAGTGGGAAACATGGCGAGGAGAGCGAAAGCACTGAAGCATTCAAGCATATATCATACAGGAGCCAATTCTCAAATTTTCCATTACTATTTCAGTGGATCCTATCACGAAGAAAATCTGCAGTTGTATTGCTACATTACACCAAGGGGCAAAGCTGATACTCAAAGGATGATCATTGATTTGAGCGTCAAAAGTTATACGTCAGTCAAGCGTCAAAGAAACCTTTCTAACCGTTGCTCTCTAGATTCAGGATCTCGATGAGCGTTTGATACTGCCGGTCAAGAGATTACGATCGCCTGCACCCGCTCCAGCTCTTAGACTAATGTGTTCTTCGTCCACTTGTTTATCACTTTGACATGCATTTTAATCAGAAAAAATCGTATATTCTACCTAATTCCTATATGACTTAGCTCCTCAATGATAAATCAGTTGATGATGATTCATAAAGCAGTTCAAACGTCATATGATACAAGTAACTTAATTTTACTAGGAGTTTACATAGAAGTTGCAGGTATCTACTGTCTTGTATTTGGAGTTTGACACGAAAGCGGTGTCTAAAACTGTAAGGCGGTATAGGAAGCGGCAGTAGGCACAATCCAAATTAGGAAGGCGGCGACTGAATTTTCAGGCAGGAGGGGTCATATCAACACCCATAATATTCTATCACCTCACCTACTTCATTCGACAATCTCCATGAAAACGGATATCACGAAAACGAATATATTCGCGGAAACGAGCGTGTCCGTGAAAGTGAGCATGCCTATGAAAATGAAAATATCCGCGGTAACTGCGTAACCGCGTACGCCAACCCCCAGACTATATAATATGCTCTTGGTCTACTTCTCTACCACCTCATCTGCTTCATTCGATAATGTCCGCTAAAACGAGCATGTCTGTGAAAACGAGCATGTCCGCCAAAACGAGGGTGTCCGCCAAGTGTCCGCCAAAACGAATATATCCGCGGCATCTGCGTAACCGCGCACGCCAACCCGCAGACTATAAAATATGTTCTCAGTCTACTTCCCTACTACTTCACCTGTTTCATTCGAAAACGTCCGCGGAAACGAGTACGTTCCCGAGAACGAGCATACGCAATGAACAAGTCCGCGAAAACGAAAACGAGCAGTGTCCGCGAAAGAAAGCATATCCGTGAAAACGAGCATATTTGCAAAAGCAAGCAAATTCGCGAAAAGTGGTTCCCGGAAGTTCATCACCATTGTATTTCGCGGATATCACCCCGCGCTAAAGATTATGGACCGAGCAATCCTAGCCAGAGCAGGAAAGCATCCTGGAAACATTCCACGCCTAACTCATAGGTCGGAGAGAGGGACGGGCGAGCAACTGGTAAATTCACTGGATCCTTTGTTCAAAGGAGTTGCTTTCTATGGATATTGAGTACTACAACAACGACCATCGCTGCCTCGGTATGCCTTGTCTCATTGTCGGAACGTGCGAGATGATGCTGGAGTACGCGCAAGCTCGTCCAGCAACGTGGAGGATGATACTTTGGAATTGAAATACCGATGTCGGGATTGAGAGAACAGAATGAGCAAGATGGTTCTGCCTTTCATCGAGGCATCTCTAACAACACGGTCTTTATGACGCTTAGATTCAAAATCTTGTCCCAGATTATTCAAGTTTCAAGCATGACGTCCTTGATCTTCCTAATAAACTCACACAAGAGTAGAAGCAAACTTGGAAACATTGTCTGTTTTCAGCGACGTAGATATCGAAGTCTGTGAATGGATCCCCCCGCCACCCCGATCCAGGCCTGGGTGACCCGCGGTCGACCTGTGGAGGGCAACGAATAGGGCATTGTGTATTACTCTCTAAGTATTTCTCATTCTTAGCGTATATATATAGGATTGAACTGGAATCCACAAACTGTATGTCCAGATTCAAGAATATACGGCAACACTATAGTGGTATTGTCGAGTTCCTCACTCTCCCTGCCATTCTTCGGCCTATTAGATGGAGGACGTGATTGGGTGCAATCGGAATAGCATCACAAGTGTAACTACTCGACAACGCACAAGTCATCCACCATACCCACTGAAACTCCATGAAAACCCAGCCGATACGAATCACGACCAGAATAGAGCGATGTGCGATCTTGGCGCGGGGGAAAAGCTTGGCTCTAGGCGGGGTTGGAAGATTCTTCTCGAACAACTGCACGATCTTAGATCTAGAGCGATCCATCTCGATCGTGCGTTGTACCTTTTTGACTTTAATTGATTTACGAGAGTTATAGTTCAAAAAAGCAGAGAAATTGAGTTCTAGTAAGGTTATCTCCAGCAGCGTTAAAATTTTCTCTAGACCATCTATGAGAGACATTCGCGACGTGTATATCGTGATAAGAGAGCAATGGCTCGCGAAGACAGGGGTGGATGGGTTAAACCCACCCAAAGCAAAACCGACAGATCCCACCGAAAAAGGGAAAAAAAAAAGCAAAAATCAAAAATCAAACAGCCAAAATCCGTAACGGGTATACGCTTAGATGCAAATGCATGACAGGTAAAAAAGGAAAGACAGTCGCTGACCGACAGTCCTCGACATCTAGTGAGGAGTGACTCGGTCGACGATGGGGTTCAGGGATGGAGATGCCCGATCGGCAAAGCCAAAAAAGGTCGAGTAAATAAGAGACATCAAGTCTTGAGGAATGGAAGGGATGATTCAAAAGGAACAATCTCCTGGATATGAAGAAAGTAGGGCGATATTCAGGCGCAGACCTGGATAGCGATCAGGGCACGGGCGAGATCCTCTGGGGCAAAAGGGAGGTCCTTCCGGGCGGACATGACGCACGGGGTCATGGCAGGCGAGATAGCCCGGACGAGAGGTGATGAATAGCGGACGGACTCCTTGAGGAAGAACTTGGGCTCTCTGACATCCTCTGGGATCTCGTAGATGGAGCCCTCGTTGGTGAGGGTCATCATTGAGCCATTGTAGCTGGAGGAGTTGACGATGGTGGAAGACTGGGAGCCGGAGTTGGGGGCGCGTGGCGAAGATTCTGCAGGGACCTCAGGAAGGGCGTCGACTATGAGATAGAAGTTAGAATTAATTTTTTCTAATAGGGCTGGGTGATTTCGATTAGGGCTGGGGATGCGTACCTGGATCGACATTGTCCGGGGACACCGAAAAGTCAGTATCGGAAGGGCCGGAGTAGCCGTCAGACACTTCAAAAGTGGTACAAGGTGAGACGGAGTCGTCGAATGAACGAGTCCGTTCGACCATTGCACCCTGGAAGGACCAAGCGGCTAGGCTCTTCTGGTGGGCACGATCGAAAGGACCACGGAATTTGGACGGGGGACACTCGTGTCGCCTATAGTATTCGACCTTGGGCTTTCCATCATTTTTGGATCTGGAGCGGAACACCCGCTTGACCTTCTCGCGGAAGTTCATATTGGAAGAAAAAAAGAATTGGGAACTGGGTATTCAAGATTTCAAATTCAAGAAGTTCAGAGATCAATGCGGGCGGTTCCTAAGGAAAATGCCTCAGAGGTGCATACCACTCCCGGATTGGGAACGGACGCGGTGGGTGTGCAAGCACGAATAGCGGGGGTTGTGTGAGAGAAACAGTTTAACCATTCTATGAAGATATAGAGACAGGGAAAGGGAAAGTAAAGCAAAGGGAAAAAAAGGAAAGTGAAAGAGGGGAGAGAGAGGGAAATGCGGGAATTATAGTCGCAGGCTTATCTTTGCCGTTGCATCCACGTTCATGTCCCAGGTGGGATGGATGTCCCGGTTCCCCAGAAGCGTCTCCTGTCCAGATGCGGTATATTGGGGGGCAATGGTCCGTACGGAGTAATAATGGTGGAATCCACTGTCTGTGCGAGAGACATCATTATCTGCTAATTGGTTTGGTACGGGGTATTCTATATTCGAATGTTCTATATAGTTAGGGGGATGTTGTACTCCGTACACAACTAGTTACTCCATACTCTAGGTAAGCGATTTAATCCCCGATTAATTGGTCCGAGAAATAGCCGAGTCTGGGCTGCGATTCTGCGAATGTCACGGTTACTGCTACACTTTAGGGCTACCCAGCATACTTACTTCTGACCCCCGGTGTATATCCCCATGGATGTATGTCGTAAATCAAGTATAATGGAACTGGTCATTCCTTGAAGTCAGTGGCGTATATTGTACTGCAGCGAAGGCTTCCAGAACTCGGTGAGAGCCCCACGGTTACATCATGTTACATTTTGCATGTTGTAAGAGGATGTGTCATGGAATCTCAACTGGGCGCAGGAATAAACCGGAATCGGAGTGGAGATGAACTTGCGCAGTTGCCCCCACTCGGCACGTTTTTGCCGGGCTTGCCTGGGAGGCAGCGCTGGCTCATAAAGCACATTAATTTCCATTTCACAACGAGGCCGGCTGGCCCAATGGCAAGGCGCTTGACTACGAATCAAGAGATTGCAGGTTCGATCCCTGCGTCGGTCAGTTTTTTTCTTTTGTTCAATTTATATATTTTGTATAACGTAGTTAGATAACTAGTTAAACAGTCTGTTTCTGTTGTCATTTATCTCTTTTTTAAAATAGTTATACAGTGTAGATGTAGAGATTACATTGGCCTTGATTACTAGTTTAGGAGAGCTGCTCACTCAACTAGTAATTACCAAGTTGGGTAACTCTTGAACGTTTATGCATGTCATACAACCCACCCGTAACTGGCATATTCACATCTAGTGGGGGTACCCTTTCTGACTCTTCCAAGCCATGGAACTTCCATTTACTCATTTCCTATTTTGTGACTGCTATTTTTGTCTTTATTGGGATCTGCTGTTTCAGAGATGATGTAATCGCTATTTGGCCCTTTCACCAAGAATGCCCAATCCCTGAGGAACTCAGGGACTCAGGAATATTGGCACACATACTAAGTTAGGCTTTGCGCCTTTCCCCAGATCATCCTTGAGCCCCCTGATTACCTTGATTGCCCTGACTGCTCTGATTGCCCTGGTCGGCCCCTAGTTGTGCAGGCACAACCCTATTTACCCGATGCAGACGTTAGGGCTGGCCCAAGCTCACACGACAAGGGAACTATGAAAGAGATGTCGCATGCGGAGGAATGCAGAGGGAAAGAGGACAAAAAGAGACAGACAGACATAGAAGAGAGTCTTCCAATTTGAATTGAATTGAATGCATTGGGATCTAATAATAGTTATGAATCCGTAGGGAAAAAAGAGATTAAATTTGTGATACTTTGTGTTCCAGAATTGTCCTCACCACGGATCCAACAACCCTAGAGAAGAGAACATACCGCGTCATCCCTTACTTGACTTCTTCCCTCCTACACTTCACTACCATCGTAAGTTGACTTATCTTTCCTTCATCTTCCATCTTCTGACCAGCGCAGAATCAATACAATCACCATGGGTAAAAAAAGCGGAAAGAAGAACAAGAAGGGCAGCAAGCCCGTCGCGGCCGTAGAGAGCGCCAAGGACGTGGTGTAAGTTGAAAAATTCAACATGATGCCACATCACCATCTAACCGTTCAGTGAACCCGAGCAAACCGAAGGCCAGACTGCGACCGAACAGACTGCGCCCGAGACTGCGACACAGCCTACCGAGACCGTCGCGGAGCCTAGCAAGGCGCCCGAGGCCACCCCCGTGACCGAGGCCGCAACGGAGATCCCAGCTGTCGCAGAGACCAAGGATCTGGAGACCAAGGAGGCTGTGAAGGCCGAGCAGGCTCCCGCGACAGAGGGTACGGTGGAGGAGACCGTGGAGAAAGTGCAGGCCTCCAAGGCCGGGCAGTTGGGCGAGCTGGACGATGGCGCTACCGCAGGCACTGGTATGACGGCGTGTTAGTAATATGCGATGAATTCCGACTAACCTGAAATCTGCAGTCCTTCCGGAGACGATCACTAGGGAGCCCGCTTCCTTGGACGTCCTGACCGGCGCTCCTGCGACACTGGTCGAGCGCCCCAAGACCTCAGACTCAAACGCCCCCGCTGTCGCTGCGCCCGTGCCTATTGCCGCCCCGGCCGAGACCGACGCCGCCCACACGAAGCGCCCGTACGAGAAGCCCATCTTCACCAACGAGGATAACTTGAAGCCCCACAAGATGCCCAAGACCGACGAGGAGGCGATTCAGGCTAGCGTGGCGGAGGACAAGAAGACCATTGAGACCTTGGCCGGTGTTGGACCGGCTACGGCTGCTGCGTTGACCACCCCTGAGCCTGAGCCTGTTCAGGCTGAGGCACCCAAGGCTGTTGTGGAACAGAAGGAGACTCCTGTGGTTGTTGAGGCACCCAAAGTCGAGGAGAAGAAGGTGGAGGCACCCAAGGTCGAGGAGAAGAAGGCGGAGGCACCTAAGAAGGTTGAGGAGAAGAAGGTTGAGGAGAAGAAGGCTGAGGAGAAGAAGGCTGAGGAGAAGATCCCCGTGTCCACTCACAAGACCACCCCTGCTCAGGCCGGCGCCCCCTCCTCTCCCGTAGCGGTCGCCGCCGCGAACGCTGCCATTCTCGCTTCCAAGGGCGACAAGGCTGCTGCTCCGGCCGCCACTCCAGTTGTTTCCAAGGAGGCCGAGCCCAAGAAGCCCGAAGCTGCCCTGAAGCGTGGCGACGAGGCACAGCCTGAGGAGGCGTTGCCCAAGGCCGAGGAGCCTAAGCCCGAGACCAAGACCGAAGCTGTCAAGGAGGAGGCTGCCAAGGCCCAGCAAGATACTCACAAGACCTCCGAGTCAGGATCGCAGGCCGAGAAGAAGAAGGGCGGGTTCATGTCCTGGCTGAAGCGCAAGTTCAAATAAGTAAAGTAATTGTGGAGTGCGAGAGCCTGTGTATGATCAGTATTGTACGCTAGGTGGGGATGTTGGGGAGGGGGGCTTGCAACCTACGTCAGGCTGCCTTGGTTTTGTTTTTCTTTCTTTTGTCAGCTTTGATGATACACCCGTTGAAATTATATATCAGATCAGAATTATAGTGCTTATTATGGTGTCTTGCCTTGGAGTGAATGTAGAAGGAATATTGTTTCAAGTTGACTTCGAGTCGGGCTTGGTGTCCTCATGTAGTTACTCCGTACACCGCTAGTCAAATCAATTCTCCAGGTATTTCCCTTCCCCCTGGCGAATCAATATTCCAATATTCCAAGCTCGTCATTAGCAGGAGCCCACTGGTTGCAACCAATGAAAACGACATCGCAACGCAACGTGAACACTATCTCTCAGTGGAGACACTATATCAAATAAATCTACGACTAGTGGGCCAGCGGAGTCGATCCAATAATAGTTTCTCCGCTTCTATTCTTGCTTGTGGGTATACACTAGTTGTATAGAAATGATTAGTATCGTTATACAATGCTTGACCATTTCGAGATCGACTTACCAGGTCGCGTTCATTATAGGTATTGGTGTCATGTTCTGCAGCATGACGCAGTTGGTAGTTCGTTCTTCTGGTACAATTATCAACATTGGAAACTCCAGCGCTCTGTTTTAGACGTAACATACCTTTACCCAAGACAATATAGTTACCGGGATTCATTGGCATTAGTTGCTGTGTCGGCATCGAGGCACTTGAAGATTTCCCTCCTTGAAATGAAAAAGAAGAATATGAACGAGTAGTAGCAATACAGCATCTCGGCAGATATATATCGAGCCTACTATAGACCAAACCTGGAAGCATCACTATGTGGAGGAAGTGGTAAAAGTATGCGAGACCCTTGCAGGCTGGGAAAGACCTATGTTTGGTGGTGTGGACGGAAAATACATGCCTGAAAATTATCTCACCAACCTCTACAATCGGGACTTTCGCCCTCAAGAACTTACCGAAAATTGTCAAATGCTGGGTATGGATTGCTCGACATTCGTCTTCTACCATGCCGATCTCGGTCCAGTAAACATCATTGTGGAAGATATACCGAAGGCTGGTACTATTGGGATCATTGATTGGGATATTGCTGGTTATGTCCCAAAAGGATGGATACGAACCAAGTTCCGGTTGTCTAGTGGACTGGATCTTCCCGACGCGGGCCCCGGTGAGGAGTCATATTGGTGGAGGTCGGAGGTTCAGAAATTACTAGAAAAACGTGGATTCGTGGACCATGCGAAAGAATGGACGGCATGGCGTCGAATAAAGCTATTTCGCAGACGAATGAGTGGCGTGGAAAGTCTGTAGTGGCGGTATGATACGATGCTCAATGTATGTGAGGCGCCAGGTCGATCTGAAGAATAGAAAGAGTGCATTCAACTAAATAACTGAGATGAAGAAAGAAAAAAGAAGCAGGTTGCAAAGTGGAAGCAGCCTGTTGATATAGCGGACCCTTTGCAAACGTTGCAAACCTCGAACCTTCTTGCTTAGCGATCTAACAAACAATCTATCTAGCAAACAATGCAAACAGCACATAGTCGCCAATCCGTAGAGTCATAGAACGGGCAGTCATGCAGATGGTAACAGAATAGGACTAGATTCCACATCTCCATGCGGGGTCCCCGCAGATTATGTGCCCGCTTACAATATTTCGGGCCTCGGTAACCTGGGAAGAGCATAAAACTAGTTGATTGATGAAATCCTACATCCTTCACTCGCATGACACCTCCAATTCTTCAAGATGACATCCCTTCCACGTAAACTATGGCAGCACCCAGCCCCAGAGTCGACCCAAATGGGCCACTTCCAGCGCGACCTAGAGCAATCCACCGGACGCAAGTTCGACGTGAGTGAATTTCGCCTGTCTAACGATAATATCCACCTAACTTCTCCCAGTCCTTCCATAATATGTATCTGTATTCAATCAAGAACCGCTCGGCATTCTGGGAATTCTGCTGGAAATACTTCCAACTGATCCACGAGGGCTCCTACACAACGGTAGTCGATGAGTCCGCGCGAATGGACAGCGTGCCTGAATGGTTCGCCGGTGTGCGCCTGAACTTCGCTGAGAACCTGCTTTTCTCGCGCGTTGCTGGCGGCAAGACAGATAAGGAGGACGACAAGATCGCCGTTAGCGAAGTCCGCGAAGGCGCTGCCCATGAGGTTGTCCACCTCACCTGGGGTGAGCTCCGACGACGGACTGGAGCGCTGGTTCAGGCTATGAAAGCTCATGGGGTCATTCGGGGTGATCGCATTGCTCTCTGCGCGGCGAATAGTATTGATACACTGCTTGTACTTCTGGCATCGACGGCTCTGGGAGCTATCTTCTCGTCCAGTTCCACGGATATGGGTACTAAGGGTGTCTTGGATAGACTGCAGCAGATAAAGCCGCGCTGGCTGTTTATGGACGACATGGCGGTTTATAATGGCAAGACCATTGACCTGCGATCGAAGATCGGGGAAATTGTTCAAGGCATGGCGTCTGATCCTGGATTCGAGGGAGTCGTCGCAATACCTCGGTTCTCTTCGCAGCCGGCCGATATCAGTTCCATCCCTAAGACCAAGACTCTAGCGGAGTTTCTTGCAAAGGCGGGCGGCAACGAGAGACTTGAATTTGAAAGAGTTGGATTCCGTGATCCTTTCTTGGTGGTTTACTCGTCTGGCACGACAGGACAGCCGAAGTGTATTGTCCATTCCGTGGGCGGCGTGCTGCTAAACTCGACCAAGGAGGGCAGATTGCATAACGATCTCGGGCCTGATTGTGTCGGCTTGCAATACACGACCACTGGATGGATTATGTATGTGGGTTCCGTGAAGACGTTGCTCTTTGGGGCTCGGGTGGTGCTGTATGATGGAAGTCCATTTATTCCAAGTATCACTGCGTTGGTCGATCTTGCAGCGCAGGAAAAGTAAGTTGTTGACATCCACAGATGTACATTTACAGTTTCCGGCTAATCAATTGCAGGGTGACCCACCTTGGAATCTCACCCCGATGGCTGCATGAGTTACAACAGGCTAAGATCAAACCCCGCGAGAACGTCGATCTCAGCTCTTTACGGGTTGTCACAAGCACTGGAATGGTCCTGCGGGATGGATTGTTTGAGTGGTTCTACGACGAAGGGTTCCCATCCCATGCTCGCCTGAATAATATTTCTGGCGGCACTGATATCGCAGGATGCTTCGGAACCGGCAACCCTCTTGTCCCCTTGTATGTTGGCGGGTGCGCCGGATGTAGCCTGGGCATTCCCGTGGAAGTCTACGACTCTACGATTGAAGGCGGCGACGGAATCAAAGGTGTACCCGTTGAGGAGGGTGTTCCGGGCGAATTGGTCGCCACCTCTGCTTTTCCCAACATGCCCACACTGTTGTGGGGTGACGATAGCGGTGAGAAGTACCACGATGCGTATTTCGGGCGATTCGATAGTGAGCGCCATTCACCCCTCCATGTGCGTAGGACTACAGTCACTAAATCTGTACAGATGTGTGGACCCACGGCGATTTCGTCTCCATCCATCCAATTACAAAACAAATCGTGTTTCACGGACGCGCGGATGGAGTGCTCAACCCCTCGGGAGTGCGGTTTGGATCGGCCGAGATCTACCGGGTGCTCGAGGGTCAATTTTCGAAAGAGATAGCGGACTCCATCTGCGTAGGGCAGCGACGACCAACGGATACGGACGAGCGAGTGATGCTCTTTTTGCTCATGAGATCAGGGGTAGCATTCACATCGGATCTGGTTGCACGAGTCAAGAACGCGATTCGGACAGAGCTCAGCCCCCGCCATGTGCCGATGTTCACCTTTGAGACACCTGAGATTCCGGTACGTACTTTCATAGGGAAGAAAAGATCTACAAAAGCGGGACTGACCCAGAACATCGTCACAGACCACGGTCAATCTAAAAAAGGTGGAGCTCCCTGTGAAGCAGATAGTCTCGGGAAAAATCATTCAGCCCTCGGGTACACTGCTGAATCCGAAGAGCTTGGACTTTTACTATCAATTCGCCAAGGTGGAAACTCTGCGCCAGAGTAAGCTCTGACTGGACCCTTGGCCTGAGGTCTCCATAATAAGAGGGGCAGACCGGCTTCATCGGGATCGTCACTTCTGCCAAGCTTTTATCAAGCTTTCCAGGGTTAGCAACGGGATCGCTTGGAAGTTGTGTATATGAACACGTAGTCGAGAGAAAGTAGGTTGGAATACGTAGATTGAATTAGACTGGATTAGGTAGAAATACTGAAGATCATAAGTCTGAGGAAGAATAAAGTCGAAGAAGGACAAGTAGAGGGAAGAGCTGAGGGCTGATGGAGTGGGCATCCACTGCGTCATCGAAGCTTTTCGATTTACCGCCGACGTTTTGCCAGCGACACGGAGCACGGAGGGTATTTATACAATTCGATACGATTAATTACGCTCGATCGTATTTTACTCCACCGATCTGCCGCCAAATCTCTTCCTCACCTGGTAACATCGTAACCTATAAAAGTACTCCCCTCCCCGCACGTCTATTTACCGTTCTCATTACTTCTTCAACCCTCTCCTTCTCCTCAATCTCTGCTTTTTCTTCAGTTCTTTTTGACCTGGTCTCTTTCTCTCTTGTTTTTTACCTTTTACCTATCATCTTTTATTCGCAATTATGGTTCATCTCGCCAAAGTCAAGAAGGACAGTGAGCTCCCCTCGGCTCGTCAATTTGACTCCATTCCCCCCATCGAGACAAATGACGCCGACACCAATGTCTACGGCACTCACTTTGCCGTGGACCACATGCCCCAGCATGAAATGCCAGAGCGGGAGATGCCCCGCCAGATCGCCGCTCGGATGATCAAGGATGAGCTGAGTCTGGACGGTAACCCTAAGCTCAACCTCGCCAGTTTCGTCACCACCTACATGGAAGAGGAGATCGAGGAGATCATGACCGACTCCTTCAGCAAAAACTTCATTGATTACGAGGAGTACCCTCACTCCGCCGAGATCCAAAACCGATGTGTCAATATGATTGCTAGACTTTTCAACATTCCCACCGATGCCGCCAGTGAGAACGCCATGGGTACTTCAACCATTGGATCTTCCGAGGCTATCATGCTGGGCACACTGGCTATGAAGAAGCGCTGGCAGAACAAGCGCAAGGCCGAGGGCAAGGACTTCTCGCGCCCCAACATTATTATGAACAGTGCTGTCCAGGTCTGCTGGGAGAAGGCTGCTCGTTACTTTGATATCGAGGAGAAGTACGTCTTCTGTACCGACACCCGTTTCGTCATCGATCCCCAGCAGGCTGTGGATCTGGTGGATGAGAACACAATCGGTATCTGCGCCATCCTGGGTACCACCTACACCGGCGAATACGAGGATGTCAAGGCCATCAACGATCTGCTGGTGGAGCGTAACATTGACTGCCCGATCCACGTCGACGCAGCTAGTGGTGGCTTCGTCGCTCCATTCACCGACCCTAACCTCGTCTGGGATTTCCGCCTGGAAAAGGTGGTATCCATCAACGTCTCCGGTCACAAGTATGGTCTAGTCTACCCCGGTGTCGGATGGGTTATCTGGCGCGCGGTGGAGTATCTGCCCCAAGAATTGGTGTTCAACATCAACTACCTCGGAGCCGACCAGGCCAGCTTTACCCTGAACTTCTCCAAGGGTGCTTCCCATGTCATTGGACAATACTACCAGTTTATCCGCCTGGGTAAGCACGGTTACCGTGCCATCATGACCAACCTGACTCGCATCAGTGACTTCATGGCGTCAGAGTTTGAGAAGTTGGGCATGGTCATCCTGAGCCAGACGCAGGGCAGGGGCCTGCCCCTAGTGGCCTGGCGCCTTCCCACAGACCCCAATCGGGTCTACGATGAATTCGCTCTGGCCCACCAGCTCCGCGAGCGCGGCTGGGTTGTTCCTGCGTACACTATGGCGCCCCACAGCGAGAAAATGAAGATGATGCGCATTGTCATCCGCGAAGACTTCAGCATGAACCGATGCGACAGTTTGATCCAGGACTTCAAACTTGCCATTGATACTTTGGATGCAATGGACAAGAATATGATGGCCAAGTACAGAGTGTGAGTTTATTCTGTCCTAATGTTTCGATTTTCATACTAACAGCTCCACAGGCACATGAAGAACCACCGCAACCAACCTCGCCACCAGTCGCTTATTCACCGTCACTACCTGGAAGAGAAGCACTCGCTCCAGGGCAAGGATGGCAAGACACATGGCGTGTGTTAATTCCGTTGTGTAACTGCCTACTGGCGGGGTTTGAATATATGTGCAAAAGGATTGAATTAGATGGGATGTTGAAGGTGGATATGTCAGTCCTACACGCAGAGTATCTTGTGTCTCTTGTGTCCTCACTACAGGATCCAACTCATTGGGTTGATCTCTTGCTGTAGTATATACACCACGATATTGAAATGAACAAATCGATGAACATGAGGTTGAGACTGGCCATGGCAAGTTAGCGCGTTACAAGAAACGATATAGTAGACCACAATCCTATTCGGGAAATAGCTGTCAGTTACATCTATCGCTTGTGATGTCATGCATACGTAGATTTATATACCAAAGCCCTCTCGTGCTGCAACGGATGCTTGCATTTCCTGCCATTATCCCCTCACTACTCATATACCATGAAGCGTATCTCAATCGACCCGAAGGATGATCCCCCAACCCGAGACCTCCCACTGGCGACTTCCACCCCGGCGCAACTTCCCCCAGCCAAGGCGACAAAGCTTCATCCATCCAAATCAGGCGAAGAGAACGCAACCCTGTTCTTCGTGGGAACGGCCACAACGATTATGTCAGTTCACATCTAGAACTGTATCAGTGTGTACGTGTACTAAAACAAAGCAGAGAATGGGCGGGAATACGGATTATGACTGATGTCAGCTCTTGATGGGAAGTCGAATGCTCACAGACTAACTGTCTTAGCCCAACTTCCTCCACGCAGGCGAACATGTCCACCTCGGTCCAGGCGTGTCAAGCGAGCGCCTCACCAACCCGGCCGTCGACCTGCACGACCTCCCTCGGATTGATCTTGTCCTTCTTTCGCACTATCACGAGTATGTCTCCGAGCATAGAGGTATTGAGCGATCACTGATAATGTCAGGGACCATTTTGATAAAATGGTCGAGGCTTCATTGAGGCGTGATCTACCCATTATCACGACAACACATGGGCAGGAGCGTCTCGCTTTTAAGAAACAGGACCCATTTACGTCTGTATGCGCGCTTAAACCTTTTGAGCAGATTGAGGTCAATATTGAAGGCACCGAAGGCCCCAGACAGCCCCGCCTGCGTGTGACGGGTATGCCGGGGAAGCATGTGCCTCCTAAGCGAGTGGTAGAGAAGCTCAACGCGCTAGCTAAGGCGGTGGGTGGCGTTTTATTTTCTAGGTATTCCTAATAGATGGCAATCAACCTAACACAGCAATAGTTCCCACCAACGAACGGCTGGATGCTCGAGCTCGGCCACGGCAGCTCCAATGCTGCAGACTTCTCCTGCGGTTATCGCATCTACATCTCGGGAGATACCCTGATGGTAGACGAGCTGCGCGAAATCTCCAAGCGATACGCGGACCAACGAATCGACCTAATGCTCGTCCACCTCGGCGGTACAACCATTCCTTCTCCCTTAGTAGGAAGACTAATGGAACCGCTAGCGTTGACGGTTACGATGGATGCGGGGCAGGGTCTGCAATTGATCCAGCTAATCCAACCAGACGTTACGATCCCGATCCACTATGATGATTACGACGTATTTGCGAGTCCGCTAGAAGATTTTCGGCGCAATGTGGAGGCGGCGGGGTTATTGAACAAGGTTGTGTTTTTGGATCGTAAGGATCAGTATTGCTTTCGAGTTATGGGATAGAAGTGCCTAATAGTAAGACATTGGGTTTTTGTCTGTTCAGCTCAGCCCTGGACGCGTTGGTCTGGGGCTGAGAAGGGCTCCATCACATATTTCGACTCCACCATTCTTGGCATGGGGAATGGGACTTCATACGAGAATTATGATTTACTTCGCCTTGAGCGGATCTTTTGGGGAATTTGGGGGCAGTTTGTAACCGAAGTATGGTATGTACATAATAGGTGACGAGGCTCTACACATGGCTCGTATAGTGTATTTCTCTATGTTGTATATCGAAAGTATTGGGTTAAAGGCTTTCTTTCGAATCTTCTTCTTTGAGTGTTCATATATTCTATATTGTAGTTAGGGCGGATATACTAGAGAGATGATATCTACACTTCCTACCAGTTAATCGGCATTATGTCTTATATCAGATACTATGCTATTCTCTGTCTCATATCACTCACTTCATTCAATTGCTATATACTCTGGCATCCCACCAAGGCCATCCATTGTTTACCCTATATATAGAACAACCTCTCCAATCACCGCCCGTCAACCCGCTAGGGTCCACCAAATCAGCCTCTTCCCCTCTCTCCCTCTCTCCTTTTTCTCAAGATCAAAAGCAGTGATGCGCAACCTCTTTAAGAGCAAGTCGCCTTCGAATCGGACAAGTCACCATTCTATGCGCAGCGCCGAACAGTTGGCCCACCCCGCGTTTACTCCACCGGACCCCAACGCACCCAACACGGAGTCTGACCGGCGCCTTGCACAATTCGAGTACTCTGGTTCTGTACAGAATCAGCCTCAGGGTTTGAATCGGTCGCAAAGTCAGCGTCAAAAACCTTTACGTGACCGACCGACCGTCAACGTCACCGTCCCCGACGACTCGCGCAAAAAGGGCCGTGTCGAGCGCAGCGTCTCTGTCAAGGGCAAACCAATCTCACAACCTACCTCACCTGGAACTTTACATCCAGAGACCTTGGACGAGTCCGACGAATTTCCGCCACATCTCCGGCATTCCTACACCGAGAACCCCTCACCTGTGGCGCCGCAATCTCTCGCGTACCAACCGAAATACCAGGGCCAACGAGCTCCCCGACCTTCCCATCCTGCTCACGTCCAAGACAACCCCGAGTGGTCACAGAAACCTGTGCAGCCTGTGCAACCGCTTTATACCAAACTCCAGCGATCCAACACCGACTCGACCCTTGATCAGTACTCCCGACCGTCGCCCACCGATATCCCCGAATCACCACGATACACGGAACATCTTCATCGGGGACAGGCTTTCTCTGCCCAGGATCCGGTATTGAATACTCGGCCCCCATCCCAGCAGACTCACGAGCCGCTTTCCCCGTTGCAGTCCCGTTACCCTGACGCCATGCAGTCTTCCGCGCAGGCATCAAACCAGGGTTTTTATCCGTTGGACAGACAAAAATCCGCCGGTTCTCCGCAGCAGAACCGGAGTCGGCAGGGGAGTGTGTCAAACAACATGCCTGATCCCGGACGGAGTACACCCACCAAAACACACCGCCGGGAGGAGTCCGGGGAAGTGGACGTGCGGGCATTGATCCAGAAGCATGATGAACTCCGTAAGGATTATGATTCGGTCTTGGTTTTTGATAAACTAACAATGAGCAGAGGCCAAGTATTCCAAGGTGAAACGATACTACTTTGAGAAAGATGCGCAGGTGCAGCATCTCCAGAACACGGTGGCGCACCAGCGAATGGCGGTGTCGCGTACCGTACTTGACGATAATGAATACACCAGCCGGTTCCAGCGCCTGGACGGAGCGATTAAAGACCTGGCATTCTCCGTGCGCAAAGATTGGCGCAGTATTCCGGCGTGGCTGAATGGAATGGTCACTGACGATGCTTTGTCGGTCGGCACGAAAGAAATGACCCCGGTCGGACGGGCAGTAATCAGCCGGTGGCTAGTAGAGGAAGTATTCCAGCGATATTTCCATCCGTGCTTGGATCCGACATTTAGCGTGCAGCTGAAGAGTATCGAAATGAACCTGCGACGGCAGCGACCGACATCGGAAGAAGACCGCGAGAATGCTTCCGCGAGACTCTCCTACTGGCGTCGCACGACCTTCGACGGACTGGGTGATTCCTTAGTCGGACCCGAGGCCCAAGAACGTCGCGTTGAGCTAGTGGAGCATCTAATCGTGGAGCTCGCTGCCTTCATAGGATCCCAACTGCACGAAATCGCGCTGCCAGGGCTAGAAGCAAGCGTGCGTATGATTATCGAGAACTCCGTCAACATCATCGAGAAAATCCCGCTCGAAGCTCGCGATGTCTGCGTCGATTACTTCCCACCGGGCATCTCCCTCGCTGAGCAATACATGAAGGTCGAAGGCCAACTACCCGCACTGAGCCACCCGCCCCCGCCACCCTCGGACCCAGAGCAGCTCGAGGAGCCTGTCGCGGCAGAGGGAGATACCTCATCCGGCTCAACCGGAGCGGTAGAGAGTACTTCATCGGCACAGAAAAAGTCGACGAAAAAGTCCATATTTGGCGCGTTGATAAGCCGCAAGCATGGCGGCGAGAACAGTCGTTCGACGCCGCCGCCTGGGCCAACCGAGGACAAGAGCGAGCCTGCAGAGGTAGCGCCGAGCGCCCCGCGCATTCGGTTTGCAGCGTTCCTGGCTGTTGAAGTGCGCGGCAAGGGGCCTGCAACGGTGCTGATCAAGTCGCCCGTGTGGCTGGTGGAATAAACGTGATCCATCAGTGCGGCCGGTTAGATTGGCACCATTAGCAGTGGTTCTCGATTTAAATGGTGGAGGGTGTATATAGAGACCGGTCGGAGCTGTCGCATGGTGACGAAGTTTATGACTTGTTATGTCCTTTGATATCCCAAGGCGTTTCAGTTGTCCAGCGGCGGTTTGCACTTTGCAGTGGTCGATTTTCTTCTTTTCTTTTCTTTGCCTGACGATTGCCTGACGACTAGAATCCCTGATTCTGCTATGATTGTGCTTTTGAGTAGAAAGTTTTGCAATTCGATGTTTCTTAGCGGCATTCTTCGTAGCTAAATATTCATTCCATTACTTTCAGTCCATATCCGCATCAATACTCAATACCATATACCTTACTCATTAAATCATCCTACAACGGCGGCGGCGCCAGATCCAACCCCTTAACCTCGAATTTAAACGCATCACTCCGTGAATAACTCCCAGCAACATCGAGATCGAGCCGTCCACGCTCGCAATCATCCAAGTCAATGCATGCGATAGCTAAACCATCACCCGCCGCCACAGCAGGACTAGACTCCGTAGCGGACGTGCCAGGCGCGGAATCCGTCACCGCAGCATCGCTACTATCCGGCACGTCATCCGTGCAGACTTCCCACAGCGGACCGGCAAGAACGTCTCCAAGCGGCGAAACAATACAACTTCCACCCCGACAGACATAATCCAAGACCGAGTCTGACGGATCCAGGGATGACTGCTTAGTATTCGTCGCGGGACCCTCCGACCGACTCTGGGCCTGATCCTGGGCCTCGCCGTGAGTCTGCGGCCAGACAATCTCATGCGGACCCTCAGCAGCGACGGACATTTTCATCTCTGGATCGTGCGATTTACCCGAACTAGATTCTGGAATTCCATCCTGGCTTGCACCGGTAATCCACTCCGGCAGCTCGGAGCTACGCACGCACTGGTTCGCCGAGAGCACGAAGCAGCGGCCTTCTATGCCGATGGTGCGCATGAGCGGGAGCCAGGTACTGCGGGCGTCGGCTGTGGGAGCGAGATAGATATTCACGTTCTGGGAATATAGACTCTGACGCAGGAGGGGCATGTAGCTCTCCCAGCAGATTGCAGAGGCTATGGTTAGTGGGATACCGTTTAGGGTTGTTGTGACAGCGCGGAGAGTCGAGGGCGAGCCCTGAGCCCAAATCATGCGTTCAGCAGCCGTCTACCAGGTCAGTATACATACCGAATGATAGCGCCAGAGAAGAAGAAAAAGAAAGAAAAGTCCATACCGGCATAACCTTCCTCCTCTTCCCCAGAATACCTCTAACAGGATCAACATAAACAACAGCACAATACAAACTCCCTCCCGCTCTCTCCACCAATCCAGTAACGACGAAAACTCCCGTCTCCCTCGCAACACGCTCCAGAAACTCCCTCGTCCTATCCCCGCGGAACCTCTTACCCTCTGCAATCTCCAGCCTGCGAGCAATCCAGTCAGCCCCGGCCCCAGTCGGTGTATCGCCTAGATCAACAGCGGCCTTGAAATACACGAGGAATTGGTCCCGGCCGCGCGGGTGTCGACTTCCCACCGCAGACCCGAACGAATATGTCCGCGGGTATCCGCCTAGATAGGCTTCAGGGAAGAGGAGGAGGTGGACGCCGCGGCGGGCGGCGAGGGTGCTTGTTCGCTCGAGGGCGCGCAGGGTTTCGGATAGGGAGGTTTGGGTGCAGGATTGGGCGACTGCTACTGTGAGAGAGGGCATTTTGGATTGATGTTGGGTTTAGGTTACTATTGGAGAAAGGAGAAGGGGGAAAAGGGGAATTGAGTTGACAATGACGGAATGGGCTCGAGGGAACCTTGGATGCTTGAAGCTTGGCTGGGAGTACCCATGTAGTATATATTGAGGTTGAATAGGGATAGAGAGTGTGTTATGTAGACTTTGATATCAGTAGGTGGACAGGAAGTCCAAAGAGGCTTCAGACTATCGGATGAAGTAACTGTGAAATGTGATTGTTTGCTTTTAAAAAGCCTATAAAGTCTGCACTTTCTTCCTCTTCCTCTCTTAATACTTCCTCATTATACTTTCACCTATACACTTATACCAACGAGCTTTGAAGAAATGTCGACCTGCCACATAAGAAAGTGACGGTGGTTTGATGAAGCAATATCCGAGAGAGATATTCTTTCATATATCCAAGTATCTATGATATAGCGAAAAAGAAGTAACGTTACCCCCATCTGACATTTATCTTCTCTACTGACCCAACTTGATTCTCCAAAGGGGTCTATATGGCGTTGTTCCTTGGACGAGCTCGGCAATGAGGCACCCGTCTACCTCTTGTGAATTCTCCCTTCTTCCTACCTATATACATGCCTCGATTCTCAGGGATGAACCTCATTTACGGGACGTGTTACCCACAAGTCGTTGAACGAGTACAATCATGCAAACCGCGCGCATGCATGCCACGATCAACGGGCTTCGATGAAGAGGACCAAGGTGATTGGAAAGCCCACAGAGCTACGCTTTTCCCAGCACCGAACAACGAGCAGCTATTTGGTTGGGGTTTTCATCCATAATCAACGAGAGAAGTCGTTTCGAACATGTTGCTCCGAAGCTTTCTTTCTACAGCACCTTCAAAACCTCGACTGCGTTGTTCTCAGTCAAAGCCATTTTATTCTTTCGGTGCTATTTTGGATAACATCAGTGTCAGGATGTGCTCTAGAGTTTGGTTTTGTCAGAATATTGTTCGCGGCATGACATATCTATCCAAAGGCTACGATGGCAAATACGACTGTAACCATAGTTGGCTTGTGGGATGGAAGAATTCCTTCCGTCGTCTATAACATTCAGTTTGATCTTCCTCAAGGCCCTATTGTGGCTCGACCTCTGAGGCATGAGATACTATCGATTGTAACGGTTTTAATTACAAATCAAGACATAAGAAAAAAAGTTGTGTATGAACAGTAGGGTATAATCGAAACAAAAAGAAAGTAGTCATAACCGTATAGAACGCTGTACAAAAATAGAACTTTTCTTGTTAGCCACCATGATTAGGGGTATTGGTCGGCGATTAACAAATGAACCTGGACGAAACCATCCACATCTCGTATTCCTCAGTGGCTGGCTCGCAGCGTGCTCAGCCTTTCCGAGTACTCAGGAGGGGCAAGGCCCACGTCAACCACCTCACTGCGAGTATGGTTGGAAAAATCGGTAGGAGAAGTCACATTGCGTGGGTGGAAGAACTCCTCTAGTTCTTGCTGTGTGACAGTGACACCGAGTGCAGCCTTGATGGATTCAGCGTGCTTGGCTTGGCTCGTGAACTGCACCGGGAGGCGGAGGGAGATTGTCGGTGTCATGAGGTTGGCTGCGGGGGTGTGGTATGTCAAGGAGAGCTCGAGGGCGTAGATGCGGGACATCAGACAGGAATGGAAAGTCGGGACAAAAGCTTTTGACTCGGGCAGGGTGACAGGGACCACGACTGATGCGGTGTAGTAAGTGTCCCCGGTGAATGCTGAGGACGGGCCCGTTGATGAATCAGATGACGATGAGTCGGTGGAGTCGCGGCGCATCGAGTTGGCTGCTGATGATTGCTTTGTCCACTGGGCGGATTCGACACACATGGTCAACAGAGGCACGCTTTCTGTGTAGAGGCCGCATCCGATATGGGCGAAGGGCATGCCGGTTGAGGAAGGGAAGTCATCCCATGGGGCCGCACTGAAGAATGTGCTGACGCGAAGTTTGCTGGTCATTGTTCCAAGTGCGGGAGGCTTCTCGTCCCCGATTGGATCGAATCGCAGGTTTACCGTGGCCACAGTGCTCACTGTATCACTTGGCTCACCGTTTGGAGGAAGCAATTGAACGGCTTTGGGCTGGGAGGATGAAGCAACGATGTGTCCTAATTTGCCTCGCAATGTTCCGCGCTTGACGCTCTTCTCTTTGCGTGTGCAGAAAGATGGGTTCGCCGAGGTTTCAACTGGGGGTTCTTCTTCGACAATTGGAATGATACGGATCTTCTTGGCAATGGCGGCGATAGCCACGAATCCAGGGCCGGTGAGTTGTTTCTGAAGAACAGAGGCCCGAACCGTGTAGCCAATCTGGGACATGTTGGGTGCCATATCATCTAGCAGTGTCTTGCCATTGCTGGCAAGGATGGGATCACCCAATGTTGGCGGCAGCATAGTGTGGGATCGTTGAATGTGAGCATTCTTCTTGGTGTGGGTGCAGACCTGGGGCAACAGGTGGTCCGGGACGACGAATGTGAAGGGGTATTCATATGTCCGGCCACTCTCTAGCACTCGCGGAGTCGGATATTCCATTTCATCAATAGGCTGGCGCAACTTAAGGAACATCTGTTGTGACCCCGTCCGGCCGGGGCATGATGCCCGTTCTACCGTAGTTCGAGATACACCTGTTCTCAAATTAACATTGCTCACAGGCCGGGCTTCAATAGGACTTACCTTCAAACAGGATCTCAATCTCATCAAATCGGGTCTCATGCTCAACGGTGACGGTTATGGTGCCATCAATACTCTCTGCGGTGGTATAAGAGTTGACATGTCCTGGCTTTTGTCCCGCAAGATATATCTCGATTTTAGGCTTTGAGCGTCTAGTCCAGGCATCTAACCTGTCTGAGCCAGAGCTGATGATTGAAGTGGCCGTTGACATTGTTCCACGGAAAAAGCAAAGAGAATATGAAGCCTCGTCCCACGGAGAAATGCAGGAACAATATAACCGACACGTCAAAGTTAAGACAAGATGGAATATCAAAAAGAAAGGAGGTAGAACAGAGATCAGATCGAATTGTTCTTAAGGAAAAATAAAGGAAAAAATTAGTAAACGGTGGAGCCGTTGACAACCGCAATGGAGTCAGACAAACCAAGTGTGGAGGAGCCGTGACAAGCAATGTGAGCAAGGTTTCAGATTGCCTCATCGCATATCCCTCAAGGTTCTTATAAATCAGGTTGGGGTGTGACTCACGAGTCATCTATAGGGCGCAGCTACCATGATATCAGATCACGACCATAACCTACTTGGAACGCCCCCAAATCCAAAAAAACGAGCGATCGTATACACTTCAGTATAGGGAAGGCCGAGCCATGGAGTGATCGGAGGGGAGAGAGTGATTGGTCGGATGCGAGGATCCGTTCTCGCCCATGCACGCCCTTGGGTTGACATTCCGCTTGGCCAAGGAGCATAGAACAACGAGAGGTCAATTCAAGGTCGCACATGATATTCAGGTGGATTTCCAACTCTAAAGACCCTATCTCTAGAAAAACGCCCTTCTTCTTTTCCCGATCGTTCAGATCCGATCTTCCAACCTAAAACAGCCAGTCAACGTCCAAGTACATCAGAAGTACGGAGTAACAGAGTACAAACTCAAGGGGGAGAAGTGGAGTGCGCCTTACTAACGACATGCACGCCCTTTGACTCCACCCACATTCTCGAAGGGCGCCCGAGCTCCTCTGCTGTGCTCGTGAAATGGCCAATCATTGTGTGTCGTGGAACTCTGTTTATCAGAATGCCGATTTCCAAGCAATATCCCGTGGATTCGCATTTGTAACACTCTCCAGTCATATGTGAGGACCTTCAGGTTTTCTAGACATGAGGTCTAGTATAAACTCTTCCCGCGGAAAAGAGAATATGGAACCTGGGCCTAGCTCCGGCCCCAGAGATTTCCGGCCATAGCCGAGCTTTTTTGCGCGCCGAGCTTGTTTTTTCTTGTTCTCACGGAGTGTCGGAGTGTCGGAGTAAACAAAAAGATGGAGTCTCGGATGGTGCAATGCGATCTTTCGGTGTGCAAAGTCATGGGGAGGCCGATGATCAGGTGATTCCTATGCACGTGTTTATATGGGAAAGTCGTGCTTTTCGAGTTCTACAGCTTTGCAAATATTTCAAGAGCTCAAGATAATCGGAGTATTAAGCTACGTATATACACCAAAACTGGACCAAAAAAGATTTAGAATAAATTGTTTCATTCAGTCACTAGGATAAGATGACATTTACAAGCATGTCCCAACTGATAAATTACGACGCAGACCCGTGGTGCATTTCGGATCAAATCGTACTCAAAAATCGTCGACGCGCTTTCACGCTTCTTCTCGTCTCGTACAAGCTAGCACAAAAAAGTGACCAGCTGCATCCAGCTCAAGATTAACCGACGGGAAACGGCAGACCGAGCGAGGCAAGAGACATCATAAAAGTCTACATGGCTAAAGATAGCCAGGGGAAAGGGAGGGGAAAGGAGGTCTATGTAGTGCAACGTCGAAACAATCAGGTTCACTTGAAAATTAGTCGTGGTTCAAATCTGCATAATCATCATGCATTAAGAAAGAGGTAGGTATCTGAAGCCCGTAGATAGGACAGCAAGGAACGCCAGCAGACGCCGCAACCAACCCGAAATCAATACGCCACCCGTGTTCGCATATCCTGGGAGGTGTTAGTAAAACGCCAAATACACACTGGGGAACTTCTGCAACTTACCGAAATCTTGCGCTCAATCTCCCGAACAGATCGATCAAGTTCACCCGCAATCATCAACTTGGTATCATTAGGCAGCAGAAGATACATTTCGCAAAGATCTCCGTCAATAACGCCCTTCACAGGGGCATAGTAGCTGCGGTACATCAAATGGTCTCGTCCAGCCAGAGGGGGTTGCTGGGAAGCCAGCTGGGTCTCCAGAAGCTGGAAAAAGTCGACATCCTCACGGCTGACAAAAGGAACAAACATTCCAATTGTGCCTTGGAGACCAGTCCAGACAATAATGTCACGACCTCCAGCGACTAACTGAGTCTTGTGGATACTAGTGGGAATATCCTGGGCATAGAAGTGGATCATCAACTCGAGACGGTGGGGGGTTCCATGGAGATAACCCTTTTCGTGGATGAGGTGCGCCCCAGATCCATCTTCGTCAGACTCTTCGGAGGCCTTGCTAGGGCAACGGACCAGCCACAGGTTTCCGAACTTGTCACCACCAGCAGTCGTCTCGTAATCCACCATGGTTGTACTCGAGGTCCAGCGTGCGATGGAATCGTCCGCGAAGGGGATCAAGACATTGTCCTGGTACTTGTAGACAACGTAGGTGACACTCTCACGGACGTCGCTGACAATGATTCGGCTGCCTTGTGTCTGCAGACCCACAATGGTCTTGGGTACCACGGGTGCTTGACATTTCCGTAGGAGTTGCTTCATGCCAAGGTCGTACACACGAAGAATGGGGCCGACGCCTGCCAGAAGACGCCCTTGGAAACCGAGAAGAGCAAGAGGAGGCTCATCAACTTGAGTCTTGTGAATGAACTCCAATTCCCGACCATCCTCCTGGAATCGATAGATATGAATGAAACCACAAGAGGACGAGGGAGGGCTGACTATCATATCCTTGGCAGTTCCCACAACCAAGAAAGTTTCATCGTCTTGACTAGAGAAGGATACAGCGGCAAGACTGACTGCTGCCTCGTTGTCCTCAAGGTCAAGAGTGAAGATCACAGATTTGGTGGTAACCGGGTCCACAATTTGGATGCATGAAGCCCAGTGGCCAGTGGCTCGGGGATATCCGAAGTCAACTGGAGGAAGGTCCGCAACCTCGCCATTCTGAGCTTGGGAATCATCAATCAGTCTCTGACGGGTAGCAGGAGAGAGGACATTGTTGTCGGCTTCAATGACGTAGAAGAGGGGTTGGTCGGGGTGCTTCACAAAGCGTCGGGGAGTGTAAGAGAGAGGGATGGAGTCTTGGAGCATATTGTTGTCCAATTTCTCCACAGTGAAGATCCTATTTTCGGTTAGTACCAGTCCAGAAGAATTTGCAGTCTCAACATGGTATAAGAGAAGGTTGATCTCAGAAGGAACAATTGGAATTTTTCTTTTAAAGTTTCATCCACATAGAAGTTCGGATTGATTTTCTCATCATAGAATCAAGGGGATGGGGGGATTGGGGGGATTTTGGATGAACATACCGTAGACTGCGGCCCTGAATTCCGATCATGCCCTCCACACACTGCTCACTGGAGAAATTCCATCCCCACTCTAGCCCAACATAGTCCAAGGGTGTGAGCATAAAACTCTTGGTTTGGACATCGGAGTATCCCAGCCAGGGACGGGTGCTGAGCGCCAGCACAGCTGTTTGGCCCTTGACCGATACCTGGGATAGTTTCACAGGTTTGGCACCGATGAAGCGAGTTCTGGTATCCGAGAGCTCACCGGTTACCTCGTCCAAAACAGTACGAAGGTAGACACCTGAGTAAAGACCAATGTGGAGATAAAGAGTCGTGCCTCCCGAGCTCGAGTCAGCCATGGCCATAATTTGCAAGGCAGATGGTGCAGATGTCAAAGCTTGAACTGATTTGCTCTCGAGTGTTGAGTCTGGATCGAGGCTGAGAATGCGGACGGTGGAGTCATCACATCCAACGGCCAGGAAGGAGCTGCGCATGCGACCCTCTGGTACCTCTCCCATACTCAGGGAGGTCACGGTACCAGACATCTGTCGTCGCTCATCATACTCTGCCAATGTCCCGTCCGCGTCCATCTCAAAGTAGACAATTTCACCTGAGCTGAGTGCCACTGCAACTTGACGTTCATTGGTTGCTGCTGCAACGATGGACCGATGCTGCGGAACGGGCCATTCATTGACTCGCTGATCTGCGAGGATGTGACGAATGCCTCGAGGGTGAACTTGGACTAAAGAATCCTCGCCGATTTGTTGCACTGCCAGAGTAGGAGCCGAAGAAAGGAATCCAGTGTCTGAAACTTCTTCGACAATTTCGCCGATGCTCAGGACGAGGGTGCCGTTGGCAAAAGAGAGAATGATGTATGTGTGAAACTCATCGGCTCGGGTTAACTTGGTTGTCCATACAGCCGAAGGAACTTGCTGAAGGTCCGACTCCACGATCTCAGAAACCTTAAGTGCGTGCTTCAAGGTCCGGAATGTGCTGCGGGCCCCAGAGCCACAGATTGTGTAGATTTGAGGGGCATCATCCTCACTCAAGTTGAGAATTTTACTGTCAATCAGAGGGCTCAACGAGTTCATGCTTTCCATGAGGTTGACATTTTCAGCGCCTCGGGGACGGAAGTAGATTGGCGCGGAAGACACAGAGTGATCAGCCGAGAATGAGTCGCTGGAAAAGACTGCCTCGTTGGGATCATCACCAAGCTTCTCGAATTGGTAGAAATTGTGATTTCCAGATTCACTGGCGGCATAGAGGAAACCGCTTTTCAGAATCAGCAGATTGGTTGATACAGGAATCGTATCAAAGTATTTGATCGTCAGTCTCTTCACTTCTCCAGTAGGTTTGCCCTGCTTGTCTTCGACCATTTCCAGGTTCAACTTGAACAGATCACCATCCTCGGTTTGGAGAAGGAAGAAGAAAGCACCTCTCATCTTGTGCATGACTCCAGAGACAATCGAGCGCTTGCGCTCGGGGTTTTCGGTGGGTCCACGACGTCGAGGGATAGGGACGCGGAACGCACCCTGATTGGAGTGGCGGTAGGTAATGTTATCCTCCGCGCACACCAAGACACCGCTTGGGCCATCATCGCCTCCAGGTACCTGGAACAGCATGGATGCTGTGCGATCAACAGGGTCAGACCACTTGCGAACAACGTGATTCAGACCGAGGTCAAGTTCGTAGTACACCAAAACCTTCTCGAGTTCTTCGTACGCTTCACCAGTAGGA